TTTACTTACGGCATCTATCAGATGAATGTTCAAGTTAGGGAGTGCTCACACAATAGATTGTAACCTTCCGAACCAGTATCGAACTATCGTCACATACACGGAAAGCTTATATTCAAACCAAACGAATAGGCTTTTTTATAAGGCCATTTCAATTTCATGTAGGGCCATTTCAAGTTGATGTAATGCAGAATTGTTTGTCAATTCAAAAACATCAAGTTTAAACAAATAATAATTTACATTTATTATGATCTTATATAGTAACATCAAGTTACTTAGTTCCAAAATTTTAGCAAAGGAGCTAAGTCCAATTGATAGGTTTGCATTTTCAAATGAACGATACAATATGTTCATATTCTATAAACTTAATGTAAATTCCATAGAATAAGAAGAATAAAATAGTAAAAGCCATTTATACTTGTTTATCTATGGTAAAAGCATACAACTGCATTTAATGGATTTACAAAACCAGTTGGTATTGGTATTTTGCCTTGAGGCAAGTTGCATGAACTTCCTGTGATATGTGTAAATAATCGACTTAATCAATAAACTAGCTGTATGACATCGTGCCTTAAGTCAAATTGCTGGAATTTTCCGTACCGTAACGAAATATTCGAGAAATATTAAATGTTTTGAAATAGATTATTATAAATACTGTAACACTGTAATTTATTTATAAGAATTATATAAACTGACCTGCGATGTTAAAATTATTCATTTAAAATATATATGAGAGCTTTAGAACTTAGTCAGAATTAAAATTAAAATCTGAATTATTTTCGATATAAAAAAAAATTTAAAGATTGAAAAAAAAAATTAAATTATTTTTTTTCCAAAAGCAATTATTTTGTCAAAACAAGCAGAAAGTTCTTTGAATAATTCAAATCGTACGCTTAGTTCTCTCAAAAACTGCCATTTTTTTACAATTAGCTCGGTATCTCCAAAACGGCTGAATCTGCCTTTGCCAAAAACTAAGCACAACTTCTTCCAATCATTACAAATTGAATGTTTTTTAGATCATTCAAATCGGATATTCCGTTCTCTCAAAAATTCGATTTCTATTTTCTCCACTCTTTGCTCCATATCTCCGTAATGGCTGGACCTGCCTTTGCCAAAAACTAATCAGCATATCTCCCTATCAATAGAAATCGATTTTTTTTGGAACCATTCAATCTGTTAATCCGTACGCCCGAAAACGTGAACGAAAAAATTCGGACACACAAAACACACACACATCCATTTTTTCTTAGGTATGCCAAAATGTTCAGAAACTTTTAAAACGTCGAAAAATGCAAAAATTTTCATTTTTGATTTTCGGCCCATTATTATAACTACCGTACGAGAAGTTACATATAAATTAATTTATGAGGATTAAAAGTATTGCGAATGCATTTATTACACATAATTTAAACGAACGAACACGTTGACTTGGCGTATTTTCCAAGTACCAATATTATAATTGAACCAGTTTCCGTAGGATTTTAATGGTTTAGTATGTTCATCAAGACCAAGTACTCTACCGTTATACCAAGTAAATCGTCTAATTTTAACTTTAACAAACGTCAAAAAACTACTCATTTTCTCAAACTTTGATGTCCAGCTGTTTTTGAGAAAACGTCGATTTACGGCAAAATATCTGTTCACACACACACATACTTTTTCCTTTGGTCTCATTCCATTTAGAATGGTTTGAAACGTGGAGAAAACATAAAATTATCAAATCGGATTTTTTTATGAAAACATAAACTTCTCCCTTCGGGAAGTTAAAAAATTATCATAACATAACCGCATATGTTAATTGCACTAAAAGTAATCTTTTAATTTGAAAGTTGTAGGTTGAAAATATTTATGCAGATATAATTGATGTATCAGATATATGATATGTAAAAGATATAGTATAAAATGTTTAGTATAAATGTAAACTAGTGCCTTAAGCAAATTGCTGGAACTTCCCGTACCAAAATTTTTTTTTTTAAAAAAAGTTTAACATTATTAAGTTAAAGTTTAACTATACATTTTTAACAAAAATTTACTTTTTTTTGAAGAAAAGTGTATTTTGAAATATTTTGGAAATTTTGAACTTTTTTCAAAGTAATCGTACTGCTTTAACTGCATAGAGACAAAATATAGAAGCGCGTAAGCGCCGCGCCGCCGTCTAACGGATAAAGATTGGTACGGAACCCATAGGAATGTAAATAAAATTTATACTTATTGTTAAAATTTCTGTAAAATATCATATAATTTGTTGTACATTTGTCTAATGATAAGGTGACGTCCCGGATTGGCCGGGACAGTCCCGATTTTTTTATATACGGGCCCCACTTAACTTAACTTAACTTAAACCCCACTTGTTTATCTATGTATACGGGTATTATTTTCATGTAAATTCTATCCTTTGCTCTCTTATTTATTTAAATTTATGTTATTATTTATCAATATTGCTAGATGTTAACTATTTAACAGTTGTAATAAACGTTGTAATTAAAAAAAAAAAATTACGTCAGTCTCGGTGTTATGATTAATTTTCAAACCTTTTCAATTTTATTCAATTTATTTCATGTACTGAATAATAATGTGCTTTAAATTTTGAATTTTATAAACTTTATTAGTTTACCTATGTGCTTATCATTGCAACTGCAATATCCCATAAACCCATGGTCAGTCAGATTACATTAAATGCACTGAATATTTCCTCTCTTTTTATTTTAGGTGTTAATTTTTATCATTATTACAAATTCGTCATCTAATGAATCGATATCTAATCTACATAATTTTTGAAGATAAGATATGTATACACTGTATTAGAGGATATATTGGCAAATGTCAATTGCATCTATCAATATCTATCTTCATTTTATGAACAAAGTGTAAATTGTGTATATATATAATGATGAAAATATTGAAATAATAAACAAAGTTAAAACTGTATTAAATATTAAAATATTTAATGCAACTCAAAATTTACTAAAATGCTCGAATAATTTTAGAAATTTAAAAAATAGAATTTGAACTTAAAGTAAAATCTTTCATTAGTGAAGTTAATCTGCGTCAAATCTTAAGGATTAGTAAATATAGGTTTAAATTGGTTTAAATGATATATATATATATATATATATATATATATATATATATAATATTAAGAGCGTCAAATAATCAAACTTAACATTAATGAGAATTATAAAGTTTTTCTACAAAGCTATCCAGTAATAAATCTCATTTTAATAAAGATGTAAATTTATTAATTAACTTCTTGTGGGGTAAGATATAGGCATTGCAAAAAAATCGAACATGAAAATTTTTATTTTTCTTTACGTTTCAAAAGTTTCTGAACTTTTTGGCATACCTTAGAAAGATTGGATGTATGTGTGTGTGTGTATGTGCGGATACAATTTTTTGTCGACGATTTCGAATTTGAATGATTCAAAAAACATCCCATTCCTATTGATAAGGAGACGTGTTGATTAGTTTTTCGAAAAGGCAGGTTCAGCCTTAACGAAAATATGGGACTAAAGGTGCCGAAAATGGTAATTTAATTTTTGAGAGAACGGAGCGTCTAATTTGAATGATTCAAAAAACATTTTATTTAAATTGACAGAGTGAATAAGTGGTAAAATTCTAGCGGTTCGCGAGATCCGATAAAAGAAGTAAGAAAACACGTCATTTGGCGGATAAAAAGAATCATTAGACATACGTGCATAAAATTCTTATATTTTATATATATATTTAAATAATAATAATAAATTTTGTTTACATTTCTATGGGTTCCGTACCAATGGGTTTAGCCCATGCGCTTTTATATTTCGTTCCTACGCAGCTAAAGTATCGAGATTGCTTTGAAAAAATGTTCAACATTTCCAAAATATTCCAAAGTATAAAAAAATCAATTGTTTCAAGAAAGGTATATTTTTTCAACAAATTAAAAAATCTCAAAAATCAGTTTTTTTCAAGTTCTAAAAATAATTAATCCCATTCATGCTTATTTATCTATGCTTAATCCTGTTATTTTTAAACAAATAATATTAAAATAATTTAAATTAAAATAATAATATAATATTATATTAAGAATGATATTATAATATATCAAAAATGAAAATTTTTGCATATCTTCGCGTTTCAGTAGATTCTGAACATTTTGGCATAACTCAGAAAAAATGATAATTTGTGTGTATGCCTGGGAACAATTTTTTGTGACGATTTCGGGCGTACGGAGTACTCGATTTAAATGGTTAAAAAAACAACCGATATCTATTGATGAGAAGACGTGCTGATTAGTTTTTGACGAAGGCGGATTCGGAGATATAACGCAAAAAGTGCAAAAAATGTTAGTTTTTAGGAGAACGGATTAACCAATTTGAATGATCCAAAAACATTCGATTTGTAATGATGGGTAGAAAAATGTCCGTTTTGACAAAGTTGGTCCTGCCGTTTCGGAGATATAAGGCAAAATGTGTAAAAAATGGCAGTTTTTGAGAGAACTATGCATCCGATTTGAATGAATTAAAAAACGTTCTGCTTGTGTTGACAGAACGATTACTTTTTGGAGAAAGAATTTATAAAACACTATTTATAATAATCTATTTGAAAACATTTAATATTCCTCGAATATTTCATTAAGCTACGGGAAGTTCCAGCAATTTACTTTAAGGCACGATGCCATACAAGACCAGTTTATATTTTGCATTATTTTTTCTTATCGAATATATTCAGGTTTATAGTTGTTTATTTATCTATGTCATTTGCTACATTACATATATAAACCTTATCTAGAATGAACACCATTGGTAAATTTACTCGGTACAGATAAATGTTATTATAACTTGTGATAACTAAAGAAAACAAATCACATAGAATTTAAATTGCGGTAATATTAATTTATTATCTTTTATCAATATGTGATTTCATCGCATACCGCACGAAAATTTACAATTGTGTAGTGTCTGCTCTTTATGACTGTTATCCCTTATATACATAGTCCATGCTAACAGTTCAGGGGAAGACCCGAAAGCTATTTTGTCTTTGTGTGACGCCGTGACCGAGTGTGTGAATTCATTCGAGTTCGTGAATATTAGTAATAACATGCTTATGTCTGTCGTTTTACTAGATATAGTTATATATTGATTATTTTGTTACTGTTTACGGGGAATAACTGAATACTATATACTTCTACTTCTGCAACATATATGTGGAATTTTTATAGTGCATTTGCTGCAGTTCTCATTGCTCGGGCGTGATCATTAACGAAATTAATAAACAAGCTTCAATAAATTTTCTAATATTCAAGTGGCGTCGAAGTGATATTTTTAATTTGTTCAAACAATAAAAATTAGAAAATGCTTGCTGCAACTTTGGCCCATAAACCTAAAACCTGGTCCGATATTTCTTACAGTGGAGTTAGGTTTAAAACAATAACTCTTGCAGAAAATTGTGAAGAATACCTGGTAATCAATTAAAATAATAAAACACAAAACATATAAACACTTGAATATATCTATTGTTTTATAGGCTATATCAAACAAATTTCATAATAGAAGAATTACTAAAATTGAAAGAATACAACATCCTTTTGCCTATGGCAGATTTATATTAAAAAAGGATCAACTCAAATTGGAGGGATATGATTATATCACCGAGGTATACTATTTTTTTCATTATCATTTAGATAACAAATTTACTAATTATTACTTATTCAGGATACAGTTTTCCATAGTATTGATGTTGCTGATAAATATGTAGCTATTGAATATAATTGTGATCCTCGACGATATTCTGGAAGGTACAAAGGAACCACACCAACTTTTCGAAGCACTCCAGATAGCTCAGCAAACATTATAATTGTGCTTCAAAAACTTCAGCAGTCAAATCAAGAGTCTGATGCAGATTATTATCCAACTTATATCGTTGAATTGGACTAATTTTTTATTATAATTTTATTCTATTTTATAACAAAAGATTCATGAATTTTAAGACATACTATTATTCGAATATAAATATATATTGTTCACAATACTAAGTGTTTTTATTTTAACTCGAGCAAAAATTAATTCAGTTATAGTTCATCTTCAATTAATTTACCACCAGCAAGATAATATTTTTATTAGTCTCCTTTATAAGTTCTAAAAATAGAACAAAGTCAAATTATCAATAAATAGTTCTGAATGGTTTCGCATGTTATATTGACACTTAAATATTTTAAAAGCAAAACTATAAATATGTGCCTAGCTGTAATAAAAATGTATTCAAAAAACTCATTTGTTAAAAATATTTTCCTATCATGCTGATTTAGTGATTTGAAATAAATATGGCTGATTGAAGATATGATATGAAATTTGTAATTAAATTGTTTATTAATAGCAATAATAGTTTTCAATTTTTCACTGTAAACATAATTAAATTGGATCCTCCAAATGCATTTTTACAATAGTTTGTTATCAAAGTATTGAACAGATTCTATTTATTTCTAGTATTTAAGTGATAATTGTTTAACCACATTAAATATTATAATAGTATCGACAATGTTTCAATAATTAGTGTAGGCACCGGTTTAACCATTATTTTTTTAATAACTTGTTACAAATTCACCTAAACAAGAAGGGTAAATAAAATCTAAAATGAAAATGTATAACCAGCGCTTTTATCAAGTTTGAAGATTTTAAACAAAATCCTTTTTCATTAAGTTCTTCATTATTATGAATATAGTCATAATAAAAGAAAATGTGAATTATAAAATGGATTTTGGACATTACAGCATTAATATCATCTATCTGAAAGCAATTAAACTTTATTTTAGTAATAAAGTCAAGACAATTTCGAGGTAACTCAACCATGAGCTTGTGAAAGTTAATATTAGGAAGAGTGAAAAGTTATTCAAAACATATGTAATGATTTCCGCAATCTAGTAATTTAAATAATGGTGGACACAAAGCATATTGTGCAGATCAGAGTATTCAATATTTATCAATTCAATAATCCATTGCCTTATACCATTACAGTTATGAAGGAATCTAGAGTTTTGTAGTAATATTTATAAAAGTCGATTTAGTCAAACTCATTGACTATATTTTAGCATAGTATTCAATATTTATCAATTCAATCGTCTATTACCTTACCATTGTGCTTATGAAAGCAATCTATTTCTGTAGTAATAATTATAAAAGTTATGTAATCAAACCGATTAACTATATTAATCCATTTTACCTTAGTATTCCATATTTATCCATTCAATTGTCTATTACTTTACCATTGTGCTTATGAAAGAATACAGTGCTGTAGTAATACTTGTAAAAGTTGATACAGTCAAACTCATTGACTATATTGATCCATTTTAGCATAGTATTCAATATTTATCAATTCAATCGTCTAATACCTTACCATTGTGCTTATGAAAGCAATTTATTTCTGTAGTAATAATATATAAAAGTTGATGTAATCAAACTGATTAACTATATTAATCCATTTTACCATAGTATTCCATATTTATCCATTCAATTGTCTATTACCTTACCATTGTGCTTATGAAAGAACATAGTGCTGTAGTAATATTTATAAAAGATGATACAGTCAAACTCATTGACTTGATTGATCCATTTTACCATAGCATTCAATATTTATCAATTCAATCACCTATTTCAGCGGTCTAGAAACTTTTTTAATCATTACCCCAAAATATTTTTGTCTAATTTGATAGCATCCCCATGCCGAAGAAAGATTAACCGTATATGGTGAATTACGTAGCAAATACAAGAAATACCAATTAGAAATACAAACTTTTTACCCCCCAATATGCAATTTTCATCCCGTTTGGAGTAATTTATCCAGGTTACCCGACCACTGGTCTACCTTACCATTGAGCTTATGAAGAAATCTGGTTCTGTAACAATATTTATAAAAGACACAGTCAAACTCATTGACTATGGATACTATTTTACCATTGAATTCAATATTTATCAATCCAATCATCCAATTCCTGGTGCTTATAAAGAAATGTGATGTCATAGTAATATTTATAAAAGTTGATATAGTCAAACTCAATGACTAGATTGATCCATTTTACTATATTATAGTATTTACTATAGAATACTATAGTATTCAATATTTATCAATTCAATCGTCCATTACCAAATCATTACCATTGAGCTTATGAAGAAATCTAGTTCTGTAGTAGTAATATTTATGGAAGTTGACATAGTCAAACTCATTTTTAAACAATCAGAATTTCTATCGTATAAGTCGTTGTGCTCGAGCTTACTCTGTATTTAGATGCAACCCAACGATTAACCTAAATATATTTGATTTTAATTTAATTAGATTTTAAACATTAGAATTAATCTAATAGTGATCATATAGTATTTTTTATTATAGTAAGATGCAGCAATATCCAAGAAAGGCTATCTATATTTTCAAGTCACCAAACCTGTATTACGCAAATTTTAATTGCTTTTCAATTATTTGGAAATAATACTTTTATAGGTCTAAATTTAATATTATTTGCAGTTCCCGAATTTATCTTGTCTGGTATATTTTATTTATGAAGCTTATTTTGATCTTTGGTTGGCATAAAGGCACATCCTCACCAACGAATGAACGAATACAAACATAGCGAGCAATGTTCGCAACTTGTCGGTACATCAAAGAAAATTGTCCTTTCATGTTTGAACTTGTATGAGCAGTGTGGGGCCGTGCTACCACGAATCTAGACAAACATTTTTCTTTTTTGATGTTAATATGTGTAGTTGGGTAGATGTGCCCGTTCTGCCTTAGTTTATATTGTGATTATTTTGTGATATTGCTGTTATTGATAAATTTTGTAAATTTGATCACTTTGAATAATTTTTCTTTTTCCCGCCACTTTAAATAATGAAACTCATGTTTGACAGAACATGCTCGAACAAAAACCCTCACTGTTATGAGGCGTTAGCATAGACCTTATACAATTTCATGGACTGCTAGTCCCCATACATTTCTCAAGTAAAAAAGTGTCAAAAGATGTTCTATGGTATGAGGGCAAACGAGGGTAATTTTGCGGCCGAGATATGTCAAACTCAATCGCTTGAACCATAGATAAACAAGTATAAATAGATAGCTATGTCGGGCGATTTGACGTTTCATCGTTTGAAGTGCGGAGCTAAGATTATTGATGGCAGCACATGTTCATTTTGTAAATTAACCCCTGGTATTACTTCTACATTTGTACATATAATCATTACAGCCAAAAAATCTAAAAAAATTTTAATATTTGAAATAAGAACAAAACATACGAAATACAAAATATATTTTCAAATATATCACAGACATATTTTGGAAGAAATATAAACTAAACAGAAATAACTGACTACTATTAATTAAAGTATATTACAAACATATTTTTAAAGTACTACAAACTAAAGAAAAGTAACTTATTAATATTAATTAACGATATTAATATTAATTACTTAATGACTAATAATAATATATTAAAAACTTAAAAACTAAGAAGTGAAAAGCGCAGGAGTATTGACGATGGAATTACAAATTTAGAAGGAATGGCAAGTAATGCAAAAATTTTAAAGAATAAAAAGAACAGCAAATTTCTAAAAAAGAACGAATACTTCCCAAACAAAATAAACCTCGAAACTAAATAGAGATAAAACTAAATTCCTAGGATTAAAATTCATTTACGAGATGTTCTTCTTTATTATCTCTCCATTTAATAGTTACTTTGCTATCTAATCAATCATTAATAAAGTTACATTTGACGAAATCTTTAAATAGTTTCTGTGTATGAGTGATTTTTAAAAATCACATTTACTCATTTTATGATCATGATGAATCCATTAACATTAAAACTTCCATAAAAGATAAAAAAACTATAAAGCCAGGTGTTTTCAATAAACAGAATAAAAATGTATGCATTTGATACCTTTGCAGACTTTTTGTACAGTTTCAAAGCAAGAATTATGTCCTTACTTATTTTCTTTGCAAATGGTATTTAGAATTAAAATTACTTGGCCCTTTCTCTGGATTTGCACACTGTCGTGTTTTTTTATTAGATTGTTTTGTTTACCCTCTATCAGAATTATCGCCTGATTCTACATCAGAATGCTCTCCTAGTCGTGACTGTGTGAGAGGAAAACTCTTTCATGATTCCCGTAAAGGAGATTTGTCTAATCCACACACTTCAATACAGCTCAAAGAAGCCTAAACAAGAAGCATATTATTATATAAATTATTACAAGAAAGACAGATACTTGATTTAAAGATACAACTACATTATTCAAAATAAAATATATAAGCAACTTGTATTTAGTTACCTGAAGTAAGATTACTCTCCTTCGACAATCTGCCACTGCCTTTACATCATTTTTATGAATTGACATTGATATACCAAGTTCTAAAATAATTATTATTAAAATACATTCATATAGTACAAATCCGGCATATTTAGGCTCCGGAGAACATGAACTTTAGGATGCTTTCTTGAATTGATTGAAAAGTGTTTGACTTCTGACATTTTCATCGTGTATTATTATTATACATTTTCATTATATAAATAAATATAACTCATCATACATACCTGGCCATCACTTAAGACGTGCAATTCAATATTCGTTGAAACAACTTGGCACGTGACCATACTAAATTTATTTATTAAATATTCACTAGAACAGAAATATTTAGCAACAACATATAGGTTATTGGCACATTCATACGACGGCTGTCAAATGCGCGAACGAGCGTTGTTGTAATTGAGCGAATGTAAGCCATCTATAATCTAAGCTTGGCAATACCCAATGTCAAAACACGGTAAAGCGTATTTGTTCAGAGATAACCCCCCATGGCAATCAGGAACATTACCACAGATCAAACACATTTTAGAAGACATTTTACTTTTAACAATTTTACAACAGGTATATTTATCCTCTTTTAGTTTAAAAACCCGAGCGATCAAACATCACGTGAACCCAAGTAACTGTAAAATTTAAGCGATCGTGCGCATTCGACTAATCTCGGTAAAGCTCGTGTTCGTATTCGACATATCTCGGCCGCAAAATTACCCTCGTATGCCCTCATACCATAGAACATCTTTTGACACTTTTTATGCGCTCAACTAGCAGTCCATGTATTGTATAAGGTCTATGGGCGTTAGTGTGAAATGATTTTTCTTTGTTCGTGTTCGTGTTTGTTCATCTTTGTATTTTCTTGTTCGTCATGTTCGTTCGTTAGGTGTGGATGCACCTTTATTACACGTGAATCACATACACATAACCTATACCTGTCAGACATGAATCTGTCATTGAGGTTAAAGAATGCATTTTCTTAACCCAAAATTGAAGTCATATCCAATTTTAAACATATAAGTTTTATAAAAAAATCCACTAATCATGTCTGTAACGAATGATCGGTTTTTGCTGTTCAAAAATGCTGCAGAAGTTATAATAAATAAATGGACTGGTCTCAGACTGGCTGTAGAAAATGGCATGGGGGGACCTATAGGAATCAAAGTGAGTTGAGATATCACATAATTGATACTATTATTGTAAAAAATTATATCTTATTTGCTGTTGCCGTTTATAAATATTATCATTCATAGATTTTCAATTAAGTAAAAAATCATATTCAGCGAATACAAATTTTCCCACCTACCAGAACACACATTCGTTGTCATCAATACAAAAATATTTATACTTTTAAATGTGTATATTTTGTCTCACATCGATAAGTTAATATCTTTTACAATATCAATTGTTCATATTTATTCATATGTACTGCATAATTTTCTGTATTTTGCTAAGAGTTGACAATAGGAATGATGATTAGAAATCAATTACCAGCAATGCAATAGCTTTTAAGTCTTTTTCTATTTCATCTGTTGGTTTTAAAGCTATCGGCTTCCAATCAAAAGTTGCAAGTTTGATATACGTCTCGGATAGTCAAGCAGGTTTTCACTTGCAAATATAGATAGCAAAATTAACTCGAGTTAAAATAGACCTTTTCCAAAATTGTAGTATCCAATCTGATGCAGTAGGCATCAGTGTTACGGGTTATTCTTATAATAAATTCTTCAAATAGATGAGATAGACCAAATGTTAAATTGTCTTCTAAAAAGCCACATTATTAAGACAGCATTATGACATAAGCTTATAAGACTACTAAGTTCATTATTGCTTTTATTGCTTTTAAGAATACTATTATTTTTAAATCTTGCTTTCAAACTTACATAAATTAAAATTGGAATTACATTAAAATTGGAAATTGAATCTTGAAAAGTATGTAGTAATTTTAAACTGTTTTTAAATTTTAGACTGCAATAGAAATGCTAGACTATATAACAAAATTCTCTTTCAATGATGATGTCGATGCACATGATGTAGCAGATGCGTTAGAAGAAATAATGGAGCAAGAGTTTTGTACATATTTAGAGGATGATTCACCAAAAGGTATGATCTAAGTATAACAGTATTCTGGAATATTGTGAACATACCAGTGCAATTTAATTTGAACGATATGTTACTATTATTTGTTTCCAAATGTAATTTTCAATGTATACAGGCTATATATGGGTAAATACAGAAATGTTTTGAGAATAAAAAAAAATACCCTAAACGATAATTATGGAAAACTATTAGCAATTTTAAATGGATTTAAAAGAACATGGTTGTTCATAGTAGTTTCACAATAGATGAATATTTCATAATGATTCATGAAATACTGCTTATCAAATAGTTGTAAATCTCTCATACAATGTTAACTATTTTATAAATATAATAATCAGTATGTTTTTTTTTTTAAAGAAATTGGATGTGTGCTGAAACAGATTGCTTTATATGCAAAGGAAGGGAACACTGCAGAAATAGACAAAATATTATCCAAATTGCCTCCGGGACCTTTATGGATACAAGAGAATGTGCCTAATAAAAATGTATGTATATCTATAAGAGTAATAGCTTTTGAATAAATGATTTATAAACAACATCATTCGACATAAAACTGGAATTATCATCAAGTTCTATTTAGTTTTTATTTGTTTAGCTGACTCTGGTAGTAATTAACTTCTAAAACTGAATTTAAAACATAGAATCTAGCAAAGCCGATGCTATTAAAAAGCATAGTCCAATACAAAGTGTAGGAGAAATAGCAAATTGCATATAATTGAAATAGAACGTCTGAGGCGGTTGCAAACAGCATGTTCTCTTTCACTTATTAACCTATACATCAGTTTCTTTATTCTTAGTATAAAAAATTGATTATTACAGTACATATTCAATATTGAATTTTAATGATGGTCATTAATTTTAGCCCAAAGTATACCAAAATGATGGGGACTCTGATGATGCTATGGAAGAAGATATGCCTGCTGTTTTAAGCACAAGTGGGGGAACAACAAACATGATTGAAGAGGATTCAGAATGGACTCAAGTTAAATCGAGGAAGAAAAGGTGTTGATAATTATATTATCCTAATCTTTACATAATACAAAAAAGGGAATAAAAATAATCTCATCAATCTGAATTCTTTTATATTTTAATAAAAAAATTTGACTTGTTATAATGATGCGATATATTTTTTATTTGATTATAATACTTAAACCTTCAAGAAGCAAACTTATTCATTTATGCAAAAAACAAGTGCCCGTCAACATAAAAAAAAGAGAAAAAACACCTACCAAAAATTCCATTAAGAGCAGTAAAATAAAGTACATATATCTTACAAAATGATTTTTGCATAACCATATATCTTTTATAACTTTCCTATGAAATTGTGTATTTATGAAAGCATTCATCAAGGGCTTTATTTATTATTAAACAAAAACTGATTCAAAAGGAAATCTTGACAATCTGTGTCAAGCTAAATGTTATGAACTTATCCATAATCAAGATGTTCAACGTATGTTTACTTTTGCAAAAAATGGAATAAAGAAGTCTTCCCGAAAAAGATAAACTTGATCAGATAAATTTATGGGTGAACAAGAATGACTTTGCATTATAAACAAGAGAAAAATTTATGGGGCTAATAATATGTAATGTTACAAAATAATTAATATGATATTGAATGAATGATATATGAATGTCTACTTAATACTGTTGCCAATATTAAAATTATTTTTGACTGCCTATGATAATTTCTTATTTTTTTCAATATGATTTGAAGTGCAGTTTTTTACTTTTCTCGGCTTTTAGTAAATAATACATTCACTTTTAAAAAGTTCAGTATTTTATGAATGAGTTTCTATGAAGTCAAATTCATATGTGATATATGAACTACAGAATATTAACAAAAATTATTGGTGTATACTATTAGGACATATGGCTACAAATAAACAAATTATAATTTTAAGAAGTAGTTACCATACACAGAGATAAAATGTTTTCTCAAGATCTCATCCTAAAGTTATAGGGTTATACTGAACAAAAATGTTTTATACGGAGATGGCCTTTCTAATAAATTGATGATTGGTATAATTATTTGACTAGTTACTAAAGTTTTCTTAAATAAATTTAAGAATAGAATATAAATAACTCTTTTAGCAGTTACAAAAAACCTTCTTAACATTACAAATTTTTAAGAGCTACTATAAAATATTGAAATGAATAAATAAGCATATATTTTACTTTTCATCAATTTAATCTATAAGGAACATTTTGTTGAAGTTTTTTGGTTGAGTTTTATTGTTTCAATTGCCAGTATATAAATATTTTTTGCAAAAAAAATAAAACTAGTTGATATTTGGTATTTTGTCTTGAGGCAAGTTACATAAACTTCGCGATATGTGTAAATAATCGAATTAATCAATGAAAAATAAATTAATTTATGAGTGATTAAAAGTATTCCGAGTGGATTTTTTACACATAATTGAAAACGAACGAACACGTTAACTCGGAGTATTTTCTAAAAGCAAATTTTCAAAAATCAATAAATTTTAAAATTGAACCAGTTTCCGTAAGGACTTTAATGGTTTAGTATGTTCATTAAGACCAAGTATCGTTATACCAAGTAAATCATATTATTTTAATTTCAACAATCGTTCAAAAAACTACTCATTTTCTCAAACTTTGATAAACGATAAACATCGAAATATAACTACAATTATAAAATAAACTAGGTGTAAGTTCACCTTTAAGTTTACCTTAAGGAAATTTGCATAGTCATTCTGGCATAAATAATTGACTTAATAAAAATTGAGATTAGCTATTAAAATCAAATTTTAAACTTATAATTTCGAAAGTAAAGTTTGCGTTTATACTACAAATTAATAAATGCAATTTTCAACAATTAATATTTTTCATAATAACTGTCATTTTGTATTAATTATAGTGCATAACCATTGGTTTGTATGTCCTGAAAGGACAGCCTATTGTTCTAAAGTAATAAATGTTTATAATTCAACCATTTTTCGAAGGACTACAATATTTTAGAATGTTCGTTTAGACAGAGGCATTTCGTTTTAAGGTAAGTGCATGAACTTCCAATTAATTGATTTGATTAATATAAAAATTTAGATTTAACTTTCAATATTCCAAAGATAAAATTTTCAACTATTCAAAAGATTTCGATCTCAATTAAAAATTAATAAATGCGATTTTTAATTGATATTATACACGATGTAGATGTTCTAAATACGCGGTTTATTAATCCAAATATTAATGACTTTTTAAAATTCAATCACTTTTCGCAGGCCTGTAATATTTTAGGGTTTTTATTAGGTAATATGTTAGTTTAGATCAGGGCTTCTTAAACTATGGGTCGCGACGCCAAATGGGGTTGCGTAGGAAAATTTTGGAGTCGCGAGAGATTTTAATGTTAAATGTATCATTTTATAACATCACGTCTTGAAATTTGTATGTTCTTAACAAATTCATAAATTATATATTTTCATATGTATATTGTTATCCAATGAATAAATCTTCTAAAGATATTAATTTATTTTTATTATATTTGTGGGGTCGTCAAAAAACTTGCCATTATAAATTGGGTCACAAAGAAATTCGCAATCGTAAATGGGGTCGCAAAGGCAAAAGTTTAAGAAGCCCTGGTTTAGACCATAAGATCTTTACTGCACAAAATTTTTGCAAATCACTAAAAAAAATCAACAATTTACCACAAAGAAATTGAGTGCTGATATCTTTCGAAAAGTTTTTGAATTTCCAAAATTGATTCAGGATTTTTGGCCAAAATGTATCAACGTGAGTCCTTATCGAGTTTCATAAAATGTCTTTTAAATTTTTATTTTCCGTACAGCCAGTTTTGAGAAAACGTCATCGAACATTTGTTGTCAAATGGTGAACAAATTTATCCTAATTTTATAAATTATATAGCATGTTTTTTCTTGGCCTTTGATATATCCTCAATCCACTTACAGCATTTTTAAATTTTCATGTTTTCTATTAAATGATTTTCCAACATATTCAATTCCATTATATTTCTATTAACATTTCAATATCAATATTCTTTAGTAGTACAAGTACATTTCTAAAGTAAAACGTATATCAACTTTTTTGTATCCAGTGCAAGAATTCGATTCGAAGAATAAATATTCAATTTAAAACCGTTTTTTGCAACGACAAATACAGCTTAAAAAAGTGTCAAATAAATTACTATTACTAATATTCACATGGAATTATAAAAATTAGACTAATAAAATACAACCCATTTTTAAGTACTTAATTGATCAAAAAATAAATCTCTGTCTCTTCCTCAGCAAGTTTTTGTGTAAGATACAAGTATATACAGGATTTTACACAATGTTAACATAATTTTCGAAATAATTATTATTGTAACATGCATGTGATTTTAATAAAGTATTTGACAACTTTGTTTTGTGCTCATAAGTAAAAGAAATAAATTAAGACTCACTTTGATAGAAATCCTTTGCTCGGCCGGTCTTTCGATGCAGGAAACATTTGAATGCCACCCACTTAATAACTACCATAATACGAGTATATTGGTATACTTTTATATATTATGAAATGTTTACACATGCACAGAATATTGTTTTAATTAAACACATAACGCGCTATGAACATTATATAAATAACTTTGCGCAATATACAGAATATATCTTAAACAGATACCACCGATCAACCGATACAACCTTTTGTTAAAATGTTCGAGTTTTGCAAATGCACATGAAAACACGACTGAACTTGTATACAAAATGGCTGATTCTTGCACGTGAAAATAAATTTCAAGAGGCGCTAATTTCAAATTTGTTTTGACTATTTTTTGTAGGAGAACGTTTTACATATTTTAAAGACAGATTAAAATATTGTTTCTAAATTATCAATAGAAATATATAAAAAACCCTTTTGCAAAAGTATGAAATAAGTATATCTATGACTATATACTATATACTATATACTATATACTATACTATACACTGAAGCCACGTGCTTATTGTGTAGTTTTCATAAATATACAACTGTACAATTACATATTTAAATATATTAGCACAAGTTTTACAATATTTTGACCATAGCAAGATTTTATGTAATGTATTCTGCTACAATTTTGTTTAATTTAATATTTATAAACATATGGTATTTGGACGTTATTCATTAAAATGTAAATAAATGTTCTTGATCAAGATTGTAAGAAACGTGCAAACTTATAAATGTTTTAAAATAAAAATTTATTAATTATTAGGTAATTATTAATTAGGAACTGATTATAATTAGTTCCTAACTTTTTTGTTCCAATTAAAAAAAAATATGTCGTTGTTTTAGTTTCATTTGTCATTAAAACTATAAAGAAATGTATTAACATGTTTGTTGTGTTCTTCTATATATGATCTTCTGAGTGATGACACATATTTAATAATTTATCGAGTTAAACTATAAGAATCAACTTTAAAGAGGCGTTTTAAAGTTCATAAAATATCCTCATTTTCTAAAATAAAATAAAAAACGTCACTTTCTATACTGATGAATATCTTAAGGTGCCCTCACCTAACGAACGAGCTCGAACGAATACGAACAAGCAAGAACGTACGTACCAGAACGAACTCCAACGAGCATAGTGAGGACGTTACAACGAACACGAACGAACATAAACGAACATAGCTTGCAATGTTCCGCAACTTGGCGGTACATCAAAGAAAATTGTTTGTTCATGTTTGAAGTCGTATGTGCAGGGTGGACGCTACCACGAATGTAGACAGACATTTTTTGTTGTTGTTATTATGTGCAGACCTGCATTAGTTTATGTTGTGATTATTATGTGATATTGCTGTTATTGATAAATTTTGTAAATTTGATCACTCTAGATATTTATTCTTTTTCCCGCCACTTTAAATAATAAATTTGACGTTTCACGGAACATCATCAAACAAAGAAGATTCAAGCTCTCACTGCTTTCAGGAGTTTGTTCAAGTTCGTTTGGAATGATTCGCCTTCGTTCGTGTTCGTATTCGTTCTTCTTTGTATTTTCTTGTTCGTTCCTGCTAGTTCGTTAGGTGAAGCGCACCTTTACAAAATTATGATTCTTTAAAATGGAAACCTAAAATTGAAATATAAACAATGAATTATTATTTTATATTTTTATTAAATTATTACATATTATTAAGATTACAATATTTTTTTACAAATTTCAAAAGGCATCATAAATAATATATTTAACTGTATCAGTAACTACAATATAACAATGACTAAAATAATTATGTAAATCTGTATCTATGATAATTTTTCTGAGTATAATTAATCGAAATATTATCGCATAGAGTATTAAATTTAAAATCGCCGAATAAGAACTAATTTGACTTTTATCTATACGACGAGTAACATAACAAATTAACAAGACTGTTTGGTTACTTACTTTTAAACGGATTCATACTGACAATAATATATTATTTGCATAATTCGACAATCTTAAAATATAGACCCGATCCTCAAAATGGCACAAAGCGTTTGTTAAAATAATTGTTACATGTAAATTTGGCACTGCTTATTTTTCAGGTTCGCGATCGTTCAACACATGTAATTTTGGAAAGCAGTCGCGATATCTATACGATTTATTTCCCGCCACCTAACTAACAAAATTCATTCAACATTCTGCACATTCAACATCAGTCAGATAATATTAAAATCACTCATTTACTATTAATCCCCAAACGATATGTTTTATTCGAATTATTATTAATAATGAAGGCCATTTGAGGAGAAGGTCTGTCATAGAATGCGGATAATTGTTAGCACTCTTCGTAATATATAACTAGTAAATGGTGAGATCAATAGATTAAATATGGACTCTGTTATTTAAACTTTGATCAGATCACCAAAAAGTCCCTAATACTGGGCGTTATTTAAATGCTAACAATAATTCTCGCGTTCTTTTTTTTTTCAACAAATCATTCTTTTCGACTTGTTAATTATTAGTAATATTAAAAATTCGTTTCTATAAAAATACATTCGTTATTAAAATATCTCGTAACAATTTCTATAAAACTAAATTTTTCCAAAACTACGACATGACATTTCACTATCATCTCGTATTTCGAAATTCGATCGTTTAGTCGGCTAGTATGGTAGCTAGGCAGTTTGTTTTTGTTGCTAATTTGTATAATAAACTGCTTCCCTTATTTTCACTTTCAGGCAGTATGTCTTCTGGAACTATAATTTTTTTTACCTAAATTTATTATATTTCATTTCCATATAAACTACTTAATACTAAATGGACGGCATTCATTTATTGCACAAAAATAGTCTAAACCTTTTAGGATACCCAAATTTGATTCGAGTATTAAAATTAAATTTTGATTCGTTCTATATACCTCGTATTTTACTTGTCGGGAAGCAGCGACCTTAATTTATAAAACTATTCTATCAGACCTGAGAAAGCAGCTACGTAACGTAGTCCGGTGTTGGTTCCGCAACAGGCTCCGCGCCTGTGAAAAGCGGATTTGGGAAATCTGGCGGATGGGGAAGCGGACCTGATGGCCTGGGCATCCTCCTGTAAGCCATCAGCCAGCACGAAACGGCTACGGCTACGGCCACTAGGGCCAACAGGGCTGTTATCACTAGAGCTACGATTAGACCCACCGTTGAAACGCATATATCGTCGCCTCCTCGTTGTGCTGATGGGTAAGCTAATTAAAAAAAGTATACCAATTATTAATTTCGCCATAAATCATTACAGATAACTATAATTAGCTTTCCGAAGGAGAAGTTTATGTTTCCATAAAAAAATCCGATTCGCTAATTTTGTGTTTTCTCGACGTTTCCAAACATTCTGAATCGAATGAGACCAAATTTGGAAAAAGTATGTGTGTGTATGTGTGAACAGATTTTTTGTCGTAAAGCGACGTTTTCTTATAAACAGCTGGACCGATTTCAAAAATTTAAAAGTCAATCGATGTATTTCGATGTGGACTATCTTTTCTCAGTTTTGTGTGGCTGTGCCGTTTCTTTGTAAATAGCAGAAAAGTGAAAAATTTTTCGTCGACGTTTTAGCTCTCAATTCTGAATCAATTTTAAAAAATAAAAAACTTTTCGAAAGATATTAGATATCATGGTCTTACAAAACAGACTAAAATGTTACGGCCCTACGACAAAAAGTTCAAGGTTAAAAATTCATAAAAGTTTAAGAAAATATTATTGTCAAAATTGCTTTTGTGATGTGACGAGTCAAACATTATTAATTCATTAAAATTTAAAATAATAAGCTATAATTTTAGAGCATACAAGCGTGTCTCGCAATATAATTAATATAATTACAGTTAATTTAAATGTGTTTGAGAAAATTCTATTCGAAATCGCAATCTTACACATTTCGCGAAGTTCATGCATTCAGTTTTATATTTGCTTCGCATCAACGAGAAAATATTAAATGACTGGAAATGTAATTTATATTGTATTTTAAATGAATTGAATTAATTTCCATATATTACTGATGTAAATTATATAAATAAGTTTACTTTGGAAAATTAATATCAATCATGGTAAGATGGTATAATACAATGCATATAAAAAATCAAGCAGATTACATATATTAAATATTATGTACGAACCTAGTTGAAAGTGGCATTTATCCTTAAGGCAAGTTGCATGAACTTCCCGAAATGTTTAAGAATCGACTTAATTAATCGATATTGAAATTTAGATATTTAGATAAAATTTTTAACTGTTTATTTTAATAATAAAGTTATCGCTTCCAATTCAATCTAAACATTGCGATTTCAAATAGAAGTTTCTCAAACACCTTTAAATTAACTGCAGTCATATTAATTATATTGCACAGCCACGTTCTTGAATGCCCTAAAATTGTAGCTTTATTATTTTAAATTTTAATGAATTAATAATGTTTGACTCATCACATCACCAAAGCAACTTTTGACACTTTTGACTATAATATTGTCTCAAACTTAAATTAATTTTTAACATTGAACTATTTGTCGTAGGGCCGTAACATTTTAGTATGATCTACATATAAGACAATCGGTAGATTTTTACCTAAAACTAATCAGTATCATTCTCAACCAATACCTTTCGAAAAGTTTTTGATTTTTTGAAATCGATTCATAATTGAGAGCTAAAACGTGGACGAAATTTTTTCACATTTCTGTCGCTTACAAAGAAATGACCCAGCCGATCGTCGCATGAAACTGAGAAAAGATAATACACATCGAAATGCATCGATTGGCATTTAAATTTTTGAAATCGGTTCAGGCGTTTTTAAGCAATCGTCGATGTAAGTTCTAATTTGGACAAACGAAAAAACGATACTAATATTTGCAAACTTCGACGAATTTTTGAAATTAAATGACTAGTCCTAGGGCCGTAATGTTTTAGTATGATCTATAAGGCTATGATATCTATCATCAAATCATAAAAATCATCTATCTAAAACTAATCATCAGGTTTTTGAATTTTCAAAATCGATTCAGAATTTCAGGCTAAAACGTAAACGAAAAATTTTTCACTTTTCTGCTATTTACAAAGAAACGGCTTGGCTGATAGTCGCGCAAAATTGATAAATACCAGTCCTCATCGAGATACATGCAAAGCTTTTAAATTTTGAAATCGGTCCAGCCGTTTTTGAAGAAAAGTCGATTTACGGCAAAATATCTGTTCACACACACACGCGCATACACACACACATACTTTTTCCAAATTTGCTCAAATACGTTTCTTCGGGATGTTAATAATATGACGGTATTCCAATTTATATTCGTACTAATATTATAAATATTCTACGAACCTTGAGATGAGCCAGCCGACGAATAACGTCCGCTTTCTTCCCTCCTCTCAAACGTCAAGATGGCATTTGACTGTATCGTAATTTCTTCTCTAAGTTGTCCTTCAAGAGCATCCTGTTTAGGCTGAACGGCTCTAGATGCGTTTCTGGCCGCTTCTTCGTCCAGGAACTGCACTGCTTCTCTTCGTCTGCGTCTCCTTCCGAAGGCGTCGTATCCTCTACAGTTGACCGGTTGGCATCTACCAAAGCAGACGCGAATATTGCACTGGAATCGTATATTATCACTGGACGGGAACTTAAAAGCATTGAAACTGGCCAATAAAGAGTTAGACTCTGAACTATGTTCCCATTCGCCAAAAATACTAGGATCTGTTGCGCAACCGTCAGCATCTGTTACTATGTATTCATTTTCTACGCTATCTTCCATTGTCTTAGCGACGCAACTGCGCGCAAATCCGCCATAAATTGCTGCAAAATAATGTTAATAATATTATTAAAAATATCATGAGAGATAAATTTTAACAGTTAAATTAAATTAAACTAAACGGAAAAAGAACAAATAGTCATTTTGAATGATTATAGAATTGTCAAATTAAAGTTAAACAAATAAATATTACTCACTTGAAGGCTGAACATCAACTTGCAACATTAAGTTATCACCAATTTCAGCAGAGTTTATTTCTAAACCATTATGAGTTACTATTCTCATCATACATGTAGGCGGAGGTCCTGTATTGGCTATTGTTCCAGCAGTTGTTAGCATAGCTACATTAAAACCTAATGTCACATTCTGTTCGCCAGTTCTGTACACACATTTAATATGATAAGCCTGAGCTTTGTACGTGACTAATTTAGGATGTTTCTGTATAACCAAAACGAAACTGGCTTGACCATTAACGTGAATAAGACCACATGTTCCAAAAAGTACTTTGAATATTTCAGTTCTTGGTGGACCATCAGGAGGTAGATTTAGTAATCTGCGGCAATTAGGATTTTTACTATGTCCTTTCACATAAAGAACGCCATTAAATCCTTTTTCAAGAATATGTATATCCACTTTAACGCCGTCCGCTTGACAATTGACTTCTATATCCGGTGATGGAAAATCTGTTCGGATTTGTTTGTCATGTTCTAAAAAAAAATAGTAATCACATCAGATTAGCATCATAGAATATTGGTACAAATGATGAAAGTTTCAGATATTTTTTTACTTACTGCATATTTCGTCTGGATTTCCAATATAGCCAGCTATGCACTGACAGATTGCTCTATGACGAGTTGCATTACAGAAAGCATTTACTCCACATACTTTATCCAAACATGGGTCTTCACAAACTTTAGACTCCTTACCGCATCTTTTGTCATCAGCACAGTCATCATCAGTTTCACACTCTGGTCGTTCTACTCGCACACACCATCCTGACTCGTCTAATTTATATCCATGCTCTACTGGACATATGCATCTGCCACGCTCATCAATCACCATACCCCTCTCTAGAGCGCAAGCACAACGTCCGTCTGGTGTGATTCTCATGCCAAGTTCAGGTCTGCATGGTACGCAATCTTCATTTTCATCGGCTGCGTTGCCAGGTGCGCAAGAACAACGGCCTGATTCATCAAGCATGTATCCTTTCTCAGTGCGACATACAATAGCTGAAATATTCCCAAATATTTAAATTATTAAAATATTAAAATCAATATTAAAAATATTCTTGATAGCCAAACTTAAATTATGTAGTATTTGTACTATAAATTAAATTTGTCTATAAATGAATTATTTTTCTATAATTTCTTTCATTGAGATTAAAATTTAATATACCTATCATCTGTTTAGTTACATATCGAACATATGAGCAAAGGAGTTAGTAATTTGAAATATTATTTTAAATATGAAGAAGTATTCTCTTGTACTTACTCTTATCGCATTGAACAGCAGCATTTCCTTGATATCCAGGTAGGCATTCGCATATCATTGTACGAACTGGCAAAGTATCAAGTACAGTACACATAGTATTAACTCCACATGGCGCTGTAACATTACATGGATTAATGCAATCACCTCCTATGCAAGCTAAACGCGAAGCGCAATCACCATCCACTATACAACTTTCATCACGTTCCCGTTGACAAATGCCGTCACTTATTTGCCTAAATCCAGGAGCGCACAGGCATTGCGCTTTATGGTATCTCACTTCACACTCTTCACCAGAAGAGCATGGACCATTATTAGCACAAGGATCAACACATTTATCATTTACGCAAGCACGTTCTGATGGACAATCTGAATCACTACGGCATCCCACAAGAATACAAGAGTTTTGGGGATCACCTGATAAACCTGCGGGACATTCACAAATTGGCCGGTGATCAATTGCATAGCAATCGGCGCCTATTCCACAGGCTGGACATACTGGTACGCAACGTCTATCTGAACAACGATGTTTTCCTGAACAATCTTGATCAGATCTGCAGCCTGATCGAACGCAGTGTAATTCTGGATTCCCTTCAAAACCTTGTTTGCAAGAGCAAACTGGTCTATGATCACGTACGCGGCATTCAGCATTCAATGCACAATTGCAGGGATCCCTGCAATAACCTCTCACGCACGCTTTGTCGGTTGGACAATCTGTGTCTGAAACACAACCGTCTGTTGTTGTTACTATGGCGGGAACGGCTTTGCAAGTACCTTCTCCAGAACTAATATATCCGTTAGGACATTCACAATACATTGTGCGCACTGGTGCTGATGGAACCACGTGACATTCGGCCGGTCTTCTACACGGTTCTAGAACTTCGCATGGATCTTTACATGTCCCGTCAAGACAGGCTAATGTAGCTCCACAATCTGTATCAATTAAGCATTCCGGTTGGGGCTCTAGTCGACAGCGAATATATGGATTTCCAATCCAACCATTTGGACATCTACATACTGGTTGGTGATTCTGCACTCGACATTCTGCTCTCGAAGAGCAAGGATTATCATATAAACATGCATCTATGCATTGCCCGTCAATACACTGTCGATCCATAGGACATTCATTATTACTTCTACATCCAACAGGAACACAGCGCTCATAACTGTTTCCTCTATAACCGCTTAAACATCTGCATTCTGCATGTCCATGCCTAACAAAACATTCAGCGTTTATTCCGCATGGTTCTCTTAACAAACAAGGATCAATACATTGACCATTCACACAAGCCCTGCTTGAACCGCATTCGGAATCAACGCGGCATCCTACAGTGCGGCAGGCAATATTCGGATTACCTTCCATACCTTCTTCACATGAACAAATTGGTCTGTGGTTTCGCACGAAACAAGTAGCATGTAGGCCGCAATCACAAGGATTGTGGCATTGCCTATTAATGCAAGCTTCGGAGTCTGGGCAATCTGCATCAGAAGTACAGCCTGGTGGGGATGGTAAAGGTATAGGTCGACACTCGCCATTAATTTCTGGTACCCAGCCATCAGGACATTCGCAAACCATTGTTCGTACTGGAACAGTGTCTAGGACGCTACATCTGGAAGATGATGTACATGGATGTAATTCTCTGCATGGATCTTGACAAGTCTGTCTTATGCAGGCCATTCGACTTGGGCAATCCGGATCAATTTCACATTCTGGTTTATCTTGGAATATAGGTCTGCGTTGACAATATGATGTTGGATCTCCAAGAGGATGACTTTCTGGGCATCTACAGGCAGCATGGTGATCTCTCACAGTACAGATGGCATTTTGAGCGCAAATTTGTGAGCTTTGTGCGCAAGGATCAACGCAATGTCGATTGACACAAGAGCGACTAAGCGGACAATCTGAGTTTTGCACGCATTCAATACGCTCGCAACGATGTAATGGGTTGCCTTCGAAACCTGATGCGCATCTGCAAGCAGCACGATGATTTGTTCCGTAGCATTCGGCATTTACTGCGCAAGGATCATTCAATAAACATGAGCTTATGCATTCTCCATTGAAACATTGTTTATCATCACTACATTCATGATTTGATTCACAGCCCACTATAAATAAAAAATATGTTAAGATATGGATAACATTTTTATGATTTAATTATATCATTAAATAATTTTTTTGTACAACTTACATTTGACACAACCAATTTGAGCATTTCCTGAATATCCTGGTTTGCAATAACATATTGGATGATGTTGGGTGACATGGCATATAGTATTTTCTCCGCAATTGCATGGATTAATGCAAAGCCTATTAACACATGATTCAGAAAGAGTACATTCTGAATCTGATTTGCAGCCGATTGTTGCTTCTGAAGCTGTAAAAAATATTATTTAAATTACAAATAGAAAGAAAAATTTAAGTTATAAAGTAAGAGGTAAATGGGAAGATAAATTGAAAATAATGATAATTATATATTAAAAAATAGAATTTAACAGACAAATTTTAAAAATTGAGTCTTTTGATTTAAATAAAAAATTGAAAACCATCACTAAAAGGCTATCAAAAACTACTACTTACGTGGTATACAATCTATTTGTGGATTGCCATTGTAGCCATCGGGGCACCTGCATACTGCGCGGTGCCTGGTAGCGTGGCAGAAAGCTGTTCGGGCGCAAACGCCTTCTTGCAGACAAGGGTTAACACAACGTTCGCGCTGGCATACTCTGTCGGAAGGACAATCTTCATCGTGATAACATTCTGCTTGCGGTATGTAAGATGGGTGTTTGGGCACTGAAATTGAATTATTAAATATTTAATAATTATAAATTAATATAGAACTAATGTTGAGCATGAAATAATATCAATAAGATAGTGATATAAGTAACATCAGTTTTTACTTACTTGGAATGCATTCTTTATGTGGATTTCCCTGATAACCAGGAGCACATTTGCAATCAACTTTATGTCTTCTACTTGTGCAAATAGCATTAACTCCACATCTATCAAGTTTGCAAGCCTCTATACAAGCACCGTGATGGCAACGATCTGAGTCAGGGCACTCGTGATCATTTCTACACATTGGTTTATCTCGAGTTATCTCAGCACAGCGGCCGTCCTCGGTTATAATTCTGTCTTCAGCACATTTACAAACAACTGTTCGTAAAGGTAGCGTATCCAAAACTGTGCAGATTTGATCAGGACTACAAGTATGCAAATTCATTCGGCATTGGTCAACGCAAATGTTGTTGATACATGCCAGACGACTCGGACAATCAGCATCATATTGACATTCCGGTTGTGGAAGCAAAGGTTGTTTAGGTGCTGTAAGTAAACCAAGATAATTGTAATATGAAAAATAATAGAATATAAATTATATTCATATTATACAGCACATATCTTAATAAGAATGTCAATGAACAATGAAAAACAGAAAGTGATTGGTTTATTATCAGTAGTAAAGTAAAAATATGGATTTCTCATATTATTTTTGTCTTACCTGTGCATTCAACATAGGGGTCGCCGAATAATCCAGGTTGACATCTACATGTAGGTTGATGTCTTCTGGCTTCACAAATAGCACCTTCAGCGCATGTATCAAAATCACAAACTTTTCTACAAACTCTATTTAGCCTGTCGCACGCTTCATCATCTGCACAATCATCATTATATTGGCACATTCCTTCAACACAGCTGATAAACGGATCTCCTTGCATTCCTATGAAAATAATATACTTATTAAATTGAAGACTAATTACAATTAATTACTTAAAACTGAAAATAGATATTTCAATTTATGAAAATGAATCTATATCAAATATTTCATTTAGATTCGGAATAATTCGGATGCTTTAGAGATATATATTATATGTTTACCTTGTGGACAAACACAGTTAGCGCGATGTGCTTGTGGTCTGCATTCCGCTCCGCGACCACAGTGTATTGTTTCTCCATAAGTGCAAGGATTCAAACATTTGTTTCCTATGCATGCCTTATCATATGGACAATCATGATCAGCTTGACATTCAGCTAAAATTCAAAATATTATTAATTAAATTGACATAATTTTTCCATCAAATTTATAATGCAAAAACCTATACCAAGACTAAACTAACATAGTCCTAGGAACATGAATATGTTATTGATAGCTTTTTAAGAACCTTATTATTAATTCCATTACTGTTTAATATCGTAAGAACATGAATAGTGACATATTTAATAGGTGCCGAAAAAAGTACCAATATTATACTTACGTTGGTAGCATTGTATTTGTGGGTCGCCTCCCCAATTTGGAGGACATTGGCATATTGGGCGATGTCTACGTACGCTGCATGTGGCATGTCCACCGCATGGGTTTGCTTCTGCACATGGATCTTGGCATCGTCCGTTTATGCATCCGCGATCATCCGCACATTCTGAATCTGATACACATTTGACCAACGTTTGTTGTACTAAAAAACATGAAAATTTTATTATTAATAATAACATGAGTGTTTTATTATTTCATAAAATATCATTTATTTTCAATATGAACATTTAAAACTAAAACATTCCGTTAAATTGTATTTCGTTTATTTAATATTTATTAATTGAAGAATAAAATTTGTGAGCAGTAATATTTTCTAATTGATATAATAATTGTAGACGTGACAAATAACAAAATAGTTATTTTTATTTTTAATAAATCTCACTGCAAAAAAATGAAGGATTGATGTGAATTAATATAAAATCACCTCTGTAGCAGTTGACGAATGGATCGCCTACTAGCCCAATGGGGCATCTACATGTAGCCTTATGCGAATGAGCTTCACATTCGGCCGATAGGGCACATGGACTTCCAACTTGACATGGATTTACACATTGTGTGTTGCGACAGGTTTCAGTAAACGCGCAATCATTATCACTACTGCAGCCAACTTTTTCTAAAAATGACGGGAATATAAATAAATAAATAAGAGTAAAAACATTAAATAAAATCATAAGAACCGTCAAATGAATTACTTCAAAAGCAGTATGAAATATTCTTTTTACCTAATTTGCATTCAACTCTTGCATCACCAGTATAACCAACATCACATTGGCAAGCTATCGTTCTGAGTGGCAAAGTATCTACCACGGAGCAGCTGGCATGTATACCGCAAGGATTGGTTTCACTACATGGATTTTTGCATATGCCGCTGAAGCAAGCTAGTCTGCTAGAGCAATCTGCATCAGTTGTACATTGTGGCGCCCTCTCAATTGGAACTAAAGTATGATAAAATTATTAATTTTTAAATAATTCAATCAATAATTATAAAAATAATACATGATTTCTGATAAATCGAAATAAATCTTTATCAGATCACTTAAAAGAGATCATTAATGACTTACCTATCTTGCAAGCAGTATGTGGATCCCCGGCATATCCAGTCGGACAACTGCATTGTGCACGGTGATTGATGACAGTACATTGAGCACCAGGAGCGCAATCGCACGGGTCAACGCATCGTTGATTGCGGCATGCTAAATCGTGCGGGCAATCGCGATCCGATGAGCATTCAGGTCTTAGACATTGAACCAATGGATCACCAGCGTGATTTGGTAGGCAATGGCATCGTGCGTGATGATACGAGTCTGCTATGCAGCGTGCGTTTACGCCACACTGTGTTGATAGACAAGGGTCGATGCACTCGCGATTTACGCAAGCGAGTTGGGCAGGGCAGTCAGAATTGTGGCGGCAACCAACTAGGATGAACACAAATAAGATGAAATAATTAAATATATTAGTTGTAATATTATGCAAGTATATAAAATTGCCTCTACAAATGCATACTGACTCTTACATAAATACAGAAAATATTCGTCGCATAAAAGATAGGTCGAACATGGTCAGGTGCTAAATTTTGTAAAAAAGTCATCCAACTCAAACATAATTTCTGATTATATTTGAAAACCATTAAGTAATTTTTTGAATTATATCACGAACATTTATCATGAACATTTAATATGTAATAATGATACTCACTCTCATAGCAAACGTGCTGAGCATGGCCAGTAAATCCATTTCTACAAGTACAAACCGGCCTATGAAGTTGGACGTGACATTCAGCGTTTACTCCGCAAATACTGGGATTATCGTGACATGGATTCAAACATCTGCCCGCCAAACAAGCTTTATCATTCGAACAATCTTTATCTTCTACACATTCTGGTTTTGGTACTGCAGAACAAAAGTGATTATAGCAAAAACTCAAGAGATATTGATTAGAAATGATTTATGGTATCAAAAATAAAATAATAAAGATTTATTTTATTTTTTTTCTTACCATCTTCAATTATTTGCAATCTGCAATCGATGTGTGGCGAGCCCACATAACCAGGTGGACAAGTACAAACGGCTTTGTGATTAATTGCGTTACATAAAGCATTGATTCCACAAGCATCTATAGAACATGGATCTCTGCACTTCTGACCGAAACAGGCTTTATCACGTGGGCAGTCTTGGTTGATAACACATTCAGGATAAATACATATAGCAGCGCCATTGTGAATTCTACATTGCCCGTTACCTTGGCATGGTGATGGATTGCAAGGGTCTACCGGTTCAACTTTAAAATAAAATAAATGTTTCAATTTTAATTACTAAATAATAAAGATATTTATAATAATTACTAAATAATAAAGATTACTTATTAATTACTAAATAATAAAGATAATACATTTATGCATATTATACGATTTACAGGTAGCTCATTAAAAAAATTCAAACACTGGTAGAATACAGATTAACGGTTGGACTTACTTGTACGCTCAATACATCTCACAAATGGATCGCCTATTAGTGGCGGAGGACAAGAGCATAGTGGGCTGTGGTTGACTGTTCTGCACCGTGCTCCAAATCCACAAATATTGCTTCCTGAAGTGCACGGGTCGACACATTTACGAGCTACACAAGCTCTGTCTTGCGCACAATCTGAGCTTATAGTACATTCAGGTCGACATCCGCTAGTTGGCTGACCGAAGAAGCCAGGCAGACATTCGCAGATCGCTTGTCCATTAAGTGCTCGACAAATCGTGTGCTGCCCGCAAGGTGATGGGTTACATGGGTCTCTTGCAGCTGGGGTTTCTAAAGAAAATACACAGGCCAAACAAAAGTTTCATTAATTTATTGGAAGTTCAAAAATTCATTGTAATTTGATTTTTTAAGAAATCAAAGATGTAGTAAAGAAATCATTGTTATAATGTAATAATGTATTTTTTTACCTCTATATGTAATCTGCAAACATTGTCTGAACGCATCTCCAGTGTATCCTTCAAGACACGAACAGCTTGGTACGTGCGCTACCACAGTGCATTGAGCGTTTACTCCACACGTTCCTGGGCACGGATCTTGGCATTTGTTTCGCAAACATGCACGGTTCATCGGACAGTCGGAATTTAGCAGACATTCTGGTCGGCATCCCTATAAAATACATAAAATATTTGAATCTCGCCATTGATAATAAATTCGCATCATAAATTTTTCGAATTAAAGTGCTCGACATATATTTTATAGTCTACTACACTGCGCGACAAAATTGGCACTTTAATTTTTTTCCTCGAACTTTTTTTTAAATCCACTCAGAATTGCTCGCTGATTTCAAATATATCTTCCATTTTTTCGTAACAGCTCCAGCTTTGAGTTTTAAGGTACTATTCCTAAGGCAATTTAACGAATAAATAAGAGTTTTATCTGCTATTTTTGGTATGGCTTCGACTCTAAGACGTTGTGAACATAATTCCAGTAGTTTTTGTTACACCTATGTTTAATATGTTTTCGACAAATACCGGAAACCTATGTCAACTGTGTAACAACATCATATTTCAACCACTTTAAAACTAAATTGCGCAATAAAGATAAAACACGGGTTAAAAATTGCGTAGTATGTTTACGTTTTTATCCAGAATAAAAAAGATGATATAATTCTAATATCTCCATCATTTAGAAAAAATCTCAATCACCACGACGGTTGCTTTTTCTAGACAATAGAAGGAAATTGTCATAAACCACAACCCCAATGATATTGAGCTATGCTAATTGTGCTAATTATGAACAACCTAGAACGTCAACATCTCCTGCCTGCCAAAAAATAGATGCAGACCAACATTAAAAAAGAAGAAAGAAAATTTTGAAAACTGATATATTTGATGTAATTGATTTGATTTCAACACCCGCACTCTTGTTTAGAATGGTTTTTAGAAAATGTTGGAGATATTAGCGAAGAGCAGGGCGAGAGTATCCACCAAAACATCAAGTCTTTGCAGGATCAAAGAAGATGGTACATGCACATGATGGCTGACAAATGTAGCTTATGACGAAATCAGCTAGGCCTTAGGTCCATGCTCGAAAATCATATAAAAAGAGCTTTGAAGACAAAATAAAATACGTTGTATTTTATATTGCAATGTGTGGTAAAACTAGCATATTGGCATATCTCAAAAACTAGAGCTGTTAACGAACTTCTGATTCGTTTTCGGAATCAGCGTCCTCGAATTACTGAAAAACTATCATAACATCTCAGGAAAAAAATTAATGTCGCAAAGTGCTATCTATGCATACATCTTAAAATGTACGAATGTTTTCGAGATTACACCGCTCGTACGATCGTAGTGTTAGAGCTATTTCAAGATATTTTATTTCTTATGGTATTATTTACTAATATAACGTTCACATAACCACTAAACATTTTAAAATATTTGACCAGTTATAACTTTTAAATAGATAACAATATTACAATCCTACAATCCTCCATAAAATATATAACAATATTACATTCCATAATATATTTGATTAATTCAATAAATGAATTGAAAATACTAATATTTCAATTTATTTAAATTATTGTAAAATTATTAAATGATAAATTATTATACTCTTCAAAAGTAAAGTGATCATGATTATTATAGCATATACAATTTGTTTAAAATTATATTGTATTTTATTTATAAAATGATACAAAAGTAATGAAAACTGATAAAATAGTTTTCGATCTTTCTCATATTTAAAGTTTCCAGTTACTTGAAAAGTTTGATATATTTACATTTCTGTAAACATTTATGTTTTCTCATATTAATTAGAAATCTAGATAGAATTAAAGAAGTATAAAGAATTCTCATAGTAACTTGTAATTTAGAAAAATTCTGTCGCTGTTATATTGGATTTCTTATTATTATTTCTTCATTATATTTTTGCGAATAAAATCAATAATTTTGTAATTGCGCGCGACTCATTAATCAATTCCGTAAGTTATGAAAAATTTGAACTTTTAAGTATACTATTTATAGAACAAAGCATTTAATTCAAATGTAAAATACGTTTCTATATAAGATGTGCGATTAGTGAAAAGTTATATAAAAAAATAAATCCAGACAGAATTATTATTAATAAGTTAATTAAAGTTATATAAATAGTTATTTTATTTATGTATTTAATATTGATAAAAAGAACTTGCTGGACCGTACTTGAATAATACTAATAACTTAATAAATTTATCTGCGTATTTACAATATATAATATTACTAACTTGGTATGGGTCTCCGTGGTAATCTGTGATACATTCGCAAAGGGCTCTGTCGTACTCCGTGCGGCATATCGCATTGTGTCCGCAAGGTGATGGATGACATGGATCCTTTGGTAATCGTGGAGGTGTCGATGGAATAGCTGAATAATCAAATATAAAAATCATATTTAATGTTTTACTAAATTTTAAGTTTACAAACAACAAATATTGCAGATATATCTATATTATAAATTTGGGCCCGGCGGTGGAGTAAACAATTCGAACTTGGGCTAGCACAAACAAGTCCCGGGTTCGCTGGTTTAATTTCCGCTACCGCCAAAACCCAAAATCAGGTTACTTTGGTGTCAAATTTCCACCTGAGGCTATAGATCTCAAATATAGCCTCAAATGGAAATCGCCTCCTGTTGGAAGCTGCATATATATGCTGATATTCGCATAAAAATGTCAACAAATGCTTCGAGTATAGTTACTTAGTCAGAAATGGATTAGACAACTACTGGGTTTCCACCATTAAAAATCCATATAATAAAGTCAAAACAATTACTTAATATACTAGTATAACAGATTGTAATTGAAAAGTAAAAAAATGCTCAAAGAATAATTTTTAAATGAAAAGGTTAATTCTAAACAAACTTGCATGAAATGAATCAACTAAAAAATTGGTGAACCATGATTTAGAGTTTCTTAAGCTTATATATAAAATATAAAACTAATATTAAAAATCCCACAAATTTGCAACTCAAATTACATGCACTTAGCATTAAAATTAATATTCTCAACTTATGATTTCATGCAATGATGCAAATATTATGTTATTTATATAAAACTATTATTTACTGTTAATAGTAAATACTTGAATTACTTAAATACACAGAAATAAATATGACAAGTCAATATAGACTCTAAACCTTTGATTGTTCATCAAAAATTTGATCAATGATTGCATGCACCCAAGTGAATAACTAAAATTAGTGTGAAATAATGTTTGCCATGGGGTAGTTAAATTTTATTATTAAAATGATTTTTAGATTCAGGATTAACGCTTTTTTATTTACTTTTGTTATTTTTTTTATTAAATAATTAAATGTGATTTTGATTAACTTTTATTTTATGAGTTTTATCACATCTAATACTTATTTTATTTATTGCTGTTTTAGTTGGTAAAGCACCTTTTACGTTTTAATTTCTTAAGTCGTAAATATAAACGCTTACGTGTTGGTTTAGAACACGAAGTAAATGGATTTCCAACATATCCTTGGAGACATATGCAATGCGGTATGTGATTTGACACATGGCATTCGGCATTATATCCGCAAGATGCTGGACAAGGATCACGGCATTTCTGGTTAAGACAAGCCAAGTGTTTTGCACACTCGGAATTACTTATACATTCTGGCCTACAGTATGGTGGTTGTCCGATAAATTCAGGGAGACAAGAGCAACTATAAGTATCACCGTGAGATTTACATTGGGCATTCGGTCCGCACGGAGGTGGCAGACAAGGATTTGATGGTATTGGCTTTGGTTCTTCCATTAGAGCTATTTTAATTAATTAAAGAATGTTTGATATATATATATATATATATATACATATATATATATATATATATATATATATATATATGTGTGTATATATAAATATTCTCAACTAATAGTCAACATCTATATGATTCGTAAAGTAAATATTGCAATTATTATTGTCTTACGGATAGCATGACATCTGGAGAAAGGATCGCCAGTATATAAAGTTGGGCAACTGCATACTGGCGTATGACTTCTGACTGTGCATCTAGCATTTAATCCGCATGCTCCTATACAAGGATCTATACATCTGAAGTTATTGCAGGCTAGAGATAAGTCGCATTCTGAATTTACTACACATTCTGGCCTGCATGATGGTGGAGTCCCGTGATAGTTGGGCAAACATGTACAAATTGCTTGCTTATTTATAACACGACATGCACTGTATAGACCGCATGGTGATGGATTACAAGGATCAGCAATTTTAGGTGCTAAAATATCGATTTATATAAATCAATAAATTATTTTTTAAACTAAAATATAATTGAGAATAAATACATACGAGGCAAAATTCTGCAGGATATGAATGGATTTCCAGTCATATCATGCGGGCAACTACATATAGGAACATGGTTCACAACGTTACAAATAGCTTGACTGCCGCATGTACCAGGGCAAGGATCAGTGCATTTATTGCGAATACAAGCTTTGTTTCTTGCACAATCTGAATTCAATATACATTCTGGACGACATCCTGTGTATGGGTCACCGTGATATTCAGATATGCAAGTACATATACCATTTGAGCAGTGTGCGTTGGATCCGCATGGGAATGGATTACAAGGGTCTTGTGGTATAGGTTTATCCTCTGGAATATTAAGTAAAATGAAATATTGCCGTAATAATATGCTAATTAGTTTAATATGAAGGTTTATCTTACGTATGTTAGGTCTTAAATGACAACTTATGAATGGATCGCCTACATAACTTTCTAGACATGTGCAAATCGGAATGTGATTATTTACATGGCATATAGCATTAACACCACATGAGTTGGGGCATGGATCCCTACATTTTCCATTTATGCATGATTTACTACTGATACAATCAGAATTAATAACACACTCGGGTCTGCAATTTGGAGGCATTCCAAAATAGTTTGGCAAACACATGCATAAAGCCGAGCCTCCAACGTCTCGGCATTGAGAGTATATTCCGCATGGTGACGGATAACAGGGATTTTGGTATTCATGAACTATCGCTGGTTGAGGAGCTGACAAAAAAAATTTTAATAAATATTTCAATAATATTTAACATTCGGGTTTTTATTATAATATCTTACGAGGAACTAAGTAGCAACGAGAAAACGGGTCTCCTGTATAGCCTACTGCACATGTACACACTGGACTGTGATTTATTACTTTACATTTAGCGTTAATACCGCATTGCTCAGAACAAGGATCAATGCATTTATGATTAACACATGCTTTATCCAGGGCACATTCAGAGCTGACAATGCATTCTGGGCGACAATTTGGGGGTGTTCCAACGTATGTTTGTAAGCAAGAACAACTTGCTTGATCATTCACAATAACGCATTGAGAATTTGGTCCGCATGGTGAAGGGCGACATGGGTCCTTTACATCTGCTAATTTTGCTGAAATTATTTTATGGTTTATAGTTGGAAGTGTTATGATATTTAACATGATTCGAAATAACGTTATGCTTACGTTCACTTATAGCTATACTGCAATATCTAAATGGATCGCCAGTATAACGTGGATAACAAGTGCAAGATGGTATGTGATTTATAACTTGACAAAACGCGTTTTGCGCACAAGTTCCCGGGCAAGGATCATGACATTTATTTCTTATGCATGCTCGACTAGGCGGACAATCTGAATTCAAGACACACTCTGGCCTGCATCCTTCATATGGATTGCCAATATAATCAGATAAACAGGAACAACTTGCAGCACCATTCTGTTCTCTGCACATGGCATTTATACCACAAGGAGATGGCATACAAGGGTTGATATATTTTACAGGACGTTCTTTTATAGGATCAATATAACAACCAGTGAATGGATCACCAACATAGCCAGGCTGACAAACGCATACAGGAGCATGGCTGATAACATGGCATTGAGCATTAGTTCCACAAACTCCTGGACATGGATCTTTACATTTTTGGCGTATACATGCCAAGCGGCTACTACATTCTCCATTACTTATGCACTCAGGTCTACAATACGGTGGACTGCCAATAAACTCTGGTAAACATGCGCAAGAAGGTGCATCGCCAATAACTTTGCATATTGAATTTGGACCACAAGGTGATGGATTACATACATCTATTTCCAAATGGTTAATTGCTTGAACTTGCGCTAGAATAAATAAGAAAAAAATGATTTGATTTCAATATGCACAACTATTATAAATTATATTAGCTAGATGTTGCAACTCACGTTTCAATTCACATCTTGTGAATGGATTTCCAATATAACCTGGCGGACATTTACAAAAAGGATTGTGGTTAATGACTTCGCAGATAGATCGAATTCCACATGTACCAGGGCACGGATCTTCACATTTTTGATTTATGCAAGCTTTACGAAGACTGCAGTCAGAACTTAGTGTACATTCTGGCCTACAAGTGGGTGGACTTCCTATGTAGCCTATTATGCATGAACATATTGCTTGACCATTTATCTCCTGACATTGGCTATTTTGACCGCAGGGAGATGGGTTACACGGATGTTTTACTTCCGGTGCTGCTGGTATGAAAATATTTATTTTTTACGGATACCTCTGTTTATTTATTCAAGTTTAAAAGTGCTCTTAATAAAAAGTCTTAAATCAGAAAATAAAAAAAAGTATGCAATTATATTCTTACGTGGAATGCGTGAACAGCTGATGAAAGCATTTCCGGTCATTCCTTGCGGACAACTGCATATTGCTATATGGTTTATAACATTGCAATGTGCAGTACTAGCACAGAGTCCTAAACAAGGATCTAAGCATTTATTTGTAATACATGATAATGTGCTCATACACTCTGAATTAATTGTACATTCTGGTCTACAGCCGATATAAGGATCACCAAAGAACTCAACTTTACACGAGCAGATACCATCTTTACAAATCGCATTTGTACCACATGGTGATGGATGACATAGATCATGAATAACATCATTTGCTAAAACATTATATTTTAAAATTTGATATTGTAACTAATTTAAATTTAAATATTTCACACACAAGAAGCTTACATGGTTTAGGAATAGGATAGCAACTGCTAAATGCATCACCCATATATCCACTCGGACAAGTGCAAATAGCTGCATGATTAATAACGATACAAATAGCATTATTTCCACAAGAATTTGGACAAGGATTTTTACATCTGTTATCAATACAGGCCAAACTGCTAATACAATCAGAATTTATAACACATTCATGTTTACAATTTGGAGGGTATCCTATATATCCAGTCAAACATGTACATTTTGCATAATTATTGACGTTTTCACAAATAGCATTTTGTCCGCACGGTGATGGTATGCAAGGATTTCCCGGTATTATAGGATCGTTTGGTACTGTAAAGGATTGAGAATGTAAATGAAAATATTTATATATATTTAAGATAAAATCTTCACAAAAGTTTTATCCCACCTGTTATTAAGTAGCAAATAGAGAACGGATTGCCTGTATATCCAGGTTTACATGTGCAGATTGGGCTATGATTATTCACATTACAGTTTGCATTAGTGCCACAAGTATTAGGGCAAGGGTCTGCACATTTTTGATTTATGCAAGCTTTGTTTAAGCTGCATTCGGAACTAACTACACATTCAGGTCGGCAACCTGGTGGGCTTCCAATATAGTTTGATAAACATGAACAAATAGCTTGATCATCACTTTCGCGGCATTGACTATTTGGTCCACATGGTGATGGGTAGCAAGGATTTTGTTTTATTGCTAGAATATATATAATATAATCATACACGTTATACAATCAGTACTAAAAATTGATACTACTATCGTTTAAATAACACTCACGTTGTTCTTGAATTATATTGCACAGGTTAAATGGATCGCCAGTATAGCCTGGATAGCAAGTGCAATGTGGTAAGTGGTTTACAACTTGGCAATTAGCATTCTGTCCGCATGTGCCAGGGCAAGGATTTTGGCATTTATTTCTTATACAAGCACGATTTGAGGAGCAATCTGAGTTTAAGATGCATTCAGGTCTGCAATTTTCATATGGGTTACCAACATATTCTGGTAAACACGTACACGAGCCAACACCGTTTTGTTCCCTACAAATGGCATTGGCCCCGCAAGGTGATGGAATACAAGGTGTTAAGCTGTCTTTTTGCACATTCTCTATTATCTGATAACAGTTTGTGAAAGGATCACCGGTATGTCCCACAGAACAGAAGCAATTTGGTGTATGACTAATCACGCGACATTCGGCATTGAACGCACATGATCCAGGGCATGGATCTCTGCATTTTTGATTGATGCACGCCAAATTACTTGCACATTCACTATTGCTAATACATTCTGGCTTGCAACTCGGTGGTTGTCCAATAAATCCAGATAGACATGAGCATGATGGAGAATCATTTGAAACATGACACTGAGAATTTGGCCCGCATGGAGATGGGTGGCACGGATTTATTCGAGTTTGTGGAATATTATCTTGCGCTAAAGAAATTTAAGTTTAATAAATGAATGTAATTTTAATAATCATATTTAAATTTTGTTATATTTTACGTACGTTTAACATAGCATCTGGAAAATGGATCACCAATGTAACCACTAATACAACTACAAATTGGATTGTGATTTGATACTTCACATCGAGCATTTATTCCGCATGTACCAGGACATGGATTTTTACACTTTTGATTACTACAAGCTTGGTTCGGTAAACAATCAGAGCTAACTATACACTCTGGCCTGCAAGTGGGTGGTTGGCCAATATAACCAATAATGCAAGAACAAACAGCTTGACCGTTTATAGCGCGACACTGACTGTTTGGTCCACAAGGTGAAGGATAACATGGATTGACAGAAGGTTGCTCTACAAAGACAACGACATTTTGTTATATGCACACATACATAATTTAGATATTACTATTTGACCTACCAATAAATGGCCTACAGGAAATTAGGGCATTTCCTGTCAATTCAGGTGGACAACTACATATGGGAATGTGATTGATCACATTGCAAATTGCTTTATTTCCGCAAATACCAGGACAAGGATCGACACACTTATTACGCAAGCATGCCTTATCTCGTGCACAATCAGAATTCAGAACACATTCGGGTCTACAGCCAGTATAAGGATCCCCATAAAATTCAAAGTGACACGAACACAAACCATTAAGGCACTTGGCATTAGGGCCACACGGGGAAGGATTACAAGGATCTTTCAACGCAATTTCATCTTCTGAAATAATAAAAGAAAATCAGCGAAATTCAGGTGGTATAATTAAAACAATGTATAATACTTACTCATTGGAGGTTTTTCATTACAGTAGCTAAATGGATCACCCTCATATCCCGATATGCAGGTGCATGTAGGCAAATGATTGAATACTTCGCACTTAGCCCTAAAACCACAAGCACCAGGGCAGGGATCACTGCACTTTTCTTTAATACAGGCTTTGCTACTGATACATTCAGAATTAACAGTACACTCGGGACGGCAAAAGGGAGGAGAACCATAGTAATTAGGCAAACAAGAACAAGAAGATGTTCCGCCAATGTTATGACATTGAGAATTTGGTCCACAAGGTGATGGATAACACGGATTTCGTATTTCATCCTTGACTGATATTTTGATAGGTGCTGCAAAGCCAAATACTTATATTTACACAAATTAATATTTAACTTCATAATTTGAAAGTATCGTTGAACTTACGTGGCAAAGGATAACAGTAAGAAAATGGATCTCCTGTATAACCTGAGGTACATGTACATATAGGACTGTGATTAACAATTCTACATTGTGAATTAATGCCACAGGGCCCGGGACAAGGGTTGATACATTTTTTATTCAAACATACTTTATCAAGGGCACATTCTGAGCTAACAACACATTCTGGTCTGCATCCTGGCGGATTACCAATATAAGTAGGTAAACATGAACATATGGCTTGATTATTATTTTCTCGGCAATTGCTATTCGGTCCACATGGAGAGGGATAGCATGGATTTTTGGCTTCTGGTATTTGTGCTGAAATATATTAGTAAATATTGAATTAATGAGTGAAACTTGTTCTCTCACATAAAAAAAAACTTACGTTCATCTTGTGGTATAGCGCAAAATTTGAATGGATCGCCAATATATCCATGCAGACAAGTACAAGAGGGCAAATGATTTATTACTTGACAATTAGCATTATGTCCACACGTACCCGGGCAAGGATCTTGACATTTATTTCTTATACAAGCCTTATTTGGAGAACAATCAGAATTTAAAACGCATTCTGGTCGGCAACCTTCGTATGGGTTACCAATATATTCAGGAAGACATGAGCAGGAACCAGCGCCATAATGTTCGCGGCATATAGCATTAGAGCCACACGGCGTTGGTACGCAAGGTGTAGGTCTTTCTTGTAAAATGATATCCATTTGCTTCGAACATTGTACGAATGGATCTCCGGTATATCCAGCAGAGCAAACACAAACTGGAGAGTGAGAAATAACTCGGCATTTAGCGTTGGATCCACAAGCTCCGGGGCAAGGATCTTGACATTTTTGATTTATGCATGCTAGGTTATTAAAACATTCAGTATTGCTTACGCATTCTGGTTTACAGAATGGAGCTTGTCCCACATATCCTTCTAAACAGAAACATTGATAAGAAGTTCCAGTAGTTTTACATTTAGAATGTGGTCCGCAAGGTGAAGATGCACAAGGATCCAATGTCGGTTCAAGGGCTACGGGTTCATCTATAATATTTTATGCTTATTATGTTTATATTATTTTATATTGTAGTTTAAAATTCAATGATTCTTACGCATACGATAGCAAGCAACGAAAGGATCGCCAGTATAGCCTTGAATGCAACTGCAAATTGGATTATGATTAACAACAGAACATTTCGAATTCAAACCACATGTTCCCGGACAAGGATTTCTACACTTTTGATTATTGCATGCTTCAGATTGTGCGCAATCAGAACTAATTATGCACTCTGGCCTACAAGTCGGTGGACTTCCTATATATTCAGGAAGGCAGGAACAAACTGCTTGATTATTGAAGTCACGACATTGACTGTTAGGACCACACGGAGATGGTGAACATGGATCACGTGGCAATTGAGCTTTTGAATATAAATATCATGTAAATATAATTGAAAGCTTGTAAAATAGTTCAAGCATTGATGAAAATCACCTACCTTTAATAGTTGTACAAAGAACGTGTGCATTTCCTGTTGTCCCAGGGAAACAACTACATATTGGAATATGATTTAAAACTGAACAAAGCGCATTTTCTCCGCATGTCCCAGGACAGGGATCTATGCATTTATTTTGTAAACATGTTCGATCTCTATTGCAGTCAGAATTAAGTACACATTCAGGCCTGCATCCAGAATATGGATCTCCATGGTATTCTGCCAAACAAACGCATGTTCCTTCATGACATTGTGCATTGGATCCACATGGATTTGGATAACACGGATCAGCAATTGGCTCTTTAAATTTGATAATATATATTTGAATATCAAGTTTAAAATTAATTTAAAAAAGATTTTCATTAACGCGTTCTTACCGTCGACTGGCTTTGGTTGACAATTTACAAATGGATCCCCAGTAAAGCCATTAATACACGTACAAATGGGCGTGTGATTTATTACATTGCAGAGTGCATTTACGCCGCAAGATCCTGGACAAGGATCCCTGCATTTTTCACCAATACAAGCTTGATTACCCAAACATTCAGAATTCATAACACATTCAGGTCTACAATTTGGCGGAATACCAATGTAAGTCGCTCGGCAACTGCATGATGGTGAGCCCCCTATATCTTTACAATAAGCATTTTGCCCACAAGGTGAAGGTACACATGGATTTCTATATATAGCTGGAGTTATAGGTGGCGATTGTTCTGAAGTTAGAATTAAAATATTAATTAACGCAGAAAAATATTTTTTAATTTATTCATAGAAACAAATAAAAAAAACCCTTACGTGGTATAAGATAGCATTTTGATAATGGATTTCCTGTATATTTTTCATTGCAAGAACATATTGGGCTATGATTTATAACTTGGCATTGAGCATTAATGCCACACGACCCCTGGCATGGGTCGGTACACTTTCTATTCATACAAGATTTATCTAAACTACATTCCGAGTTAGTAATGCATTGTGGACGGCAATTCGGCGGTCGGCCTTCATACGAAGGCAAACATGAACAGACAGATTGACCATTTACCTCCCTGCATTGGCTATTAGCCCCACAAGGATTAGGTTGGCATGGGTTTGTCGGCTCGTACGCTATTGCTGTACAAAAATAAACAAAAATCATATACATGTTTATTGGTTAATTTAAAACATATCTGATGTTCTTACGTTCTAGTACGATAAAACTACAATGTACAAAAGGATCGCCGTTATATCCTTGCCGACACGTGCAAGAGGGAAGATGGTTAACAACTTGACATACTGCGTTTTGACCGCAAGTACCAGGACAGGGATCTCTGCATTTATAATTGACACAAGCACGGTTTGAAGGACAGTCTGAATTTAAAACGCATTCAGGTCGACATCCTTCATATGGATTGCCAAAGTAGTTTTCAATGCATGTACATGATCCTGCACCATTTTGCTCTTTACAAATTGCATTAGAACCACAAGGTGATGGGACGCACGGATTAGGCCTATCATAGACGATAGGGGGGGGTTCTCTGACACATTGTATAAACGGATTCCCAATATAACCAGAAAGACAATTACAAATTGAAGTGTGACTAACAACATGACATTCAGCATTAATGCCGCATGATCCAGGGCACGGATCTTTACATTTTTCTTTGATGCATGCCAAGGAATTAGAACATTCACTATTACTGATACATTCTGGTCTACAGTTTGGTGGCTGACCAATAAATTCTGGTAAGCATGTGCATGATGGAGAATCACCGATAGCTTGACACTGTGAATTTGGACCACATGGATTGGGTACACATGGATTCACAGGTACTTTCATTTCAGGCACGTGAGCTAAAATTATTTGAAGGTTTATAACAAACTACAAACATGAAATTTCGAAAAAAATCGCTAGGAACATAATGGTTCTTACATAAAATATAACATCTTAGGAACGCATCGCCTGTATGTCCTTGCGGGCAACTACATATAGGTCTATGATTAAATACGTTACATATAGCTCCAATTCCACAAGCACCCAAACAAGGATTGCCGCATTTTTGATTACTACACGCTTCATTCCGAGCACAATCAGAATCGATAATACATTCAGGTCTACATGATGGTGGTTGTCCAACATATCCAATGATACAAGAACATATAGCTTGTTGATTTATTTCGCGGCATCGGCTATTGGGGCCACAAGGAGAAGGGTGACAAGGATTTGAAAGTACAGGTTCTGCAATGTTTGGATGTTTCATTAGCAGATCAGATTATATATATATATATATATATATATATATATATTATTATATATATTATTAGATATATATATATATATATATATATATATACTTACTCTCCACTCGATGACATTGTATAAATGCATTTCCAGTCATATCTGAAGGACAACTACACATAGGCAAATGATTAATTACATCACATATGGCTTGCGCACCACACGATCCAGGGCATGGATCTATACACTTATTACGTATACAAGCTTTATCATAAGTACAATCCGAATTCAAAACACATTCTGGCCTACAACCCGAATATGGATCTCCATGATACTCAACTAAACATGTGCAAGTTCCATCTTGACATTTCGCATTTGGCCCGCAGGGTGACGGGTGGCACAAATCTGTTTTCAGTGGAATGTCATCTAAAAAGTTTGTGTTATGAGTATTTTAAATATGTTTAATAGTAGATAACAAATGTTTAATTACTTTTAGGTGGTACATGCTGGCAGTTGGTAAATGGGTCTCCAGAGTATCCTTCTAAGCAAGTACAAACTGGAGTATGGTTGATTACCTGGCAGTTAGTATTTATGCCACATGAACCTGGACAGGGGTCAATGCATTTTTCTTTTATACACGCTTTATTACTTATGCATTCCGAATTGATGGTACATTCTGGATGGCAATTCGGAGGTACACCGAAATAAGTGGGCAAACAAGAACATGAAGGTGTTCCACCAATATCAACGCATTTAGAATTTGGTCCACATGGTGAGGGGAAGCAAGGGTTTCTGTAGGTGTCTCTCTCAGGTATAACCGTATCTAAAATGCCACTCATTTATAAGTATTTAATTATTCAAAAAATAATATTAAAAAAAATAATGGTGGTCCTTAAAACGGCTCTCCAACCAAAGTTTCATACAAAAATAACATGCGAAATATTCCATTAGCAAAGGAGCAAAGAAATTCGAAAATATCTATATCAAAGACCACCCTAATATATATATATATATATATATATATATATATATATATATTTGTATGCATGTTTTTGTATGTCTTACGTGGGATTTGTGAGCAACGTGAAAAAGGATCTCCTGTATCACCAGGTTTGCACGAACAAACAGGGCTATGATTTACTACTCGGCATTGCGAGTTTTGACCGCATGATCCTGGGCATGGATTAACACATTTTTTATTCAAGCATGCCTTTGTAGAATCACATTCAGTGCTTATAACACATTCGGGGCGACATCCTGGTGGGCTGCCTACATAAGTTGGGAGGCATGAACAAACAGCCTGATCACTAATGCGTTTGCATTGACTATTAGGCCCACATGGAGATGGATAACAAGGATCGTTTATTTCGGGCTTTTGTGCTATAAAGGTATAAATAGTTGAACAAATGACTTCCAATTTTTACTATATTATTATTAATTGTTGAATGTACTTACGTTCTTCGTAATATATATTACAGAATTGGAAAGGATCTCCAGTATAGCCTAAATAACATGTGCATAGAGGTAAATGATTAACGACTTGACATTCAGCATTTCGACCGCAAGTTCCAGGACATGGATCTTGACATTTATTTCTTATACACGCTAAATTAGATGAACAATCAGAATTTAAGGTACATTCTGGTCGGCAACCCTCGTATGGATTTCCTATATATTCATTGATACAATGGCATGATCCAGCACCATTTTGTTCTTTGCAAATGGCATTTGAACCGCAAGGCGAAGGTATACATGGAGTGAGTATTTCTTGCGGAATCGGATCTTCTTCTTTAAGATAGCACTGTGTAAATGGGTCCCCTACATAGCCGTTCATGCATACACATACTGGAGCATGACTTACGACCCGGCAATGTGTATTTGCCCCACAAGATCCGGGACAGGGGTCTTTGCATTTATAATTAATGCACGCTAATGTACTAGAGCATTCAACATTGCTAATACATTCTGGTTTGCAATATGGTGGATTTCCTATAAAGCCCGGCAAGCACGAGCATGAGGGCTGATTATTTATTGTTCGACATTGTGAATTAGGACCACATGGATTTGGTAAACATGGATTGGCAGTAGATTGTATTGGTTCATCTTCTATTGAATAAATTTTGATATAATACAGCAGATTTACAATAAAAACTAAGAATTGAATGTACTTTAATACTTACGTAGAATATTACATCTTATAAACGGATTTCCTGAATAATGAGGGAGACAACTACAAATCGGACTGTGATTTACTACTTCACAAATTGCACCGATGCCACAGGCACCAGGACAAGGATTTTTACATTTCTGATTGTTGCAAGCTTCATTCAGAGGACAATCTGAATTGGTAATACATTCAGGACGACAATTTGGTGGGCTAGAAATATAGTTCGGGGCACATGAACATACAGCTTGACCATTAATTTCACGACATTGGCTGTTTGGACCACATGGTGAGGGATTGCAAGGATGCTTAGGTCGATCAACTATAAGAAAATTTTCTAGTTCATTTTTTATTTTCTAATATATGATCGCTCATAAATATTTTACATAGCTTACGTACCGCTGACAATTCTGCATTCTACAAACGCATTGCCACTCATTCCAATAGGACAACTACACATTGGTAAATGGTTTATAACGTTGCAAATTGCCTGTAATCCGCAAACGCCAGGGCAGGGATTTACACATTTATTGTGCAGACATGCTTTATCCTTTGAGCAATCTGAATTAAGAATACATTCTGGCCTGCAACCTATATACGGATTTCCATGATATTCTTGAAGACAAATACATTCGCCATTTTTGCATTGCGCATTAGGCCCGCAAGGTGATGGATTGCAAAGATCTTCAGGTTCATGGCCTAAATTTTTCGTGATATTAAAATCTTATATATATGTATGTATATATATATATATATATATATATATTAAAATAGAATAAAAACAATAATATATTTACTTTTAGGAGGCATCGGTGTACACTGAATAAAAGGATTTCCTGTAAACCCTTCATAACAAGAGCATATAGGTGTGTGGTCAATAACAGTACATTGTGCTTTGTATCCGCAAGATCCGGGACAAGGATCTTTGCATTTTTCATTGATACAAGCTTTATGGCTCTGGCACTCTGAATTTATTGTGCATTCTGGTTGACAGTTAGGAGGCGATCCCATATAATTTGTAAGACAAGAGCATGAAGGCGAACCTCCTATATCACGGCACTCAGAGTTTAGACCACAAGGTGACGGAATACAAGGATTCCGATATTCTTCTCTTATTGGTGTAACAGCTGGAGCTGTTGGTAAGACATATAATGTTTAGAATATTATTTCTAATTACTACAAAAAATACGATTGGCTTACGTGGCAAGGGATAGCATCGAATAAAGGGATCTCCTGTTTGTCCAGGAGAGCAGGTACATATTGGACTGTGGTTAATCACCTGACATTTACTGTTCAAACCACAAGGTCCAGGACAAGGATCTATACATTTATGGTTACTACACACTTGATCAAAGTTACACTCAGAACTAACTACACATTCTGGTCTACAATTTGGAGGGCTACCGAAATATGTAGGTAGACAAGAACACACTGCTTGTTCATTAACTTCCTTGCATTGGCTGTTGGGTCCGCAAGGTGATGGTTGACATGGATTAAGTTTTTCAGTAATAATTGCTGAAATAAATGTAAATTCTATCATAATCTTATTCTATTTTATATGTGAGTAGTGTAAGACTTTCTTACGTTTCTTGGCTTCTATTTGACAATATTTGAATGGATCACCCGAATAACCTAAATAGCAAGTGCATAACGGTAAATGATTTACAACTTGGCAGTCAGCGTTTTGCCCACAAGTTCCGGGGCAGGGATCTTGACATTTATTCCTTATGCAAGCTAAGTTTGAAGCGCAATCTGAGTTTAAAACACATTCTGGTCTGCATCCTTCATAGGGGTTTCCAATATAATCCGATAAACATGTGCAAGAACCAGCGCCATCTCGTTCTTTACATATGGCGTTGGAACCGCATGGCGATGGCATACACGGATTTATATGATCCAAAGGATAATTTTCAATTGGTTTAACAACGCAACGAATAAATGGGTCACCTGTATATCCATGGTTACATATACAAACAGGTGCATGACTTACAACATGGCATTCGGCATTCAATCCGCATGATCCAGGACAAGGATCCCTGCATTTGAAGCCAATACATGCCAATCGATTACTGCACTCATTGTTGTTAATGCATTCTGGTTTACAATAAGGTGGATGTCCTATAAAGTCTGGTAAACAAGTACAAGACGGGTTATTTCCTATTTCTCTGCATTGTGAATTGGGACCGCAAGGTGATGGCTCGCAAGGATTAATATGCGCTTGTTCATCCGTTGGAAGCTCGACTAAAAAGTGAATAAAATTATTATATAAAAACACCAGGCTTTATGATTGTTTATCATATTAAATTTGATGATATTACGTTTAGGATAGCATCTTATGAAAGGGTTCCCTGTATAGTATTCAGGACAACTGCATATAGGATTATGATTCAGAACTTGACAATGCGCTGCTACACCGCATGTTCCTATACATGGGTTTCTACATTTCTGGTTTGTACATGCTTCAGTACTAATGCAATCAGAACTAATTATACACTCCGGTCTGCATGTAGGTGGTTGTCCAATATATCCAGGAATGCACGAGCATACAGATTGTTGATTAATTTCCCTACATTGACTATTCGGTCCACAAGGAGAAGGGTTGCAAGGATTTGAAATTTCCGGGGCTGAAAATAAATTAAAACTAATGAAAATTTGTCTTTGCAAATGAAGTTTGTATGTCAATATTTCATACGTGGATTAGGTTGACATTTTATGAACGCATTCCCTGTGGTTCCAGGTGGACAACTACACATAGGAATATGATTGACAACAGAACAAATTGCTTCATTGGCACATGTTCCAGGACAAGGATTTATACATTTACTACGTATACATGCTTCCGATCTCGGACAATCAGAATTTAATACACATTCTGGCCTACAGCCGTGATATGGATCGCCTTGATAATCAGACAGACATGTGCATACACCATCTAAACATTTTGCGTTTGGACCACAAGGTGAAGGATTACACGGATCTAACAACTCTGGTACATCATCTGTATAAAATAATATAAATTAATAAAAATATCTGTTTTTTAAAATAAGTACTTATAAAATTCTTACATTCAGCAGGCTTTGGATAACAGCTATTGAATGGATCACCAGTGAAACCTTCGTGACATAAACATATCGGAATGTGATTAATCACTTTGCATTTAGAATTGAAACCACATGATCCAGAGCAGGGATCCCTGCACATTTCATTAATGCAAGCCCTATCACTTGCACATTCTGAATGTATTGTGCATTCTGGATGGCAATTTGGAGGCGCGCCTAAATACTTTGGTAAACAAGAACATGATGCTGACCCATTGATATCACGACACTGTGAGTTAGCACCACAGGGAGATGGGGCACACGGACTACGGTATATGTCTTTTGCTGGTTCTTTTATTGGCACTACAAATATGAAGGTACGTTTGAAGATGATTAATATGAAATCATTAATTACGCATAGATATAGAGTTATAAATAAGCAGTTATGCGCTATATATAATACTTACACGGAATATTATAACACTGCGAAAAAGGATTTCCGGTTTGACCTTGTTTACAGGAACAAATAGGACTATGATTGATGGTCCTACAAAAAGCAGTTGGAGCACATGGTCCTGGACACGGATCAATACATTTATTATTCATGCAAGCCTTATTCATACTACATTCAGAGCTTATGACACACTCTGGGCGGCAATTGGGCGGATTTCCGATGTAATTAGATAAGCAAGAACATACAGCTTGATCGTTGATTTCTCGACATTGGCTATTTGGGCCACAGGGTGAAGGCGTACACGGTTTTTTCGTTTCTACGTGAGTTGCTGTAATAAAATAGAACATTGTATCTATTATCTTATTAAAACGTAATTCAAAATTGATATTAACGACATACAAAATAATTAAAGACATACAAAAATGCAAGTTTAACGTTTTAAATAATATTCAAAATAATCTTACGTTCATGTACTAGTAGGTTGCAGTATCTAAAAGGATCTCCGGTAAAACCAGGATAGCATGTACATGAGGGTAAATGATTAACTACATGACATTCCGCATTTTGCCCACAAGTTCCAGGGCATGGATTTCGACACTTATTTTTTATACAAGCAAAATTTGATAAGCAATCCGAGTTTAATACACATTCAGGTCTACAACCTTCATAAGGATTGCCAATGTATTCTGGAAGGCATATGCAAGTTCCAGCTCCATTTTGTTCTTTACAAATAGCATTTGGTCCACAAGGTGACGGCGTACACGGTGTAATGGGATCATATTTAATTACGTCAATTTGTCTTTTGCAGTCTATAAATGGATCGCCAACATAACCGTAGCTACAAACGCAAACTGGCGTATGACTTACTACCCGACATTCAGCATTTGTGCCACAAGAATTTGGACAAGGATCCATACATTTTTGTTTTATACAAGCTAAATTACTACTGCACTCGCTGTTACTAATGCACTCTGGTTTGCAATATGGTGGTTGACCAATAAACTCTTGTAAACATGAGCATGAAGGAGTACCAGATACAACTCTGCATTGCGAGTTAGGTCCACACGGGGAAGGCAAACACGGATCAGAAACTGCTGTGGGTACTATTGGATCTTTTGCTGCAACAATAAAAAAATTCTTACGACCGAAAAAAATTAAAAACTAGTATGTAACGTAATCTTACGTATGGGATAACATCTAGCAAATGGATTTCCTGTATTATAAATTGCGCAAGTGCATATTGGTTTGTGACCGATAACAACGCAGTGAGCCCCAATTCCACATGCTCCTATACAAGGATTGATACATTTTTGATTACTACAAGCTTGATTTTGCGAACATTCTGAATTTGTTATGCATTCGGGTCTACAAGTTGGAGGAACGCCTGCATATCCTACAATACAGGAACAAACAGCTTGACCATTTATTTCTTGACATTGACTATTTGGCCCACAAGGTGAAGGATGACAAGGATTTCTTTCGGGTTGATCTAAAATGATTTTTCATTGTATAAAAAGCTCATTGCAAAATTTGTATATATCGCATACATGGTATGGGAGAACACAGTACAAAAGCATTTCCAGTCATGCTTTCTGGACAACTGCACATCGGAACATGATTTACAACATTGCAAATAGCCAAAGATCCACAAGTACCAGGGCATGGATCTACGCATTTATTCACAATACACGCCTTATCTCTTGGGCAATCTATACTTAATACACATTCAGGCCTACACCCTGAGTATGGGTCTCCTTGATACTCTAGAAGACAAGTACATTTTCCATTTTTGCATTCCGCATTTGAACCGCACGGTGAAGGATTACATGGATCTAGTAGTTCTGGAACATCTTCTGCAAATATACACTCAAATCAAGTATACGTTAACTAAATATATCAATTGTAGTAATAATCTCACGTTTTTGTGGTTTAATGTTGCATTGTGTGAATGGATCTCCTATATATCCATCAATGCAAGTGCAAGTAGGATTGTGCGCAATGACTTCACAGACAGCATTGAAGCCGCACGATCCTGGACAAGGATCTCTACATTTTTCCTTAATACATGCTTTATTACCAGAACACTCTGAATTTACAACGCATTCTGGGCGACAATTCGGCGGTTGCCCTATATAATTCGGTAGGCATGAGCATGAAGGAGAATAATTAACTTCTCGACATTGAGAATATGGCCCACATGGTGATGGATAGCATGGATTTTGTTTAGTTACTTCGGTATTCAAAGTCGGAGCTAAGTAAATAATTAAAACTTTCATCAATAGAGAAAATAATGACAAGATTGTTGAAAAATGTATAGATATACGTACGTGGTATTGGATAACACCGCGAAAATGGATCGCCAGTATGACCGTAGTTGCAAGTACATATTGGGCTGTGGTTTAAGACGCGACATTTTGTATTTAAACCACACGGATTAGGACAAGGGTCAACACATTTTTGTTTACTGCATATTTTATTGCTAGCGCATTCAGAGCTTACAACACATTCAGGACGGCAACCTGGAGGAGTTCCTACATATTGCGGTAAGCAAGAACAAACAGCTTGACCATTTCTTTCAATACACTGGCTATTTGGTCCACATGGGGAAGGACTGCAAACATTTTCGTTTATAGGTGTAGGAGCTAAAACATATAACTCATAAGTTTGTCGTTGAATATTTTAATTTAAACTTTTTATTTACTTACGCTCATGCCGTATAATGTGGCAGTATTTAAAAGGGTCACCGGTAAACCCTTGGTGACACGTGCAAGTTGGCAAATGATTGACAACTTGACATTCTGCGTTTCTAGCGCATGTCCCCGGACAAGGGTTTTTACATTTGTTGCTTATGCAGGCGTAATTAGAAGGACAATCTGAATTGACTACACATTGCGGTCTACAACCTTGGTAAGGATTTCCAATATATTCTGGTAAGCATGTACATGAGCCTGCATTATTATGAACTTTGCATTCTGCATTAAATCCGCAAGGTGATGGCAAGCAAGGATTGATTGATTCAACAGTAATATCTTTTAAAGGTTCAATACTGCATGACGTGAATGGATCTCCTACGTATCCCGTAATACACGTACAAATAGGAGCGTGACTAACAACGTGACATTCGGCATTATATCCACAAGCATTGACACAGGGATTCTGGCATTTCATGTTTATGCAGGCTAAATGACTACTACACTCGCTATTACTAGCACATTCAGGTTTACAGTAAGGTGGTGATCCAATAAATTCTGGCAAACAAGAACACGATGGTGAATCATTTATAACACGACATAATGAATTAGGACCACATGGCGAAGGGTAGCACACATCTTTTGGAGCGTTCTGTACAATTGGTGTTTCAGCTATAGATAAATAAAATTTGAATTAATACTTAATCAATAGTTTTCTTATAATTTGAAGAACAAACTTACGCATAGCGTGGCATCTTACAAACGGATTGCCCGTATAATGATTTGGACAACTACAAATAGGATTATGATTTACAACATCACAGCGCGCAGCGATGCCACATGTACCGGGACATGGATTTTTGCATTTTTGATTATTGCAACTTTCGTGTCGAGGACAATCTGAATTAATAATACATTCTGGCCTACAATTTGGGGGACTTCCAATAAAGCTTGGTAAGCAAGAACAAACTGCTTGACCATTAATTTGTCTGCATTGGCTATCAGGCCCGCATGGATTTGGATTGCATGGATTTATATTTACAGTAACTAAAAATTAAGAAAATAATTAATAAAAGTTAATAATTTATTAATTATAATATTGGAATAAATTATTACCTATCATAGCTTTACACTCAATAAAAGCATTACCACTAGTTCCTTGTGGACAGCTGCACATTGGAACATGGTTTATAACGCTACACAATGCTTGTATTCCACACGTGCCAATGCATGGATCAACGCACTTATTTCTAATACATGCTTTATTTTTATTGCAGTCTGTATTTAGAATACATTCTGGACGACAACCTGAGTAGGGATCGCCATGATACTCATTTAAACAAGAGCATATGCCATTATCGCATTTTGCGTTTGGCCCACATGGCGATGGGTTACATGGGTCTACTATTTGAGGTACATCTTCTAGAATGACACGTTGAATATAGTACACATATTATATTATATATAATAACGTTTAAAATAAAGCTTACTCTCGATTGGTGTTAAATGACAATTGACGAATGGATCCCCAGTGTAACCTATAAAACACGTACACGTAGGAGAATGAAGAATGACATCACATTTTGCATTAAAACCACAGGAACCAGGACAAGGATCTTGACATTTTTCTCTAATGCAAGCTCGATTACTTGGGCATTCAGAATTGATCGTACACTCTGGCCGACAACTAGGTGGAGAACCATGATAGTTTAATAAGCAAGAGCAAACAGCTTGACCGCCTATGTCTCTGCATTGTGAATTAGGTCCGCAGGGCGTGGGGTAGCACGGGTTCTTATAAACATCTTTAACTGGTACTGGCAAAGAAGCTAAATTCGAGAATTATTGAAGGTGTGGGGAATATTTGAGTATTAATTGAATCTAATCTTATACTTACGAGGTATTGAGATACAATTTGAGAATGGATCGCCCGTTTGATGTTCACCACAAGAACATATTGGACTATGATTTATAACGCTACACTTGGCATTTTGCGCGCAAGGACCTGGACAAGGGTTTTTACACTTCTGATTAATGCATGCCTTTTGGAGGCTGCATTCAGAACTAACTACACATTCTGGACGGCATCCTGGTGGCGTACCTATGTATTCAGGTAAACATGAGCACACGGCTTGTTCATTTACAGTTCTACATTGGCTATTAGGTCCACACGGTGAAGGATGGCAAGGATTTTTCGGTTTCTTAGCTGCATTGTTTAATAAAAGATTAATACAAAATCAAATTAAATTAATATATAAAATATCTTACGTTCTTCAACAATTATAATTTCCTTGCAAAATCTAAAGGGATCGCCTGTATATCCAAAGTGGCATGTACATGATGGCAAATGATTTACAACGTGACAATCAGCATTTTGTCCGCAAGCACCTGGACATGGATCTTGACATTTATTTCTTATGCATGCACGATTTGAGGCACAGTCGGAATTTAATACACACTCTGGTCTACATCCTTCATAAGGATTACCAATATATTCAGGCAAACATGAGCACGATCCCGCTCCACCTCGTTCTCTGCATATGGCATTAAATCCACAAGGAGATGGATTACATGGATTTTTTACCTCTAATGGAGTATTCCTTACTAATAGACATTGAATGAATGGATCTCCAGAAAAACCAGAATTGCAAGAACAAATGGGTGTGTGACTGACAACATGGCAATTCGCGTTTGCACCACATAATCCAAGGCAAGGGTTTGTGCATTTTTGATCAATACATGCTAGGCTATTACTACATTCGGTATTACTAACACATTCAGGCTTACAGTATGGAGGCTGGCCAACGTAACCTTCTAGACATGAACAAGATGGATTATTGCCACTCACTTTGCATTGAGAGTAAGGGCCACATGGTGATGGTCGACAAGGGTTTTCTTGAACATTTTGCTCTAAAAGTATTTCTGCTGCAAATTAAAATTATTAAACATTATTAAATTTTTTTCAAAACTCGTGCTTTTTTATCTCATATTTCTTACGAATTTGTTGACATCTAATAAACGGATTTCCAGTATAATGTATCGGGCAAGAACAAATTGGGTTATGGTTGATAACCTTACACTCTGCATTAATACCACAACTTCCTAAACACGGATCTATACATTTTTGATTAATGCAAGCTTCACGTCTTGCGCAGTCTGAATTTATAATGCATTCGGGTCGACATAAAGGAGGCTGCCCTGTAAATCCAAGAATACAAGAACATACTGCTTGGCCATTAATTTCGCGACATCGACTATTAGGGCCACATGGCGAAGGATTACAGAGATGAACTTTGACAGGTTCTGAGAAGATATGGTTAAGATCTTTAGTTAAGATATTTAAAGATAAAATATAACACGACTAATAGTAAAATGACGCACTTGGAATTGTATGACATTCTATAAATGAATTTCCCGTAAATCCTGTTGGACAACTACACATAGGTATATGATTCACAACGCTGCAAATAGCTTGAGCGCCACAAGTGCCTGTGCATGGATTTATACAAATATTTCCAATACAAGCTTTATCTTTTGAGCAATCGGAATTTAATACACATTCAGGTCTACATCCAGAATACGGATCGCCAAAATATTTAGGGCGACAACTACATATTCCATTATCACAATCCGCATTTGAACCACAAGGTGATGGATGGCATGGATTTTCATTAACTTTTATGTCTTCTAGAAAGTATTAATTTAATTTAAATTATGTAATTTTATAGATAGAACGAAAAAAATATTTTATATAAAATCTTACGCTCTTGTGGCTTCAGTTGACAGTTAGTAAATGGATCTCCAATATAATTAGCAAGACAGGAACATATAGGTGTATGATTTATAACTTCACACCTAGTATTATAACCACAGGAGCCTGGACAAGGATCGATACATTTCTCTCTAAAGCACGCCTGATTGCTCGAACACTCGGAGTTTATAGTACATTCTGGTCTACAGTTAGGTGGGGAACCATAATAATTTTGTAAACAACTGCACGAAGGCGCACCATTTATATTGCGGCATTCAGAGTATAAGCCACAAGGCGATGGATAACATGGATCGCGATAAACTGGAGTATGTTCTATCAACAATGGCTCTAAAGAATTCATAATATTATTACATACATAATTTGTCATAAATTATCGAATTCGTTACTTACTTGGAATAGTATAACAACGTGAGAAAGGATCACCAGTTTGCTCTGTCCGACAAGAACATACAGGGCTGTGATTAATGACACGACAAAGGGCGTTTTCTGCACAAGGTTCAGGGCAAGGATTAACGCACTTTTGATTAATGCATGCTTTGTCATGTGCACATTCTGAACTAACAACACATTCTGGACGACATCCTGGGGGACTGCCAACATAATTTGGGAGACAAGAGCATACTGCTTGATCATTTATTTCGCGACATTGACTGTTAGGCCCACATGGTGAGGGATAGCAAGGATTTGTTTTCTGTTTTTCGCTAGCTAGAAGTGATACACATATAAACATATAAATTAAATGCAAAATGAATTATAAATTATAAATTAGCGAAACAGATCATGTCATTCTTAATACGTTACATAATCAATAGTATATATCTTACTTTTATCGTAGGGAATAATATTACAGTATCTAAATGGATCACCAGTATAGCCTTGTCTACATGTGCAAGATGGAAGATGACTTATAACTTGACAATCCGAGTTTTGACCACATGTTCCAGGACATGGATCTTCACATTTATTTCTCAAGCATGCTTTATTTGATGGGCAATCCGAATTTAGAACACATTCAGGTCTACAACCTTCATATGGGTTTCCAATATAATCTTCCTTGCAAACACACGATCCTGCATTATTAAGTTCTTTACACACTGCGTTAGGACCACATGGTGATGGTGTGCAGGGGCTATATTGTTCAATTATTTGCTTCATTGGTTCAATATGGCAACTTGTAAAAGGATCGCCAATATATCCCATAAAACATATACATACTGGAGTGTGACTAACTACCCGACATTCAGCGTTTTCGCCGCAGGTTCCAATACAAGGATCTTTGCATTTCATTTGTATACATGCAAGGTGGCTATTGCATTCACTATTACTAATGCATTCGGGTTTGCAGTATGGCGGTTGGCCAATAAAATCTGATAAGCATGAGCAAGATGGAGAATTTCCAATCGCTTTGCATTGAGAATTGGGACCGCATGGTGATGGTTGACAAGGATTTTGAAGTTGTTCTTGAATCGGATCTTTGGCTAAAATAATTATCGAGAATTAGATACCATATACTCGTATTTTATTTAAATCAAATATATATTTTCTTACGCGCAAGATAACATCTCACAAATGGGTCACCGATATATTGACGAGGGCATGAACATATTGGACTGTGATTAATAACTTCGCAATGAGCATTTATACCGCAACTTCCAGGGCAAGGATCTCTACATTTTTGATTATTACAGGCTTCATTTCTTGCACAATCAGAATTTACTGTGCATTCTGGCCTACAAGTGGGAGGCTGCCCCATATATCCTGTTATACATGAACAGACCGCTTGATCATTAATTTCTTTACATTGGCTATTAGGACCACAAGGGGAAGGGTTGCACGGATGTGACACTGCCGGAGCTAAAAATCGATTTTATAAATTAAATTATAGTTAAAACGCTAAAACATGATTTAAAAACATACGTGGTTGATTTTGACATCTTATGAAAGCATTTCCAATCATTCCTCGAGGACAACTACACATTGGAACATGACCGATAACATCACATACGGCTAATATACCGCATGTACCAGGGCATGGATCTATGCATTTATTTCCGACGCATGCTCTATCTCTAGAACAATCAGAATTTAACACACATTCAGGCCTACAACCTGAGTATGGATCTCCGTGATATTCAGGTTTACATTTACATGATCCTTCATAACAATCAGCGTTTGGACCACAGGGTGATGGATTACATGGGTCTGTTATTTGTAATATGTCTTCTAAAATATAATAAATTTGTAATTAGAAGCTAATTTATTTAATAAAAATAATATTTGCATCAATATTACTTATAGTTGTGTCTGGATAACAGCTGTTAAATGGATCGCCTGTATATGAGTCAGGACATAAACAAATTGGCATATGATTTATCACTTGACATAATGCATTAAATCCGCATGAACCAAGACAAGGATCCGCACACTTCTCTCTAATGCATGCATTGTTACTACTGCAATCTGAATTAACGACACATTCGGGTTTACAATTGGGTGGGGAACCAAAGTAATTTGTTCTACAAGAACACGATGGGGAACCACCTATATCACGACATTCCGAATAGGGACCGCAAGGATTTGGATGACAAGGATCTCTATACTCATTTACAATTTGCGGATTTGGCGGGGCTGTAAGATGGATATATTAAATTATATTTGATGTTGCGTTTATACTAAATATTGTTATAGCGTAGACAATTTGCTTACGTGGAATTGGGTAACAATGTGAGAAAGAGTCGCCAGTATGTCCAGGTAAACAAGAACATATTGGACTGTGATTTACAACTCGACAAATGCTTTGTAGGCCACAAGGTCCAGGACAGGGATCTATACATTTCTGATTAACGCAGGCTTGTAGAACGTTGCATTCAGAATTAATAACACACTCAGGTCGGCATCCAGGAGGAGAACCAACATACGTTGGAAGACATGAGCATACAGCTTGCTCATTTACTTTACGACATATGCTATTAGGACCGCACGGTGAAGGTGAGCATGGATTTGTCGGCACTTGGATATCGGCTGTGTATATATTAAATTATTATTCAAATGGGTAGACTTATTACGATAGCCTTATCATAAATTCTAAATTAGTTAATAACTCTGTAAATATTGCTTACGTTTTTGTGGAAGTATATGGCAGAATCTGAAAGGATCTCCCGTATATCCAGGATTGCATGTACAAGAGGGCAAATGGTTTACAATTTGGCAATTTGAGTTCTGTCCACATGTTCCCGGGCAAGGATCCATACATTTGTTTCTTATGCAAGCACGATTTGATGGGCAGTCTGAATTAAGAACGCATTCGGGTCTACAACCTTCATAAGGGTTTCCGATGTAATCTGGAAGACAAGTGCAAGATCCTGCACCATTCTGTTCTCTGCATATCGCATTCGCGCCACAAGGGGATGGTGTGCAAGGCTTTATTATTTCTTGAGGGTAATCTATTAGAGAGATATCAGGTATTTCTTAGTTTCAATAAACTTGATTTAAAGCAGTTGTTATACCATTGAACCTATAAAGCATTAGACAATTTTCGCTCATTAATTTCCTTTCATTCATCTGGCGAGCGTACCAGCATTTAGAAGCGTTTAATGTGAATTTTAAATAGCAAACTAAGACATTATTAGTAATTTTATATTGCATTGAAATATCAAATAATATTAATGCCATTACTTTCATAATATTAGAGTGCGTTGTTTTATTAGTTTTATTCATATTATTGCACATTTCGCATTTTTTTAGTTGGGCGGGGAGTCATAAGGGTTCAGACAAGTCTAGTGGTGTTATTTTTGAGTTATATTTTAATTTTTATAGTTTAGAAATTTATTTTTAATATTTTATTTTAAAGTTTTATGTTTGTATTATAATATGGCAAACATTATATGCTAGCACCCACATGCACAAAATGTATATGATAAAAGCTGTTATCTTTTAACAATTCTGTAACAATGTTTAACAACAGATCACATATTCATCAAACAATTTAATACATTTGAACTGTTATATTTCAAATGGTAGTAATTGCCATTGAACAATTTTGATCATATACTTTCAAAATATTTACATAAACAAATTCTACGTGCATTGTCAATAGATAGCTTTCTCCTAAATATATAGCTTTTTTTATAGAATAAAGAAAAATTATGTAAATTTAAAGAAACTAAGGCTTAATATATAAGCAAATAGTGTTTTCATAAAAAATAAAAATAAATTATTTCGATATTTTATTTGTTGATATAATAAAAAACAATAAATAATTTTTAGGAAAATAATTTTTATTTTAATAGCTTTTTAGATTTTTTATATAAAACTTTAGGAAAAGCGTATCTAAATAAAAGCTGCATATAAACACACACACACTCACATATATATATATATATATATATATATATATATATGTGTGTATATATATTAGGGTGGTCCTTAAAATGATCATTTTCGAAATTCCTTGCTCCCAAGGGCTCAAATGGTTCCAAATTGATAAAAATCAATTCTCTGAAAGTTTTAGCTCTTAATATTAACGTTTAGATAGAGCGCAATTCAATCAAAGTTTTATATGGAAATAGCATGGAAAAATGTTTTGAAAATGTTTATTAGATGTAATTTAGCGAACAAATGAATGAATAAAACTCATTCATTTGTCGCTAAGTTATACCTAAAACATTTTTTAAAAATTTTCAAAATTTTCCTCTTTCCATACGAAGTTTGATTGAATTGCTCTCTATCTAAGAGTTAATATTAAGAGCTAAAACTTTCAGAGAATTATTTTTTATCAATTTCAAGGATTTTTATCAAAGCAAGGAAATTCGAAAATGACCATTCTAAGGACCACCCTAATATATATATATATATATATATATATATATTTAACATCAACCCTCTGATCCGCGATAAGTGCGTACCGTGTAATATAGAAATCATGGTATAAAAAACTCGGATTGCTCGTGCAGTCTAGGGTAATTTACGTTCCATGGAAACCGTCTATCGCGTTGTATGGGAATCTTGCTATAATAAACTTAGAATTAGTACAAATATTAGCATTTGTACTGCTTTATAATAGGGATACTAATAGGTATAAGTGGTATTTTGCCTTGAAGCAAGTTGCATCAACAATCCCATATTTGCAAATAATCAACTTAATCAAAATCAATGTATGTATTGATATATACTTATGAAGTATGCCGAGCTGTTCTACGGAATCATAATGTAAAAAAATATTGAAAATTACATATTACTTATTTTTGGCAAATAGTTGATGATGCGTTTTTGTGGTGAGCCCTGATCTCATAAACTGTTTCATGAATTTTTTTTATTAATTCATTACGAAGAAACTGCCCGGCCGATCATCGCTAAGTGTTAATCAACGCGAATTCTTACGGGGTATCACGAAATCGCTCTTAAATGGTTATTCAATTGTGTTCAATTTCAATGATGGTCAAATTTTGGGTCATAAAGCACACATATTATTTAACCTATTTTGATCAAACGATAATAATAATATTGCCTTGTGCGTTGAATAAATAAATAAATAAATAAATAAATAAAGGATGACCGGAGAGAAAATTAGTAAGTCGGATTTACTGGCGAAAATAGGAACATCTCCATCCGGAAGTTAAAGAAACAAGATAAATCACGATTTGCTTTTAACAAATAAAAAACCAAATAAACACAAACAAATGTTTTTCAACAATTTTTTTAGAAAGAGTCACAAACAAAATATGCTGTAAACGTGCTCTAACACTAGCAAACGCGATGTCGTGCACAGCTATTTAATAAATTAGCATATTTATATTAACATATTGCAAGTAATAAAATAGTCGATAGTAAAACCTATATTAATACCTTTTGCATCTGGAGTCATTTATATTGCGCGGAAGAAAGTTATGAGCTATTGAACGAAAACCATGTTATAAAGGTACTGCGTTGTCGGAGGGTTGACTGTATATATATAGATATGCGTGTGTATGCATATGCATGTATGCAAAATATTAGTACACTAACTGAATAACAAAATACTTAATATTAAATGGACTCAGATCTGATGAATAAATGTATAATGCTGAAAAAACAAATAAATAAATATACTTATCTATAAAGGCACTTACCTGTATGGTCATCATCAAGGTTACCTGAAAATTGATCCCTAACTACCAAAATTGGGCAAGCAAGTATACTTATTGAATATTATAAAATATTCATCAAACTAATTTATTTATTGTATTATACATTTATTCATCAGATTAATATAGAAATTAAAATGGCATCAATTTTAGTTCAACTAGGCTTTGATAGAGTCATTACTAAATGACTGGTTGGTCACTGATTGGAAAATTATGTAATATAATTATTTTCGAGTTGTATTCAAACGCGTTCAATAAAATACTAACTAATGCTTTTTTTAATGCCAATATAAGATATTTCTACCTATATAAAATGTCAAATGCTAATTCATATTCATTCATCATTCATATTGAGAAAATTCAGTGCATATAACAATAAGGAGTCCATTTTTAGCGCTTGATCAAATCAAAAAAGTATTAACTCAAATTAATATCAATTGAACATTTTCTAACTTATTGATAATAAATTAACAGTTTTTAAACAAGTGTTTGAAAAGTTTTTATGGTGAATATTAAATATAGTATTATTATAATTGGTTCGAATAATCAAACAAAATAATCAAATAAGCTTTTTAAATTTTTATAAGTCAATACTGTTTGATTTAAGTAAGACATATTTAAATAATGACAATAATCAATCAATAAAAATTGGTAGATTGTGATACACCATTGTGATATATTATTATCATTATATAAATAACCTGCACATTAGAAACATGTTTGTTAGTAATAGAAAATCGAAAACACTTACCCTGTACGGGTTGACAGCCACTAAATGGATCTCCTGTATATCCAGGATCACATTTACACTGGGCACGATGATTAACTACTAAACAACGCGCCCCCAGACCGCAAGAACCAGGACAAGGATTTTTGCCTGAAATATTTAAAGATTAAATGAAAATGATGTATTTGCATGTATGTAATATATTCATATGTATGTACGGAACTTCCATCGGTTAGGTGCAAACCGAAACGCGAAGTTTTAAGTTTTCAAATTATAAAAATAAAATAGTGGTGCATGGCATCGTGCCTTAAGGCAAATTGCTGCAACTTCCCGATCTAATTTAATATTTTTGAATGCTTTAACATTTTTTGAAGAATTCGATTTTTTGTCAAAGCAATCTCGTTGCGTAGCTGTTTCAGAATAAATAATGGGACACAAGGTCAAGATACTAAACGGGTCTTTAGACGCCATATATTATATATACACACACTAAATTATGAAATAATTCATAAGGATTTAAAAAAAAAATTCTTTTTCGCAAAATTCTACCAACTTATAATTTTATTATAAAATTTATAAAGAAGCTAGTGGTGCATGGTATCATGCCTTAAGGCAAATTGCTGACTTCCCGTACCAAAAGTTTTTTTTTTAAATATAATTGTTTTTTAATCTTTGAAAAAAATTGATATTTGAGAAAATTTTACACTTTTGAAAAAAATGGATTGTTTTTGGAAAAATAACTTTTGGAAAAAATGTTTTTTTTATGTAGAAATATTTTGAAAATTTTGAACTTTTTTCCAAAGCAATCGCACTGCTTTAGTTGCATAGAGACGAAATATCAAAGCGCGTAAGTGCCGCGTCGCCGTTTAATGGACAAAAATGTTACGGTACCTATATAAATGTAAACAAAATTGATACACATTATTAAAATATCTATAAAACATCTGATAATTTGATGTGCATATGTCTAATGATCATTTTTGACCACCAAACTGCATTTTTTTTTACTTTTGTAACCGCTAGACCTGCCTTCCCAAAAATTTAATCAGTTCTTCATCTTGTCAATACAAGTAAAATCTTTTTTGAAATATTAAAATCGGACGCTCTGTTCTCTTAAAAACTGAGGTACCGTTTTTGGCATTTTTTGCCTCGTATCTTCGGAATGGCTAGACTTGCCTTTGCCAAAAACTAATCAGTACGTTTCCTTATCGATACGAATCGAACATTTTTTAAATTAACCATTTAATCGGTTGATCCGTGTTCCCAAAATTGTCGACAAAAATTTGTATCCGTACACACACGCACACACATACATCCATTTTTGGTAAGGTATGCCAAAATGTTTAGAAGATTTTGAAACGTAAAAATATATAAAAATTTTCTGCGATTACTACAACTTACCCTACTGGAAGTAAAAAAAAATCTATTTTTCCTTATTTTAACTATCTACACCAAAAGTAATATTTACAAAAAATATGAGATTACTTTTAGATATTAATAACAATAATTGTTTGCGCAGAATTTTGAATTCAGTACCAGCTTATAGCGAGTTTTATAATTTACTCATAAAATTCATTCTTGACAAATTCCTAAATTAGTTCAAATTATTTAAAAACTAATGTTTCAAAATTTACTATTGATATCTAATAATAATTCAAATATTAAGAGTAAGTAAAAACTAACCGAAATTTTAAAAAATCTAATAAACCAGTATATAGTTGCAAAATTTTAACGTTTCATGTAGAATTGGGGATGATTGAATTAAATTGAAAATTATCGCAACATTTAACAAAAAATATTATTTTTGAATGCTTACATTTCTGATTTATACATGCGAGTTCACTTGGACATTCGGTGTTAATTGTGCATTCAGGTCTACAAGCTGGAGGCAATCCAATGTATCCTTGAAGACAGGAACATGCTGGCCCTTCACCACGCACTGTGCACTCGGCATTTGGACCGCACGGCGATGGCAAACAAGGATTTTTCGGAATGTGTGGATCTGTTTCTAAAATTGAAAAACAATAAATATATATTTTTTAAATAAAACTCAAACACAATCACGGTAGTAAAATAACTTTATAATAAAATAATCTTAAATGATTCTCATTGGTTCGTTAAATAAGAAAATGTGGCGTAGCATCTATTTTGTTGACTGAATATAAATATAATTTGCATAGATAATCAAAATATTATAAAAAATAAATATTATAATTACTTTCAATAACTATTGCAAAACATCTTGTGAAGGGATCGCCTGTAAAACCGTTAGTGCAGCTACAAATAGGATTGTGATTGATCACTTGGCAACGAGCGTTTTGTCCGCAAGTACCAGGACATGGATCACGGCACTTATCAGAAATACAAGCTTGTTGTAACGGGCATTCAGCACTAATTGTGCACTCAGGTCGGCAGTGTGGAGGTGAACCAATTTTTCCGGGTAAACAAGAACATGATGCAACGTTGCCATTCACGCGACATTGGCTGTTAGGACCACATGGTGAAGGGTTACATGGATCTTTGTGGGTTTCTAAAAATATATATTAATATAATATGGTAATTTTCATATTTGTTATAAATTTAGCATATGATATTTATTTTATGATGTGTTTTACCTATGATTTGAACCGGTCTGCAAACAACAAATGGATCACCCGACATTCCATCAGGACAACTACAGGTTGGTATATGGTTGATCACATTACACAAGGCGCCTTGTCCACATGTGCCAGGGCATGGGTCTACACAACGTAGATTAGTGCAAGCGCGATTCGGAGAGCAGTCCGTATTCATAGTACATTCTGGCCGGCAGCCGCTATATGGATCGCCGTGATATTGAGCAATACAAGTACAATGACCGTCGCCGGAACATACAGCGTTGGCACCGCAAGGTGATGGATGACAAGGATCTCTCGGTACTGGCTCAACTTTTTCTGTTAGAAGATATTCCATCATAACATTTAATATACAATTCATTAAAGCTATATTAAATCTTTTCATCTGGACTATATACCTATAATGATCGAACATTGCGTGAAGGGATCTCCAGTATATCCTTGTTGACAACTACAAATTGGTAAATGGTTCTGAACTCTGCACTCAGCATTGAAGCCGCAAGAGCCTGGACATGGGTCGCGACATTTCTCGCTAATACAAGCAGAATTTGATGGGCAGTCAGTATTCACGACACATTCTGGTCTACAATTTGGAGGCGAACCTATGTAGCTTTGACGACATGTGCAAGAAGGCCGGCCATTTAATGATCGACATTCGGAATTAGGACCACAAGGTGAAGGTTGGCATGGATCGCGAGGAGTTACTTCAGAGTCCGGTATGCGTACTAGAATAAAAAAAAGTGAAATTCCATAATTAATATCAGTTTATATGTACATTTTTCAGTTATATTATTAAGCATCATTAAATGCTTGACAAAGATCAGTAATTTCGCAATTTACTTTGAGATATTTTAACTATCAATTATAACAAACGAAACTGACATAATGAACAATTTTGATTCTCATAGTACAATTTTTAGTGGACAACGAATTAGAAAAAAAATAGATATTTATCTAACACAGAAATTGTTAGTAAATATCAATATGTTTAATATTATTTATTTCTTTAGAGTTTACGTGAATTAATCATTTGTTAATCTAATTATTTAATACAGCAATAAATAATTTATGAACCTACATGGTTGCTCGTAGCATCGGGTGAAGGGGTCCCCGGTCATTCCACTGGGACAACTGCATACAGGATTATGATTTATCACTTCGCATCTTGCACCAAGACCACAAGTGCCAGAACATGGATTACTACATTTGAATTTGTGACAAGCCCTGTTTTGGGGGCACTCAGCATTTACAACACATTCTGGTTTACAGTTTGGTGGAGTTCCCATAAAACCTTTACAAAAGTAGTCAATATAATATAAATAAATATATATATATATATATATATATATATAAATTGGGCTATTTTAGCAAACCTGCTTGACAAGAACAAACAGCTTGATTGTCATTTGTACGACAGTTGCTGTTAGGACCACATGGCGATGGTCTACAAGGATCTGGCACGGTATAAGGGGTTACAGGTGCGGGAGGTTCGTATCTAAATCAATAAAGATCAAAATTAATGCTTAAATAAAATATTATAGGTAAGTCTACAACAATAATATTCAATTCATTTTTAAAATGTTGAGAAACTGTTTATGAAACATAAAATTTTTACCTGCATTCCGTGAAAGGATCGCCGACGTGTCCTTCAATACAACTGCATGTTGGTACATGGTTTACAACTGAACATTGGGCATTATGACCACAAATTCCAGGGCATGGATCTTCACATTTATTACGCAAGCACGCACGATTTGTTGGACAGTCTGAACTAAGTATGCATTCAGGTCGACAACCTTCATATGGATTGCCGTAGTAATCGGGGATGCATGCACAAGCACCAGCATTATTGCGCTGTTTGCAAATTGCATTAGCACCGCATGGTGAGGGCTCACAAGGGTTCAAGGGTTCTTCTGTAAACATTAGTACTAAAATGTATAATTATATTCATAACAACAGTAAAGAATAATTATACTCACGTTGTTTTTGTACACATTGAATAAAAGGATTTCCTGTAAATCCTTGAGCACAGGTGCAAGTCACAGCATGACTAATTACCCTGCATTCCGCATGTGTTCCACATGAGCCCGGACAAGGGTCTCTGCACTTGTTATTGATGCATGCTTGATTTGTTGGACAATCTGGATTTATAATGCACTCTGGTCGACAATTAGGTGGATTACCTATATATCCCTGCAGACATCGACATATTGGAGCACTGCCTGTGGATTGGCATTCAGAATTGGGACCACATGGAGAAGGTTGGCAAACATCTCTTGGTTTTTCTACTATTTCCGGTTCTCTCACAATAGGAATATCGTAACAGCTTCTAAATGGATCGCCAGTCTGTCCTTGAGGACAACTGCAAATAGGACTATGATTGATAACTTCACATCTTGCTCCTAATCCACAAGAGCCCAGACATGGATCTGTGCATTTTTGGTTAACGCAAGCTTTCCTTGATTCACACTCTGAGCTTACGATACATTCCGGTCTACATGACGGTGGAGAACCAGCATAACCTTGCAAACAAGAACAAACAGCATGACCTTCTCCTTGTCTGCACTGACTATTGGGACCACAAGGTGATGGAGAACAAAGATCTCGTTTCAATTCAGGCTCAGGCTCTTTCACGCGACAGTTGACAAATGGGTCACCTGTATATCCATCTGGACATGAACAAGCTGGAATATGATTAATAACATCACACCTCGCGCCATGTCCACAAGTTCCAGGGCAAGGATCGCGACATTTATTTTTTATACATGCTTTGCTCTGAACACATTCTGGATTTTGCACACATTCTGGTCGACATCCTTCATATGGGTTGCCACTATATTCCAGCAAACAAGTACATTCTCCATTATGACATTCAGCATTTGGACCGCAGGGCGATGGATTACACGGATCAGTATATAGAGGTGTAATAGTTGCTGAAATAAATATTTGTATTCGTTATTATTTTATATGAAAGAGACTTTTGTCTATGTATTCTACTTACTTGGAGGCAAGAGTATGCACTGAATAAACGGATCGCCTGTATAACCATCGTTGCAATTGCAAATTGGTAAATGATTCAGAACATGACAGTTTGCGTCAATTCCACATGATCCTTGGCAAGGATCGCGGCATTTTTGATTGATACAAGCTAGTTGACTAGAGCATTCAGTATTTATTGTACATTCTGGCCTACATTGTGGTGGTGCACCAATATAGCCGGGCAAACAAGCACATGCAGTATTTGATCCAATTAATTCACATTTTGAATTTGGTCCGCACGGAGAAGGAATACAAGATGGAGGACGTTCAGTGGTAATTGGTTCTCGTTCAACTTCTGCAGTCATAAAATAGTTATAAAATATTATTTAGATGAAACCAATATATGTTAAAATAAAATATACGTACGTCTTGGTAAACATTGTATAAATGGATCTCCAGTAAATCCTGGTGGACAAGCACATATAGGATTATGATTTCTAGTACTGCATTGTGCATCTCTTCCACAAGTATTTGGACATGGATCTGTACACTTTTGGTTTAAACAAGCTTTATCAAGGGGACATTCTGAGCTTACGATACACTCTGGCCGGCATTCAGGAGGTGCGCCAATGTAACCAGGCACACATGAGCAAACAGCTCGATCATTGATTTCTTTACATTGGCTGTTTGGTCCACAAGGAGAAGGTTGGCAAGGATGTTCTGGTACTGGACGACCTGGTTTAAATTTATGTGATTATTTTATCAAAAAGTGGAAATCTAGTGCAGACATGTCATATTACTGACCATCATTAAAATTTTACTTACGTGTAACAGGAATTTCTCTACATTGGAAAAATGGGTCACCAGCCATTCCGTCTGGACATGTACATATTGGTACATGGTTTGCTACATGACATTGAGCAAAAGTTCCACAAGTACCAGGGCATGGATCAATACATTTGAATCCAACACATGATAAAGCACTTTCACAATCTTGATTTGAATCACATTCATGTCTGCACCCTCGGGTCCGATCAAATGGATCTCCTTCAAAACCTCGTACACAAAAACAAGCAGCTGCACCATTTCTTTCGCGACATTCAGCATTGGGACCACAAGGTGATGGTTGGCAAGGAGTTGATGGCCTCTCCGTCACTTTAAAAAAATATGTTGTTAAAAATCATTACTGTAACAAAATGTTAAAACATAATTTTACATCATATACCTGGCGGAATTGGCAGTTCGCAGCCCGAAAATGGATCGCCAATATAACCCTGTTTGCAGAAACAAACGGCATTGTGGTTAATAACTGTGCATCTAGCATTTGTTCCGCATAATCCTGGACATGGATCGACACAACGTTCATTTGTGCATGCCAAATTACTTGGGCATTCAGAGTTTATTGTACACTCTGGTCTACAGTTTGGAGGTCTTCCTGTATATTGAGGTAGACACGAGCATGCAGCTTGAGTTCCAATTACACGACATTGCGAATTCGGTCCACAAGGAGAAGGTGCGCAAGGATTTTCGTTATCTTTTGGTTCAGATGGTACTAAAAAGGTATATTTTTCAAAGTTTTTACTATATAAATCATACGTACATATAATATATACATACTTATATATATATATTTGAGTTACAAGTTTATAGCTTTGATATTATTTATATGGGACTAATAAAATTGCAGTTTATTCATATTTTCACATAAATTGATGTAAGTGTGCATTGCATGCATTATTATTTGTATTTTACTCACATTCTATTTTCGAGCAATGCAAAAATGGATCTCCAGTATAACCAGGAGAACAGCTACAAATGGGATTGTGGTTGACAACTTGACATCGCGCATTTTGACCGCAAGTATTTGGACACGGATCTGTACATTTTTTATTCACACATGCTTTATCCTGTGGACACTCTGAACTGACAACGCATTCAGGCCTGCATAATGGTGGTGTACCTATGTAATCTGTTATGCATGAACAAACAGCATGGCCGTTTATTTCTCTACATTGACTGTGAGGACCACACGGTGATGGGTTACAAGGGTTCACTGGTATATCATGTTTGGCTATAACAAATATTTTATTGAATATGATTATAATATTTTTGCAAAGTCATATAATACTTACGAGTTTCTTGCAGAGTGCATTGTGATATTGGGTCACCCGTATATCCTGGGAGACATGAGCAAGATGGCGCATGATTAACAACTCGACATTCAGCATATAGACCACAAGCGCCAGGGCAAGGATCTCTGCATTTATTATTTAGACAAGCCTTAAATCTGTCACAATCAGAATTGATCACACACTCCGGCCTGCAACCGGTATAAGGATCTCCAAAATACTCTGGTAAACAGGCACATGAACCTGCTCCGTTGCGTTCTTTGCATGCAGCGTTCGTTCCACATGGGCTTGGATTACATGGATCTCTAGGTCCTTCTGTAGGTCTTGGGGCTAATGTTTATTTTAAAAAACATAATTAAAACTTACTGAAAATTTTATTTTGAATATGACACATAAAATACTTCACAAGTTTTGGTATGAAACCAAATCCTAACTTATAAAATATCTTAAATTAAACATTTCTTACTTTCCGGAATTGGGAAACATCCCAAGAATGGATCGCCAGAATAACCAATTTCACATTGACATAGAGGTTTATGGGCAACAACATGACATGTGGTATGTGGGCCGCATGAACCGGGACAAGGATCACGGCAACGTTCATTTTGACATGCCATATTAGATGTACATTCAGAATTTATAGTGCATTCTGGACGGCAATTGGGGGCGCGACCAATATAATCGGGGAGACAGGAACAAGCAGGCGTATCGCCAACGACTCGACATTGTGAATTGGGTCCACAGGGTGATGGTATACAAGGATTGCCACTTGGTCGAGGAGCTTCTACGGGTGCTACAATAGGTTTGATAAACATGCATTACCAACACCAAGATAAATTGTCACCATACAGAAAAGATACAAAATCTATAATTCATTTTCAGATTAAATATTTAACGTTTTCGTTACTTGTTATATAAAATTTTGTAAAATTTGAATAATAAAATATCAGTGTTAAATATTATATATATTAAATTAGTTATTATTTTTGTAATAACAAAAGAGAAAATGAATTATATATGTATTAAAAATGCATATCTTACTTGTTTCTTGTATACATCGTACAAATGGATCACCAGTATATCCATTGGAGCAACTACATATGGGATTATGATTTATAACTTGACAACGTGCATTTTGCCCGCATGTTCCGGGACATGGATCATTACATTTCTGATTAATACATGCTTTATCTTGTGGGCATTCCGAACTTACAACACATTCTGGTCTGCAGGTTGGCGGCATACCTATATTTCCAGGTGCACACGAGCAAACGGCGTGCCCGTTTATCTCGCGGCATTGGCTATTAGGTCCGCAGGGAGAGGGGTTACAAGGATCGATGGGCGTGTCTTCTACTATATTGGGAAAAGATTGATAGTTTAATAACATGCAGAAGATATCCGACCTTGCCACATCGACAGTATCAACATGCATTAGCTTTTGTTCAAATTTTGTTTAAAATAATAATAAACGTAAAGAAAACTAAAATCAAAACAAATAGTGTTCGATGTGTCAGGGTAGTAATAGAAAAAGCATAAACATAATCAAAAAGTCTTACTAGGAGGTGCAGGCAGATGACAAGAAGACATTGGATCTCCCACATATCCATTAATACATGAACAAGTTGGTGCATGATTTACAGTATTACAGATAGCATTCAGTCCACATACTCCTGGACACGGATCTTTGCACTTATTATTAAAACATGCTTTGTCTCTGTGGCAATCGTTGTTTGTAACGCACTCCGGCCGACAGCTGCTATATGGATCTCCAAAATATTCGGGCAAACAGGTACAAGAGCCAGCGCCGTTGCGTTCTTTGCAAACGGCGTTTGCTCCACAAGGTGATGGATTACAAGGGTTACGTTTTTCATCTTCGATGGGGATAACTGTAATCGAATATAGTGGTTTGATATGACCATGGAATTCATATAAATATTTAAAATTGCTCTGTTATTTTTAGTGGTAGTTGGCCTTACTTGGATTTGGTTTACACCCTGTGAAAGGATCTCCTGTATAACCTTGTTCACAGGTACATACAGGAGAATGTTTTATAACAGCACATATAGCATTCAAACCGCATGAACCCGGACATGGGTCCAAGCAACGTTCGTTAATACATGCTAAATTGCTTGGGCATTCTTCGCTAATTGTACATTCTGGGCGACAGTTGGGTGGTCTACCAATATAATTTTGAAGACATGAACATGCACCAGTACCACTTACTACCCTGCATTTTGAATATGGACCACATGGTGATGGAACGCATGGGTTTCCACTGGGTTCTTTCAGTATTGGGCGTTCTAAAACAGCATGCAATAAAAACATAAACCAAAACACAGACACAATAATGATATCAATATTAGTATAAAAATAGTATTATGGGTTAGTAATACAATAAACATTGTAAAGAAGCATGCTCTTAAAGTTGTTTGCTTTGCATTATACGTTGATAAATTTACCATCTTTACTTACTAAGTAGAATATCTAAATTATAAAGAAATTATTGTAACTAATGTTGTTATTTATAATTGATATTATAGTTCGCAATATCACAATAAATATACAAGTAAATAAAAAAATATATAATCATGCTTACTCTCTTCTGGGATGCATGTAGAGAAAGGATCTCCTACATATCCAGTTGGACAACTACATATTGGATTATGATTAATAACGTGACACCTAGCAAATTGTCCGCAAGTACCAGGACATGGGTCTTTACATGTTTCCCCGATACAAGCTTTATCTTGTGGACATTCAGAGCTAACTACACATTCAGGTCTGCATGATGGTGGTGCCCCTATATATTTAGGAAGGCATGAACATACTGCGTGTCCGTTTATTGTTCGGCATTCACTATTTAGGCCACATGGGCTAGGATGGCAAGGTTCCGGTGCCGGTAAATATTCAACTATATTTGAAATTTCATAATTGATTATATAATATATAATTATTGCGGTTAGTATCAAGGTTACCGTGGTTATACGGTATTGAAATCGTATCTGAATAAGTTCATGGGCAATTAATTAAGAAAAAGACAATAATGTATACAGGCCTTTCTCTAAATTGTATACAAATCTAACAAAAGAATAATTCAAATACAGTTTCAATCCTTCGGTTAACCATTTCCATGTAAAATTGACATACGTTTGGGTGTCTGCTGACAAGAACTCAGAGGATTTCCAATATATCCAGGAAGGCAAGTACATGATGGCGAGTGGTTAACAACTTGACATTGAGCGTTTACGCCACATACTCCAGGGCAAGGATTTTTGCATTTATTATTGACACAAGCTTTTGTCATAGAACAATCGCTATTTAGAACACACTCGGGTCGGCACTCAATATATGGATCCCCAAAGTATTCTGGTAAACACAAACAAGAACCGGCCCCATTACGCTCCTTGCAAACTGCATTCGCTCCACAAGGTGAAGGAACACAGGGATTTCGAACTTCTTCTATCATTTGTACTAAAAAAATTTTCATAGTAAAATAAGTCATTAATATAAACAATGCAATATGAAAATATAAGGTTATGTTCTCACATGGAATAATAGAGCATCCCGAAAATGGATCTCCTGTATATCCAGGGTTACATGTACATATCGGAGAATGTTTTATAACGCTGCAACTAGCATGAAAACCGCACGAACCGGGACAAGGATCAATACATTTTTCACTAACACAAGCCAAATAACTTGGGCACTCGGAGTTTATTGTACATTCTGGTCTACAATTCGGAGGTCGCCCGACATAGTTTTGCAAACACGAACAAATTGGTAAATCGTTAACTGTACGGCATTGTGAATTAGGGCCACATGGTGAAGGAATACAAGGGTTTCCTTTTGGTATTGGTACTATAGGTTCTACAAAATTTGAACAAAAGATTATAACGTAGTTTTTATTTAAAAATCTTAATGTTATCCTTATAACTTACTTTCTTCAGTGTAACATCTGACAAACGGATCGCCAATGTAACCTACTGTACAGCTACATATGGGATTATGGTTAACTGTAGTGCATCTAGCATTAAACCCACATACCCCCGGACATGGATCTTCACATTTTAGATTTATACAAGCTTTATTCTGAGGGCACTCAGAACTGACCATACATTCAGGTCTACAATTTGGAGGTGATCCTATATAATTAATTTTACAAGAACAAACGGCTCTATCATTTACATTTCTACAATTACTGTTTGGACCGCATGGAGACGGCAGGCACGGATTGCCAATTGGTACATCACGAACATCTGACAAAAATTAGAATATTTTATGTTTAAAATTCAAAATTTCTCGTTTTGGACGTAATTCAGGGAATAAAAAAACATTTGTGTTTTACCAGGTATTAAATGACATGATCTGAGCGGATCGCCGGTATGTCCCGATAAACAGTAGCAACTGGGAGCGTGATTGTTGACATAACATTCTGCATTTATACCGCATGTACCGGGGCAAGGATCGATACATTTATTATTTGCGCAGGCCTTATGCCTGGGGCAATCTGCGTTTAAAATACATTCTGGGCGACATCCTGCATAAGGGTCTCCATGATATTCTGGAAGACAGGTGCAAGAACCCGCACCACTTCGTTCTTTGCAAATAGCGTTAGGTCCGCACGGTGATGGATTACAAGGTTGTGGTATTTCGTGGACAATTGCTGTAAAATTTTCTGATAATTACTGTTTTTTCTGTTTAGTTCATAGCTATTTCAAAATTATAAGCATTAATCATTTGAAGTAATCTGAAGCACAAGGATTTAGAAGCCGATTTATATTATATGTTAATAAAGGTTACTTATATTTAAAATTAAACATAATTATACGTTAAATGGTTAACATTAATAAGGTGGGATTAAATAATGAGAGTTGGTACTCCCAATTTTGAATGAATTCATTATATTAATATACAGATTTAAGCCGCATTTTGGGTAGCAGAATATATATAGATATATATATATTTTGTAGAGTTTCGAACAAGAATCCAAAAATAATACAAAATAAAAAACAAGAAAAGTTTTTAAAAAAACAATTTCTTTATTTAATTATTTGTTTATTGTCGACGTTTCGGAACTAGGTACGTTCCATCTTCAGGACATCTGTCAAGAAACATGATCTTGATGAGATTTTAGCAAACAATATGTTTAGGAAAAAAAAATAGATTTTTCTTAAATAATGAATTAAATTGTAAAAAATATAATAATGTACAGAAATATGATAATATGTTCAAAATAAAAATGATAAAAATAAATGAGTGGATTATCAGAACAGGATATTAAACATAATAGAAATTTTTTTTGAAAGTTATGGAAATTTTTTAAGAAAAGGTTAATGACAAAGTTGAATTAATTACCTGTATGTTTGAATATTTGTTAGCACTTTTTCACTAAACAAGCTTTTTTAACAAAAATGATTTTGTGAGTTAATTTTCCGCCGAATAATTAGATTTTGTAAATCAAAATTACTAAAAAATTTGTCTTTTTTAAAATTATTATTTGAAAACACAAATAATATTGTTCTCTGGATGTTGTTCGATTGGTTTTCGAAAATTAACTAAATGAAACTGGTGTGCCTTTTGTAACACGTGTAAACACTTGAACGAGAGATGTGAGATAGTATGTGTGTGTTTTTATATGTCAGGGTGTGAATACTTAAATTGTTGATCTTAAAAGGAAGTCGATATTAATTGTTTGTCAAAAAGTGTAAAAAATTTAAATATGAATCATGTAATAGGTTGTGATCTGATCTAATGTTGACACTGTTAGAAACATTTATGAGGATGAGACAACTCTCCGCGAATAACCTTCTAAAGATGCAACTTTCGTGATATAAAATCTTTGGAGTGAAATTAAATGAATGGGCGTTTTCTATAGAGTGTTGTACTAGGGTACTTTTGAAATTTTTTTGTTTATGGTGGACCACACTTAGTTCATGTTGTCTCATTCTCTTGTGTACATATTGGGAGGTTTGTCCAATATATTGAAAAGCACAGTCATTACAAGAAACAGAATATACTACATTAGTATTGAGATTGGATGGGGTGGGGGATTTAATGTTCGTAAAGAATTGGTTGAAGGAGTGTAAGGATGAGCCTGATACTAAAATGTTTTCTTCTAACAAAATTTTGGCAAAATAATAATATAAATCTTCAACGTATGGTATGCTGCAGTAAATAAGATTGGTGTTTTTGATGTTAGTACTGGTATTGGGAGAATTAATTTGTGTTTTTAAGAAAGTTCGTCTTTTTTGAATAACTGAATGAATGAGATTTTTTGGGTAACCATTTTCAATTAGAGTTATTTTTACTAGGGATAAATTTTGTGGATGGAAAGTTTGGTGAGACAACAAAATAGCATGGTCTGTAAGGGAAATAATAGTGTTTATCTTATAGTTTCTGGGACAGTATGAGGAATAGTGTAAGTATCTACCCGACCATGTCGTTTTTCTATACCAATTTGTTCGAACAAAGTTATTAGTGTTGTAAACGGATACATCCAAGAAATTAAGTCTGTTGTTATTTTGTACAAAGAGAATGAGACAACATGAACTAAGTGTGGTCCACCATAAACAAAAAAATTTCAAAAGTACCCTAGTACAACACTCTATAGAAAACGCCCATTCATTTAATTTCACTCCAAAGATTTTATATCACGAAAGTTGCATCTTTAGAAGGTTATTCGCGGAGAGTTGTCTCATCCTCATAAATGTTTCTAACAGTGTCAACATTAGATCAGATCACAACCTATTACATGATTCATATTTAAATTTTTTACACTTTTTGACAAACAATTAATATCGACTTCCTTTTAAGATCAACAATTTAAGTATTCACACCCTGACATATAAAAACACACACATACTATCTCACATCTCTCGTTCAAGTGTTTACACGTGTTACAAAAGGCACACCAGTTTCATTTAGTTAATTTTCGAAAACCAATCGAACAACATCCAGAGAACAATATTATTTGTGTTTTCAAATAATAATTTTAAAAAAGACAAATTTTTTAGTAATTTTGATTTACAAAATCTAATTATTCGGCGGAAAATTAACTCACAAAATCATTTTTGTTAAAAAAGCTTGTTTAGTGAAAAAGTGCTAACAAATATTCAAACATACAGGTAATTAATTCAACTTTGTCATTAACCTTTTCTTAAAAAATTTCCATAACTTTCAAAAAAATTTTCTATTATGTTTAATATCCTGTTCTGATAATCCACTCATTTATTTTTATCATTTTTATTTTGAACATATTATCATATTTCTGTACATTATTATATTTTTTACAATTTAATTCATTATTTAAGAAAAATCTATTTTCTTTTCCTAAACATATTGTTTGCTAAAATCTCATCAAGATCATGTTTCTTGACAGATGTCCTGAAGATGGAACGTACCTAGTTCCGAAACGTCGACAATAAACAAATAATTAAATAAAGAAATTGTTTTTTTAAAAACTTTTCTTGTTTTTTATTTTGTATTATTTTTGGATTCTTGTTCGAAACTCTACAAAATATACACAAATCCAAGACTCTACCATTCAAATATATATATATATATATATATATATATATATATATATATATATTTTAGTTTCTTCTACGCAGGTCAAGATGTTAAAGGCCTAAGTTTTGATTAGAAATAGAAAGCAAATATCCAAAAATAAATCTTACGTAGCTCAATAACAGTACATCCAGAGAATGGATCGCCAGTATATCCAGGTATACAATAACATACAGGGGCATGGGTCACAGTTCTACACAAAGTGTTAGGACCGCAAGAACCTATACAAGGATCTTGACATTTACTTGATATACATGCTTTATCCATTTGGCATTCTGAATGAATGGTACATTCTGGTCTACAGAAAGGAGGTTGTCCATAATAATTGGGCATACATGAACAAGACGCATGCAAACCAGATGTTTTACATATAGCATTTAGCCCACATGGTGAGGGTTTGCATGGATTTTTATTTTCTTCGACAGGACGTCCTATAATTATTGCATATTTTATAATTATCAAATTTTAAGATTCCAAATATTATTAAATTTGATCTGATTGTGAAATACTCTATTGCAATTGTTAAAATTACTGACAAAAGTTCAAATAAATTTCACAATTACAATACTAAAGAAGGTAACCGTATTATCAATATTCTTACTTTCTATAGGAAAACATGCGATAAATGGATCGCCTGTTTGCCCATCTGGGCAACTGCAAATTGGATTGTGATTGATAACATTGCATTTGCTATGCGTCCCACATGTACCGGGGCAAGGATCAATACACTTTTGTCTGACACATGCTTGATTCATGGGACATTCAGAACTTATAACACATTCTGGACGACAATATGGCGGAGAACCAATATATCCGGAAGCACATGAACAAACTGGATGATTCGTGTGCACACGGCACGTAGAATAAGGTCCACAAGGCGATGGTACGCAAAGATCTTGAATAGGCCGAGGTGGATCGAAAGCTATTTTCAAATATTTTTTTTAATTAATTCATATTACAAATGTTAATTGAATATGTTAGTTCAAAGTTTTTCGGCATAAAAAATATTATAAATTGACCAGTTAATTGAAGTGTATCAAAATTGATAGATTAAATGTTAACAATATAGAAAGTATTTCGCGGATCAAAAATATTGAAAGTGTTATTTGTTAAAACAACTTTTGCTTTCTTTAATTCGATGCTCACTGATTTGTGGAAGAAGTCGGCAAGCAGTCAAAGGATTTCCTGTGTGACCTGGCAGGCACGTGCAAATAGGTGCATGATTGACAACTTTGCACTCAGCCTGTAAGCCGCAAACACCTGGACAAGGATTTCGACATTTTTCTTGAAGACACGCTTGATGCATCGGGCAATCAGAATTTTGTACGCATTCGGGTCTACAGGAAGTATATGGGTCACCGTGATAGTCCGGCTTGCAAGTGCAAGCACCTGCTCCGCCGCGAACCGTACAAATTGCATTGTTACCGCAAGGTGATGGAGAACACGGATCACGAGGTAATTCTATTACTATGGTGACATTCGAAATATTATTACTCTATGTAAAGAGCAAATAAAATATAATACTGTATTATAAAATTGAATGATAAATGTTAGTAAAATCTTGAAGTCAACATTCTTCTAACAATATATCAACAAGAAAAATGTAAATACTAAATATAAAACACTATATATTAACAAACATATATATGATAAAAAAAACTATATATTCAGCATGCTATAGCTAAATATCCATTCACAACATGCAATCATGCACTTACGATATCAATGAATGTAATCAAATGAGATGATATTAGCATGCTAAATTACACTTACAATACTTAGTAATAATTTGTATAGTAAGTGTATATGACTCTGAGATGTTTTACAATATAAATTAAGTATGATCGTAAAGAATAGAATAGTATATTGGTAGGCCAAAAATCAACAAATTTAAGTAATTTTGCGAAGGAATTCGAAGGAATTACATATAGTTAATAGCAAATATACGTGTATAATTGTACAAAAATATTTATAAATATATTAATATTATATATAATATTTTATATCGTGATCTTACTTATATATGCATGCGGTTCCGAATAGATTAACCAATAACAAAACATTATATATAAATTTGTTTATTTGTTTGATGATTATTGTCATTAAGTATGATTTTAATTAAGTTTTCATCATATGAGATATACCTGATTATTTATGCGAATGGACTTTGTAATTGACAACAGCTTTAACTCATTATTCAAATTTTGAATGTTTGGATCAGCATTTTTTAAAAAAATATGTTATTTTATATTTATTCACAAACATATATAAAGTACGTTTTTATCTACCATTAATGAAATAAAAAATGATCTCAGAAATATCGTTAAAAAGACGTTTAAATTAAATGAAATATTAATACGCATGAACATTTTGTAGATGTTATTGAAATTTCTGTTCGGAACCTCACTATCTAATATATATATATATATATATATATATATATATATATATATATTTGAATACATGTATATACATACATGTAAGTATGTATATGAACAATCTGTGGGAATCTGTAATAAAGTTCAGCAATTTACCATCTCCTAGTTTTCGATTTTTTTCAAACATTTGATCAAAGTAAAATTTAATGAAAGTTTGCATACAATTATTGATTTTTTAAAATAATATATGAAAATCATTTGAAATTTTCAAAAATTTAGTTTTTAAAATAGTTAAAAATATCGAAAATTGAAATTTATGAAAATATACCCAATTTATAAATTTTTTTCAATGCAATTGATAAGGTAATGACTATAATCAAAGTTGAATATTGAACTTAATAAATTTATATACTAATTATGAATCCGTAGTAATAAAAATAGTTTCAATTTCAAATTAAATTTTTAATCGGGTTACTTTTCGTTGCAGATCTAACCGATAGAATAATATAATAGTGCATAAACGATCAATGATACATAAAAACATACCTGGTGCTGGGCTGCAGCCGGAGAATGGATCACCTTCGTAGCCTTGCTGGCAAGTACATACGGGCCGATGATTTTGCACGGTACAGCGAGCGTTAAAGCCGCACGAACCAGCGCAGGGATCGCGACATTTCGTTCTAACGCAAGCAAGATGAGATGGACAGTCCTGGTGAATTAAACACTCTGGACGACAATTCGGAGGAGCACCGAGATTGCCTGGTATACAGGAACACACTGGACGATTTTCCACTACGCGGCATTCGGCATTTGCACCGCAAGGTGATGGTAGGCATGGATCGTGAGGTATATCAGGTTCAACAGCTGCAGAAAATGTCTATTTTATAATATTTGCCTTATAAAATTGAATAAGGTTATGTGTGGAGTTTTAAAAATTGCAATCTTTATATTTTCCAATTTTTTATCAATTTATGTTTTAAAATATAATAATCTATAAATCTTGAAATATAATAAGCTATAAAAAATTAGATAATAAAACAAATTTCATGTAACGCCAAAAACATCTACTGTTTGGACCACACACGGCGAAGGATCACGCGGATTTGGTAGTAAATAACCTGACACAATATGCGGTGGACGAACTATTCTATTGCATATACTAAAAACTATAAAGTCAAATTATCCGTTATTGTCGAATAAATAAATTAATTCTTAAGGTAAACATCAATAATCAACCTGAACATTATGCTAATTAATGCTATCAAATATGTTGTTTGTATTTGAATAAATATTGGAATTAATTCGATTGAATATTTTAAAGTACTTTTTAAGAAACCATTTTTAGTAAATTTTATTATTATTTATTAACTTACATTTCTGCACGCATTGTACGAAAGGATCGCCTACATAGGCTTCTGGCGGGCAGCTGCATATTGGGTTATGATTAATTACGTGGCATCTAGCGTTCAATCCACATGTACCCTGGCAAGGATCTCTGCATTTGTGGTCTATGCAGGCCTTGTCATGGGCACATTCTGAACTAACAGCACACTCAGGTCTGCAGGCAGGTGGAGCACCGAAATAGCCAGTTTGACAAGAGCAAACTGCGCGGTCCGATTTAACTCGACACAAACTATTTGGACCGCAAGGAGACGGTTCACATGGATTACGAAGAGGAGCTGTTGAGAAATTCATTATGTTAATGTTATAGCGTTTACAATTATAATAATACAATATGTTATTAACTTTACAAACAATTTGATTGATATATTTTAATAAACAAAATTAAGTATCTACTGATTAATATTAATGCAGTTCTTACTGATTTCAGGCTGTCTACGACACGAAACAAAAGGATCACCAGTATAACCACGAGCACAAGAACACACTGGTATATGATTTACTACTGAACATTCAGCTCTTGTGCCACATAGACCTTGGCATGGGTCACGACAATGTTGTGATAAACAAGCCAAATGACTGGCGCAATCAGAGTTAATAGAACACTCAGGCCTGCATCCTCCTGAATAGGGGTTACCAATATAGGGCGGAATACAAGTGCAGCGAGCAACTCCGTCTATTGCAGAACATTGAGCATTTTCTCCACAAGGTGATGGGTAGCAAGGATCATGTGGTATCACATCTTCTAAAATTGTGTATGTTAGTTGTACTAAATAAATATAATAAGCATTGTAATAATAGTAAGTTAAACTTACGTTTTGGTATCAAGGAGCAGCCTACAAAAGCATCTCCTTGATAACCTTCTAAGCAGCTACAGAATGGTGTATGATTCACAACATCACATTTGGCATTTTGTCCGCAATTATTTGTGCATGGATTTTTGCATTTTTCTTGAATGCACGCTTTGTCTCTCGGACATTCTTGATTAATAACACATTCAGGTCTGCAATGTGGAGGGCTACCTATATTGTCAGCAGCGCAGGAACACACTGGTCTACCTTGCTTAACTTGACATATTGAATTTGGACCGCATGGAGTTGGTATACATGGATTTTTAGTTTTAGGTTCCTCAATATAAACTTGACACGAAGTAAACGGATCACCTTGTGTTCCAGGTGGGCATGTACAAATAGGCTTATGATTTACTACATCGCAGCGAGAACCTATTCCACAAGCACCTGGGCATGGATCTATACATTTCTGATTAGCACAAGCATAAATCTGTTGACAATCTGTACTAACTAAGCATTCTGATTGACACAATGGAGGCATTCCACGGAATTCTGGCAAACAAGAACATACAGCATATTTTCTTTCAGAAATAAGACATCTACTGTTTGGACCACACGGTGAAGGATCACACGGATTAGGTGGTAAATAACCTGGTGTAACATGCGGTGGGCGAACTATTCTGTTGCATGATACTAAAGCATCGCCAGAAGTTTCAGGTGGACAGAAGCACACAGGATAGTGATTAACTGCTTCGCATAATGCGCCAACTCCGCACGCTCCAATACAAGGATCATTGCACTTGTTTCCAACACAAACTTTATTAATCGCACAATCAGAATTTACTACGCACTCTGGATGGCACCCTATTAAAGGATCTCCAAAATAGCCGTTTTTGCATATACATGCTAATATGCCATTAAGTTGCTTACATTCAGTATTATCACCACATTTTAAAGCATTACAAGTTTGAGTTCTTTCTTCAGGGATTTCAGATACTGAACAATATTCATAAGGATTTCCATACAATCCTGTTGGGCAACTACAAACTGGATTATGGTAAATAGTAGCACATCTTGCATTTACCCCGCAAGATCCCGGACATGGATCTGAACACTTCCGACTCAGGCAAGCCTTATCAAATGGACAATCAGAATCCATTAAACATTCCGGCCGGCACATTGGGTTATTAATAGCATTTGGTCCAGAACAAGAATTACAAATTGCAATCTGATCATTATACACTTCACAAATATCACCATTTTGGCATGGTGAAGGAATACATGGCTGTGTCTGATTTGGGTAAGGTAGGATTATTGCTAAAACAAAAATCATAATAAAACTTATTGCATATCGACCATTTACAAAAAATATTCAAGATTTATACTTACGTTTTTGTTGACATAGAGAAAGTGGGTCTCCAATATATCCATCTGGACAACCGCACACAGCCGTATGGTACCTTACTATACATTGTGCATTGACTCCACATATCGAAATACCGCAAGGATTAATACATTTTCTGTTAGAACATGTCTTATCTTCAGGACAATCAGAGTTTAATAAACATTCAGCTTGACATCCAGTTTGAGGTTCACCTAAGAAATCTGGTAAACAAGAGCACACAGGGCGTCCTTTTACCACTTGACATATGGTATTTATTCCGCAAGGACTGGGATTGCATAGATCATCATGCAATGGTGTCTGAATTTGATAACAACGCTTCAATGGATGTCCAGTTAATCCTGCAGCACAGGCGCATACTGGATGGTGCTTTTCTACTCTGCATTCAGCATTTATTCCACAAGAACCCGGACAAGGATTTCTGCAACGGAAACCCATGCAAGCATTATCTGCACTACAATCATCATCAGTTTGGCATTCATATCCAACACAGCCACCAACTGATGTAGGATCTCCACCCATTCCGTCAGGGCAACTGCAGAGTGGTTGTCCAGAAGGTGACGCGCTGCATACAGCTCCTACAGCACAAGGGTTAGGATCGCAAGGTGAATGTGGTGATCTGTAACAATTTGTGTAGGGATCTCCAATAAATCCTGATTTACAATAACATTGCTCACGGCCTGATACAACATAGCATTCAGAATTACTGCCGCAAGGACCAGGTTGACAAAGATCTGTTCCTCTTTGTGGCATTGAACATGCTCGGAATGGATTTCCAATCGATGGCTCGGGACAGAAACAAGTTGGCTGTCTATCTGGATCGCAAATTGCTCCATGACCACAAGGATTTGGATCACACGGAGAGCGTTGTTGCATGCAACCACGTATTGTATTCGGGCTTTCTAAATATCCTGCCAGACATGTACACTTTGAAAATCCATTTTCAAGAACTGTGCACTGCGTATTGGGACCACAGGGTGAGGGATCACATGGATTCTTTGGTAAACGGCATGGTTTTCGTGGTGGTTGACCTTCATATTCTGGCAAGCAAAAGCATAAAGGTTTGCCATTGACCATTCGGCATCCAGAATTTGGCCCACAAGCATTTCGTTCACATTCATCACCTTCAGGTACTGTAAAATCAATAATGCTTTAATTATCGAAACTTATTGTATAAATATATATATATAAAGATATTTACTGCAAATTCTAAATGGGTTTCCAGTCATTCCTTTTGGACAGAAACATATTGGACTACCATGATCAACTTCGCACTTGGCACCAGTTCCACATGGATTTGGATCGCATGGGTTTGTTCGAGGTTTACACTCGAGATTCGGATTTCCTGTATATCCAGGTGGGCATTTACAAGTAGCCTTATGATTTGCAATTTCGCACATTGCATAGTGTCCACATTGACAAGGTGGCAAACACTGACCATTTATGCAAGCTTCACTAAGCGGACAATCATTATCCGATAAGCATCCCACAACTACAATAACAAATTAAAGATAAAAAAAATATATTTAGTGAATTTATAGGAATTTTTATATTCCACTCATACGTTTATTAAATGTTCTATTACCTGTATTGCATTCTATGTATGGATTTCCAGTTGCTCCAATGGGGCACCTGCACTCAACGCCATGTTGTACAGGGGTGCATTCAGCGCCCGTTCCGCAAGAGTCTACTTGGCACGGATTTTTACATACTCTATTCAATCTATCGCATAATTTATCTGGTGGACAATCTTCATTGTATTGACACATTGATCCAATGACAACTGCTACAAAAATAATCAGATCCATCCAATGTCATAATTGTTAAATATACTTAATGTTCATATTATATCAGATTTTTAATTATATTGTGTAAGTGTATAATATAGTATGCATACCAGTTGTACATCCGATATATCCATTTCCTTGATAACCATCAGCACAACTACAATCAGCTCCATGATTTGTATTAACACATACTGCATTGTGCGCACATGGATTATGTATTGTGCAAGGATGAATGCATTCTCCATTTACGCAAGCTTCCGTCAAGGAACAGTCTTCATTCCGAGTGCAACTTACTATAAAAAAAATTAACAACATCAGTAATTAAATTTTCAGTAATGAACCTATTATAATAGTATTACGTACAAGGTATCGTTGGTGAACATTTGAATGAAGGATTTCCCTCATATCCTGTAGGGCAGGTGCAAATCGGTCTGTGCAGCTTAACATGACAATTAGCAGTCTCCGCACATGCTTTGCTAAACTCACAGGGATCTTGACATTGGCCTCGATAACAAGCTTCAGAATCCAAGCAATCGGAGTCACTTCTACAAGGTTCAGTAGCCTTTGAAGGCCCGGGTGATCCTAATAAGATATAGTGTTTATCAAGGGATCCCAAGAATATTTTATAAAAGGCTGAAATGAATAAACAAAATTAACTATGCATTACCTCGAATGCATGCTCCAGTTGTTGGATCGCAAAACATTCCTGGAGGGCAATGTTCACAGCCAGTACTTATAGTGGGATCTCTGGAAGCTGTAAATTGAAATTTAAAATGTATAATAAAATGCATGGTTCGATCACCGAATTCTATAAATGTTCTTACATATATGAACGCAATTACATCCATCACATTGATGACCTGGTTTACAATCATGGCTCTTTTGGCACTGGCATACTAAAATTACAAAAAATATAATTTTTACGAATAATGATTCAGTTTACTATGAAAGACGTCGAATATAAGTAGAAAATGAATAAATAACCTTTTACGCAAACAGGTTGGTGCCGTTCCACGTGGCATTCTTCAGATTTAGTACACGGGTTTGAAGCAGTGCATGGATTTGAACAGCGGGCATTAATACAAGCTTGTTGTGATGGGCAATCGATATGGGACCGGCATCCAATTTCTACAGTTTTGTAAATCGACATTAGTTTGGTTCATATTTCAGTAATTACAATGACGGCAAGGTATTGTGTTTTTTTAAATTGATACTATAATTATTGTTCAATATATAAGATAGCATCAATTTATAAATAGTTTCATATTTAATTGTTACGTTGAAGTAATTATATATCACTTAAATTTGGCATGAAGTTTAAAACAATAATACCTTCAACTGTAATAAGCAATGAAAATCTCATTACTGCATAGTTTTTCAAACTTAAGTGATAAACGGTAACAAATAAAAACCAATTGACTATTTTAAACATACAAAATGGATCCAATGAGGTAAGCCAAGTTCAAGAAAAAATTACGGGCGAAAGGTGATTTGGAGTTGCCCGTAACATAGCTATAACATATGTTTCATAACATTATATATTAAATATATAATATAACACCAATTATAAGTATATATAATTATATATAGATATACATACTTATATATACCTTTACATATACATATGCACATGTGTACTGTTTACTTACACACATATGCACATTATATGCATATTATACATATATAAATATACATATATATATATATATATATATATATATATATATATATATATAATCGAATTTACATCCTCTATTGAACATAGCATAATCTGGAAATAATACATTAAACGACTATAAAATGTTTTTATAGTTGTACATCAAAATTATAATAAATATAATTTAACGTATATATATACAAAATGTATCACCTACAACTTTTAAGCCAAACATGCAATGCGATATATGAAGCAATATGTACATGGAAAAATCAATGGTATACATGCAAATAATCATATTTTATATTTTGCACTTCTTCCATATTATGATTAAACATTATTCAGTCACCGAGATTATGTACATTTCAATGTTATTTTTAAAAAAATGTTTGCATCATATGAGCCCTATTATTTTTCATAAAATATGATTATACATGAGAAGTATAAATATATAAAAATTGCATAATATTTTTTGGATTCAGACGCTAATGAGCTGCGTCTGATAATCGGAGACATGCAGGCTGCAAACAGGAGCTGCTGCAGTTAATCCTCAGATCTCCTTGGTCCAGGTTCTCCTACAATTATCCCAACAAGAATTCTACTTTATCGATATTTCCTTATTGTTATAAGCAAATGATGTACACTTTACGTATTTTTTAATATTTCAACAAAATTTGTATAAAATTATAAATTTATTAAATTATAGCGTGTGTAAATATCAATAATGTAGAATTCCATGATGACAGAAAAATGACACTTTGCCAGATGTTTAATTTCTCGATGTTTTACCTGGTGTAACATTACATTGTTCAGTGGCCATCTGCTCAGACGTGCACAGACACATTATTGAATGATCTATAACTACACAAGATACATTTTGCGGACATGGTTTATATATAATGCAAGGATCGGAACAACCAGAATCTGTGCATACTTTGTTAGCACTACAATCTTTATCATTGGAACAGCTTTTATTCAACAGAGAAGATAATGGATGATCAACATCATATCTATCCGTAGAAATATCAAATTGATGCTCTGTATGTTTCATGTGCTCATCTAAATAGGGTTCCGTAGAAGATTTGTTATCATCTGTATCCGGAACAACAGTAAATTTTGTTTTATTCCAACTATCATCTTTTCTGAAATAAGTAGTTCTTGTATTAGTTGTAATATCAGTTGTGGGTTCTTGTTTATCCATGCTTGGTTCTACATCATAATCTTCTGATTGAATATTAGAAATCGTATTTCTAAATGAGAGTGTAGACTGAGTGGATTGTGTAACAGGTCTATCATTTATATGTGTAAAATCCGTAAACGAGCTTTCAGTTGTATGTTGATCTTCTGAGGTATTAGTTTGTTCTTCAATAATTTTGACTGTTGAAGTATCGTTATCCATATATTGTTTGCGATCTTCGTCACCGATTGTACTTCTGATTTTATCAGTCGTTTCTACAACATCCTTTGCTGTATTATATTGTGGTTTAATTGTAAGATCGGCATTTGAGCTTGTCATTTCCGTTGTGCTAGATGGGTTTTCACTTCCCTCTGTTCGCATTGTATATGTGGTTACTACTTTTCGATCTACAGAAGTAGTTCCTGTATTATCAATGTGTGTTGTGGAAAATTGTTCAGTAACATAATCAAAATCAGTATGTGTTGATGGACTATTTGATATTTTATCAGAAATTTTCGAAGTCGAATAAGGTTCTGCTGTAGTTACATCATGAAAACTTGTACCAGTGACTGTGTCAATTATCTTATATCCATCTGTAGTCAAAAACACTGGTTTGCCAGTATGCAATATTTTTGTTGAATTAGTTTCATTCCATTTATCTTTTGTTACAGAAGTTGATGTAGTAAGGTCATCAGATTTAGTGTTTTCGTCCAATGTATTATTCACTGCAAAAGTAGTCATGGGATTTGAAGAAGTTACAGTATTTGATAACGTTGTAAATGTAGTTGTATCTTCCAAAGGCGATGATGCGCTAGTGACTTTTGTTTGTGCGAATTTCTCGGTAGCACTCTCAGTTGTTGTAAACTTAGAACTAACTGTTGTCTTATATACAATCTCAACACCATCATCTTTAGATTTCGTTACACCATCATTTGAGGTGGTAGTATAAATACTTTCGTTTTTAATTGAATTATACATTTCAGTAGCAGAGCTTCTCATAGTATTTGATTCTTGATTTGTATCAGAGGTTATGGTACTTCTGTTCGTGAAAACAATATCTTCTATTGGAATTCTCATTGTAGTGTAATTATCACCTGACGTGTAACCAGTAAAGTTATCCTGTCCAGTAAAGGCATCGATGGCTTCCCTAGTTGAAGATTCATTTGGTGTAACGTATTCAGTAGTTGTTCCTCTACTGTTATCTGATAACGTATGTAAGGCGGTTGAAATAGATTCTGTTGTAATTGCAATACCATTAATGTTGGCATCGCTTTCATTTTTAGTTGAGGCAGTAGTAATAATCTCTGTTGCAGACTTTATTGTTGTACTATCATTTATGACTTTATAATTATATGCAGTAGTAGTATCATCAGAATAATGTGTAGAATCAAGTTTAATCGTTTCTGTCGATGTCTGATAATGAGTAACATTTTTAATATCATAAAATAACTTTGATGTTTCAGTGGAATCCGGCATTTTTTCTGTTATGTTTGTATATGTCATAGTTCTATTATAGATTGGAAAATCATTCGTTGGTGACGTTGTTTCAATTTGAGTAGTCTGATCAAAGACTTTTGTACTATTTGGTGTTAATCCTTCAAATGTTGAAGTGAATTCCTCCGATGTTGACTGTATAGTTTCTGTCGTACCGATATTTTCTGTTTGTTTCATCTCAACAGTTTCCGAAGTAACGGAACTGGGTTTATAAGTAAAGGATTCGGTGCTAGTGAAAAGTTCTTCATTCGTTGATTTTTGATTAATCATTTGATCATATTTGGGTTTCGTAACTTTTGTTTGTTCTATATCATCGGTTGTTGTTTCAGCTGTAAATTTATCAATTATGTTTGTTGTAGAAGTTTCTTTTATAGAACTAGCTTCTGAAGAATCTGTATGACTATCATCATATGTACTAGTCATGTTAATAGAAGCGTTGGCAGGTTCTGTTACATCTTGACCACTTATAATTTCTGTGAATTCACTTATTTTTGTACTTATGCCATCATAGCCAATTTGTTTGCTAGTAGTATCCATCGTAGATATTATTGATGGCTCGGAATATGTGTGTGTAGTGTAACTGTGAACTGTAGTATCATCATGTATTTGTTCGTTTGCATGAATTGAAATTTTATCAATTTCCGGCATTGTCACAATTTTTGTGGTCCATATATTTTCTATTGTAGATTTATCTTGGTCTAGGTGTGGTACGCTTGTAGATTTTGCATATAATAATGAAGTTGTGCGCATTGTAGCTTGATTAGAAGAATTGTCAAGAGTGCTCATTTTATCAATACTTGAATCCGTATAATGCTTTACTATATCTGTCGTCATTGATTCAGTTACAAAATCATTGGATGAAAAGGTATTCGGATACCGACTATTTTTTCTGCTTGTCGCCACTGATTCCGTGGTCAATTCATCAAAAGCGGTTGTATCTGAATGCTCTTTAATTTTACTTGTAATAGTTGTACTATGAATTACATCATTTTCGGTTAGGTCAGTGATCTTTGTTGGAATCGTAGTCGAATAATATTGAGGTATTTTTTCAGTTTTACTTTCAGATCTCGAAGTAGGAATATAATTACCGCGATAAGTTGTGATTTCGTCACCTTCTTGGGTAGTTGATGGTTTTGTATAACTATAATCTTCTGTTGTATGCAAATCATATATTGAAGTTGAGCCAACAGTTTTGGTATATTTGGTTATTGATTCAACAGTACTAGCTTTTTCTGTAATAGTAGTATCTGTATGTTGTGTGTTTTCAGATGAAGTGATGCTATTCGTAGATTGAGTTTTTACAGAATCGACGAGAGTGACGTTTTCAATCTTATTACTTTCCGTGGAAGAAAATACATCGGTTACATGTTTATTGGCGTCATCGGCTACTGAAGATAGTGTAGTATTCGGTACATTAAATCGATCAACACTTATAATTTCATTTATGGTATTTGTGTCAGTAGATGTTTTTAAATTTAAATTCCAATCTAGTGTATCTGTATGCGATTCATATTGCGTTGTTATCTCTGGCTGTTGTGAAGTTTGATGAGGCAATTCTATAGGTTTGAAATACTCAGTAACTTCAACCTCGCCGTCAACGTCTCTATAAATAGTAGAACTTTCTGTGGAAGGCATAATTTTATTTATATCAGGCTGAGTTTTATCATTACTTTGGATATCATTAATTGTTTCAGTAGTAATGTAATGCATTTTTGAAGAAGGTTCAGTTGTTTGATGACTTTGCGTGGTGAACATGGTCTCTTTATTTATATCAATTTTTGTTGCAGAGTCTGATGCAGATTTATATGTACTTGATAACATCGAGTCAGTGGTTTTTTCTTGTAAAAACTTACTTGTAATAGATTTGTCAGCAATTGTGCTTGAAAAATCTGTCGTAGTCTTAAATTTTTCAGTTGTGTCAAAATGATAATTTTTTGTTGAATCTGTTGGGTATGTAGTCTCTTCAGTATGATATTTATCAGTGGATTTTTCAGTACTTTCTGATGAAATGAATTCAGATGGTTGCATAAACTTATCGTCTTTCGTACTTTTATCAAATGTAGTTGTAGACTCTGCACTAAATATTTCATCTGTGGTTCTATGTGAAGTTGTAATTTCAGTTGAATGATCTGTGAATATAGAAGAAAACTGTGTAGTTGTCGACTGCTCTTCTTTCGTATCTTCAAATAACACAGTAGTAGAGGTTAATGAAAGCACATTCTCTGTGTTTCTAAATAAAAATGGATCTTCAGTAAAGTGATCTCCAGATATTTGTCTTTCTGTATTTTCTCGAAGAACAGTTGTTGCTATATTTTCACGCGAATGATGCGTAGATTTAGAATAAGATTGTGTAGTACCAGTTTTTTCATCCTTTGTTTCGTCTTGTGGAATATTAGTAATAAGTGAAGAAAAATCTTTTGCCGTGCTATCGTAGGGTATTTCGGTTTCAGTAATATCCATAGTTTCTGACTTAAATCCTGTTGTTGCTTCAATAGGATGATCCTTGATTTTAGTTGAATATTGTGTTGTATATGATGCATCGCTTGTATCTTCACTAACAGTAGAGATTGAAGAGAGCACATTCTCCGTAATATTATGTGATGTTATGCTATCAATACTTTGACTTGTAGGCCTATACTGAGTGGTACTCATTCTTTCAGATAAAATTTCTGAAGATTGTTTTTCAGTGGTACTATATAGTATTCTAGTTTGAGTTATGTAATCCAAATGCTCCGAATTAAATGGTGTTGTACCTAAAATGTCGCCTTTTGTTCCTTCACTTGAGTCTGTGGTTAATACCGAAGAAGACGTTTCATCTATGCTGCTATGAGCCGTAGAGGTTTCTATAACATTTTCCGTAGGTTTGATGTAAAATGGTGTTGTGCTGTATTCGTCACCCTCTTTTTCACGTAAAGTATTATGTACTGAAGAAGAAGGAGTTTTTTCAGTACTGTCAGAAGGTGACAAATTAATCAAATTACCAGTAGTCTTTGAATACGATTTTGTAGTAGCGTTTGATTCATTATCAATGTCTAAAATATTTCTCAACGTTGAAGAAGACGTATTTTCCGTGGTACTATATAATGTGGATTCAGTAACAAGATCTGAAATTTTAGAAGAAAACTGTGTTGAACCTATTGTTTCTTTATCATCTTTGCCTGAAGCAGTAGTAAATATCGAAGAATGTATTTTTTCAGTACTACTATCTGATATAGCAGTTTCAGTAAACTGAGTTGCAGATTTTGAAGCATCCACCGACGATGCAGTTGTTGTCAAAAGTGTTTCATCCGTTGTAGATAGTGGCAATGAACTTCCTTTATTCATAGCATCGATACTCGTAGTTGTGTATGGGTAAGTTGTCGTAATTCCAATATCAAATTTATCACCAATAGTATCCTTACGCGTTGATTTCGAAATATTCTCTATATCAGAAGTTTTTTCGCTGCTAAACGATTTAGCAGTTGTACTTTTTATTATGTCGATATCTGTGTCAGGTACAGTGCTACGCGTTTGCTGTTCAGCAGTCACTGTGAAATCCATAATTTTTTTCGTTACCGATTCTGGATTTTCTACTTCAAGACTAGTGTCAGCTTTAGTTGTTTTAGGTAGGAAACCTATAGGAACAGTAGTATTAGTGAGAGGAAAACATTGGTTGAAAGGATTGCCTGTATAACCAGAAGTGCATTGACAGACGGAAATATTATTGGTCTGTGTCACGCAGAGAGCAGATAAACCACAACGACCTGCGCAGGGGTCGGAGCAGCGACCACCTACGCAAGTTTCGCTAGGCTGCTCGCAATCGCTGTCTGCTGTACACTCTCGAGAGCTAGATGGAAGTTCTGCTGTGGATATAATATATTAAACTATTTACAACAAGTTAATAACTATTTACATATTAGTTGTATCAAGATATGTACAATATATTCACAATTTCTAAAATGCAATTATGCTCATTTTGTTATGTTATTTATTTTAAAATGCATAAAGATAACATGATTAAAATTAATCAGCCATAAATTGCTTCCCAACAAGTAAGGCGGTTTAGAAAAAATAGCACTCTTTTATTATATATTGCATTAATAGATTATGCGAATCATTAATTCAGCAAAGTATGAACAGCAGAAAATGGCAATATGTAATTGGATTTATGGGAATTGAGGTTTGGCTGTAAAGTTTCTTAAGTAAAGTATTAAAATCAGTGTCATTCATAAAATAATTGTACAAGGATTTTAAAAGCTACCAGGGAAGTTTTTTTACAGAAAAGCTTATATATACGAGTATATATATATAATTATATAATTATTTATATATATATTTATAAATATCTATATATATTTGTAAATATTCATATATATTTATATATATTCATATAAATTGTAGATATCTGAAAAATACGTTGATAGGTGGAATTTATAATACAGAACCGGGTATTAGAAAGTGTTATTCCTTTACCTTTGAGACATCCTTGTTTAGCATCTGAGACAAATCCTGGCGGACAGAATTTACAAACTGGCTTGTGATCTTCAACGTAGCATGGTGTACCGTCTGGACATTTTACTCCATCGCAAGGGTTTTCGCATTTAAAGTTTTTGCAAGCTAAGCCTGGTGGGCAGCCAGCATCTCGGAGACAAATTGATAGAGCAGGACTGCACCCCTTAAGGCACAAACATATTGGTTTGTGATCGAGGACGTGACATGTTTTGTCAGATGAACATATAGGATTATCTTTATGTGGTGTAATGCAAGGATCGCGGCATTCACCCTTAATGCAAGCTAAATTAGAAGCACATTCGTCGTTGGTTGTACATTGCGCATCTTCCGGGGCACATGCCAACTCTCCCGATTCGTTGACGACGAATCCAGCGCGGCAAACACATACTGGTCGCCTTGCCCGCACTTCACATTTTTTGTTATCCTCACAAATAACAGGGCCCAATTGACAGGGGTCCCTGCATTCAGCTAATCCTCGATCACAAGCCTTGTCCGAAGGACAGTCGCTGTCTGTTTTGCACGGAATTGCTGGTAAAATCGGAGTAGCTTCTCTGCATTTCGGATCTGGTCTGCATGATATCTGAGGACGGCCTATGTAGCAGTTTGGACAGGAACAACGGGCTTTGTGCAGCAAAGGGGTACAAAGTGCATTCTCGCCGCAAGCACCCCGTTGGGAGCATGGGTCAATACATCGTCCGCCAGTGCACGCACGATCTCCAGGGCAATCACGGTCCGCTGAGCACTCAGAATCTAACAGGGGCCAAATCGAATACGAACGAGAACGCCGATCAGATAAAAGCGTAAACGTTTTGAAAATGTTGCCAAATTGATAACAAATATTTTGAAAATAAAATAATAGTAAGAGGGAATTAAAATATTTAATTTGGAGATATGAAGAAATATTTTGTAGCTATTTTGGCAATTATCTAAAGGACAATTAATATAAAATACATTGGATTGGATAGGAACCGTGAAGAGAGCATGATAATTGGATGTGTATTCATAGAATTTCCCAAAATTTAGTATGTACATTTAGAACATAAATCGACATATCCCAAATTATTAGAATTTAATCCTATTTTATGAAATAAGAAATTCAAGCCGGTCTGCGGACTGAAGCTAATTTAAAATAGAAGGTCACTTTCTGTAATTCCCAATCTGCTTGAAGTTTATAATTAGAAATATTAGATTGGTGACAAAGGAATTCAAGAATACTGTATGATGGTAAAATAAAACGAAACTCTGATAAATTATTTATTCAAATAATTTAATATAGTTTAAACTCTTTTTCTGTTTTATTGCATAAAATAGTACTTGACAAGCTCTTTCAAATGTAAATAAATATCGTTCCTCACGAACACAGATTGGGAAACCGTTTTTTAGAGTTGAGGTGAAAGTAGCTTAACAAAGACGGATGTTGGATGATGGAAATGGAAATATTTACAATATGTCAGCATGGGATTGTGCGTGTGTTTATACGTGTATATTTTTTTATTAATAAAACAAAATTAATATTATTTTGATCTAAATATGTTACACAACATTATTTAAGTTAACACATCAGCGCTACATTAGAGCATTATTTCTTTCGGAAAGTTAGATTATTTTGGGACACATACATTGCAAATATGTAATTAAATAAATTTGATTTACGATAAACGACTAAAAAGACAAGAAAGATCTAATTTATCAAGGCGTTACTCACTAAACCCCTTCCAATAATCTAACTTTCAAATTTATAGTAGTAAACTACGTATAAGTAACACTCACAATTAATATATGTATATTCAATTCGTTAGTATAATTGTGTCAAATCATTGATCGACTTTAGAGATTTTAGACTTTTAAGTAAATTGTTATTTAGACCAACATAAAGTTCATTTTGAACATTTGCCTTTGTGTATTATACATGAATCAGTGGTGCCACTAATTTTTCTCGACAAGTTTCTAGATGGATCGGAATTAATTATACGAATAGCTATAGTCTGACTTCATTTGAGACTATGATATATATTAAAATTTCAATTAATTTTAAACTCTCATAACTATAGTTTTCAAACTAGTTAGTTTTAAACTATTTGAATAGGATAAAATGCAAGTTTTAAGTAAATATTGATAATTAATTATAAGTAACAATTAAATCATGATAAAAGTATTTTGGCTCGATAAATAATCAATATAATTCATTAATATTAAATTATTTAATACTTTGAATAGAAAATAAATATATATATATATATATATATATATATATATATATATTATTTTTAATTTCGTATTCATAATATTGAGTAAATAATATAATATTAATAAATAATATGGCGAATAAGTTGCTTGTCAAAACTTAATTAAAGAAAAATATTAAAAATGGCAAAAATCACAACCATACACCACTGATGCAAAATCACACCTGTGCACGAATTTATTTATCAATAAATATTTATATATTATGTATGTCCGTTCCGCATTCATGTGATATTTCTATGCTTGGTGTAGTTTATATATCAAAGTAAAGTGCAATTGTATATACATACATATGCGTACAATATACATGTATATGTGAGTCAGATATACATAAATATGTACAAAATCATGTTTGATATGTGACAAGTAAGCATTCAACTAAGTTCTTGAATTTATAACAAGTGCAATTGGATTTTATGGGAAAAGTGATTGATATAAATAAAAGAACTTATAAATCGAAATGTTGAGAAAAATAAAGTATTATTCATACCTTTTCGACATTCTACTTCTGGTTTACCAGTCATACCCGGTGGGCATTTGCAAACAAATCGTAAGCCCTGTCGCAAACAATCAGCGCCTAAACCACAGCCTGATGTCCGACAATCCGGAGCTGATCTCTCGATGGTACCTGCAATTATAATAAGTTCATATAGTTTTTTACAATAATGCTTCACAAATTATAGATTGTTTTTGAAAATAAAATTCAGCAGTTTATTAACATTTCCGGCGAGATAACACTGTACAAACTTACATTGGACATATGGGTCTCCTGATGGGAAATTAACTGGACAATAACATTGTGGATAATCTCCTGGTGTCATTCTGCATTGTGCATTCAGACCACAAGGATGATCTCGACATAAATTAACCAGTTCACCATCGCAAACGCAACCGCGATCTGGATCTCCCATGCAACCAGGAGCGCAGCTACACTCATAGCCACCTGGCACGTTAGTGCATCTGCAATTTTTTATTAAATGATCAATTTCAAACAAAATACATAGCTTATATAGTGATGAGATTGAACTGAAAATTTTGATTGTACTTACATTGCATTGGTTCCACAAGGTTGACGCAAGCAAGCTTCTTGGCCTGCTCTTTGACATCTTACAGATGGGTTTCCGAAGAAATCTGGTGGACATGTACAATGAGCTCTATGACCAATAACTCTACATTGAGCATCTTGTCCACAAGCTCCTTCTATTAAACATGGATTTCTACATGACTTTTCAAAGCAATGTTGCTCTGAATCGCAGTCATCGTCAGTGTCACATTCATAAGATTTGCAGCTTACACTTGGTTCTCCTCTATATCCATCTGGACATAAACATAGGGCACGATGATCTGCAGCTCTGCAAATTGCACCAACTCCGCAAGCACCTTCGCAGGGATTTATACATTTACCAGATCTGCATTCTTTATTTTCTGAACAATCTTGATTAGTGCGGCAGCCGGGTATGCATACAGCATCAGAAATGCATAATTTTCCATCAGGACAACTGTCCGAATCTATGGGTGAACATCGTGTTCTACATTTTCCTTCATAGCAGCTTTCACCACAGGCGCACTGATTATCTTTGGTACATCTCGTCAAACAATAACCATCTTCATCGCATTCACAACGTCCATCACATCTTATGGCCGCTCTTCTACATAAAGTCATTGGGTTTCCGAGAAAGCCAGAAGGACAAGAGCATTGAACTCCATGATCTGCTACAGAGCAGCTGGCGCATGGTCCACATTGACCTATAGCTGTACATGGATCTTTACATTGTTTTTCTATACAAGCTTCATTAGATGCACAAGAAATATCACTTCGACAACCAATTTGACAAACACGATTTTCACAGATTTGCCCAAAACCGCATTTTGCGTCGCTATTGCATATAGCATGACATACACCTCTAATGCATCTTTCATCTGATAAACATACTTGATCACTACAGTAGAAAAATGAAATTATTGCAAAAAAAAAACAAATATTTGTTCACAAATATTATAGTAAATTACAACTTACTTTCTGCAAGTTACTTGACAGATTCCATTAAAACATGTTTGACCTGGTTGACAATCAGTTGATACATGACATGACGTGGGTGGGTATTTGCAAGATACATTGGCATCACCTATTAATCCAGCTGTACATTTGCATTGTTTACGATGCTTTTCAACGAGACAAATAGCGTTTGTTCCACATGCCGTAGGCGACTGACATGGATCTGCAAAATATTTAATATAAATATGCAAATTTTACTTTTACATTATTCAAGTATAAATATTTGTTGATAACTTACCTCCACATTGGCCATGGATACATGTCTGATGATCCAAGCACCCTGAGTCAGCCCTGCAACCAGGTACACACTCCTGATTGTGACAAAGTTCCCCATTCCTACACTCTTCATCACGTCTACATAAAGACTTACAAACACCAAGACGGTCGCATCTTTCATTGCTTAAACAAGCAGCGTCTGATCCACAAAGTGGCCTACAGAGACCGTGTGTACAAGCATGACCTATCAAATTATGAGAAGTTATAATTGATTTATAAACCATGAATAATTTCAAAAAAAAAATATTTACAGGTTATAAATTAATATATACATATAATAAAGATCGAACTATGTACAAAGTATTAGAAAAGTATGGAATTCATATCTAGTCAAGGAACAAATAATATTATTATACCTGTTGGGCATGAACTGTGCTCAGTACATTCAGATAAAGGAGCTCTAACACAAGCAACTTGAGCCGATGGTGAAGCAACTAATCCTGGTGGACACGAGCAAACTGCTCTTTGATTGATGACACTGCATTGGGCATTTGGACCGCAAGGCCCTCCCAAACATGGATCATGGCATCGATTATTACGACAAGTTTCACTTGCAGAACAGTCGGAGTCAGTATGACAGCCATAGACACACATATTACGCAAGCAAATGTGTCCAAGGAAGCAGTCATTGTCCACTCGGCAGGTCACTGTTGAAATTAATATAATATGTATTAAATTTCACTACATGCACTTTTAATATACAATAACTAATAAAAAATATGCATCGTAAAACTATTATCTAGAATTGTTGGCAAATAATATGTAACTACAGCTGTGCATTATATTTCTTATAAATAAAATGAAATATATAGAAATAATATTGAGCAAAAATATTGAACTATTTGATATAAAATAATGCTTCAAATAAAATCAAATACACTTACAAATACAATTTCCTTTGATGCACTTTTCATTCTTTGCACATTCTTGGTCTGCTCTACATGTAGGTAAGCAAATAGATTCTCTGCAGCTATTTTCTTCCGCACAGTCTAAATCAGATGTGCAGGATACGGGAACTGAAAATGACATTATTTTGCTTTTATTTCAAAGTATTTCATCCCTTTGTTTTTATCTAATCTTCGATTGCACTTCTAGAAAATATTTAGTAGTAAGTATATACCATAATATACAACTTACTTCGGACACATTCCAATTGTGGATTTCCTGTAAATCCTGGCGGGCATGTACATGAAACCGAATGCACAAGAACGGCGCAATCAGCATTCATACCACATGTTTTAGGTTGCTGGCAAGGATTTACACATCTTCCATGCATGCAAGTTTCAGTAAGTGAGCATTCATCATCGGAGCGACATGGTGCTAAATCAATGGATAGGCAAATATACAAATTGCATTCACAAAATAAAATTGAGAAATAATGTTGAAGAAATATTTACGTCGACAAATTTCGCCATGGCAGTAGGTACCAGCTCTACAATCTGCAGTAGTACGACAAGGTGCTGGAAGTGGTCTACAACCAATTGTTGAATCGTTTGGATCTCCTTCAAATCCATCACGACACTGGCAGAAACTCGTATGTCCAGACGGTTTACATTCTGCATTCGGACCGCAAGCAGTTCTTTCACATACATCTATAAAGGTAGTTTTTTTTTAATAATAATTTGCTTACATGAATAATTATGATTATCATGAATTATTATGACATTTACCTGTGCATTTTGGTTCTGGACCATCCCGTCTGCACATAGCAGCTTCTGGACAGTCATCATCATGTTCGCATTCAACAGCAGCTCTACAGCCATCATTATAAGGATCGCCAACAGCTCCGTCAGCACACAAACATCTGAACGAACCAGCGCCTAACTCACATCTAGCGCCCGGAGCACAAGGTGCATTTTTGCAAAAATCTAATAATCTGCAACCAGTTTCGGGTTCACCAGTATATCCTGGACTACAGTGACAAATTTTTTCGTGGTTTTCAGCAAAACATAACGCGTTTTCGCCACATTCTGATATATCATGACAAAGTGGTATACAAGCTCTATTATTGCAAATTCTATCAGATGGGCATTCTTCATTTGTTATGCATTCGCCACTATGACATTCTTTGGATGGATCTCCAAAGAATCCTGGAGCACAAGTACATCGTGCTTGATGCCCTGTTGAAGTACATAACGCATTTCTACCACAAGCCGCTCCAGATAATTCGCAAGGGTCACGGCAGGAGGCTTGACCCCGTTCATCAATTGTGCACGTTTCGCTATCAATGCAATCACCATCATGTTGGCATCCTACATAATACAAAAATCTTGTTTGTACAATTATTCAAAAAAGTGAAAGAAAATCCAAAGCAACTCTTCTGTTATATTATATTTTTTAGATATAAATATTGTTGTTACCTGGCAATTGAGTGCAGATATTATCAATACAATGAAGTTGATCTGGACATGTAGAATTGGAACGACAGGTCGGTTGGCAGGAACCACGAATACATAATTGCTCTCCAATACATTCGCGATTGCTCGTGCATAGCGCTAGAAACAAAATATAATAATCATAAATTTCAGTTAAAAATGCTATTTTACATAAATTGAATATTACAATCATATTTTTCACACACAGATATATATATATATATATATATATATGCCTATATAATATTTGCCAAAAACCCACGTGTGCATAAACCACCGCTGCATGCAGTTCCAGCAGAGCAGTGTTGGTCATTCGCGCAGTATTGAAGTGCCACGCAACCTAAAAGTGGATCGCCTGTAGTGCCTGCTCTACACGTGCATATGCCTCTATGGTTAACCGCAGAACAATCGGCTAGTTCTCCACATGCGCTAGAGAGACTGCATGGGTCTATGCATTCTCCGTCCAAACAAGTTCTAAAAATAAAAAAGAATTTTTAATCAAATTTTAATGTGACAAATAGTTTATAAACATTTATAAAGTTGTACCTCTCTGCAGCACAATCGTTGTTATCAGTACATTCTAATATACGACATTCAATAATTGGGTCTCCTCTAGTTTGTAGCGGACAACTGCATCTTGCGCTGTGAGCTTGAGTAATGCAGAGTGCATTTTTACCGCAAGCATCGCTCGCTTCGCAAGGATCGCGACATTTATTATTTTCACAAGCTGCAGTAGATGGACAATCAGAGTCTGTAAAACATTCGCCTGGTGCGCGGCACCCAGATCCTAAAGCTGATGGGTCGCCGACCAGTCCATGAGCGCACGAACAGGTATATGTGCCTGCAGCGTTCTGACATCTGAAATTTAAGTTATTATATTATTAATTTAAACTCAAACTGAACTTTCAATAGATAAAACTTGTTTAGTTATTTTGTAACTTACTGCGCCGTGCTATGGCATGGATTTGTAGCGCACTCATCAATATCCTCACATCTACCATTTATGAATGTATAGCCAGGGAAGCAAACACAAATTTCGCGATGATTTTGCACTGTGCAGCTACCCTTTCCGCAATCGACCTGTTCACATGGATCTGTACAACGATTATATTCTTGGTGGCAGTGTCTATCTGGAGAACAATCCTCATCCGCTAGGCATTCAACTCGGAAACATCCAGTTTGAGAATTCGTGGGATCTCCTAAATGTCCAGGTAGACAAGTGCATATCGCATGATGATCTGCACTAGTGCATAAAGCATTTGAACCGCATTTTATGGATAAACAAGGATCTGAGCAGCGGCCTTCTACACAGGTTAGAGTGTCAGCACACTCTGCATCATTAGTACATTGTAATGGCTTTTTGCATCCTGGTTCTGAATATGCATCCCCCACAGTTCCGGCGGGACATGTACAGCGAAATGATCCGGGAATGTTAACACATTTTCCGCTTATATGACATGGATGCTCAGTGCATTCGTCTATATCAGCACAACCAATTGAAAGAGGGTAAAAACCATTAGCACATTGACAATTTCCTCCTATACAAACTTCATGATTTGGACAATCTGCCTCAGTAGCACATCCAGGTATACAAATTCCTGAAGTACAAATTTCACCGGGCAGGCAATTATTGTTGGTATAACATACTTTAGTACACATATTATTCGCGCACTTCTCTCCAATAGCACATTCGCTGTTTGATGTGCAGGGAAGATTGCATCGATTTGCCATACACATGTGTCCCGCTGGGCATTCATTAGATGCTTCACAGGTAGAAGGAACACGGACGCAACCCTGTTGTGGAATTGGATTGCCTTCAAAACCTGCTGGGCATTTACAAGATACAGTATGATCAGTACATGCGCATTGCGCATTGCTTCCACAAGCTCCATCTAATGAACAAGGATCATGACATTTATTATTAACACAGGCATGCTCACTGGCACAGTCACTATTACTTCGGCATCCAATTACACATGAGCCCGAGAAGCACGCTTGACCTGAAGGACATTGAGCATGACCGGAACAAAGAACTGTGCATGTATTTTGCAAACACTTTTCGCCAACTGAACAATCGGAATTATCTCTGCATGCCACTTTACATTGACCACTAACGCATATTTCTCCTGCACAATCAGCATCACCGTTGCAAGCTAATGTAACCCTTAGACATCCATCTCTTGCACCGGTAACAGCAGCTATAAAACGTGCCGGGCAAGAACAAATCGGTGTTTGATTAATAACACGACATAGAGCATTTGGACCGCATGCACCAATACATGGATCAGTACATCTACCTCCTTTACAAACTGAATCTGATGGACAATCACTATCACCATTTGGGCAATCACCCTCAGCACGACAACCTGAACTATAAGGATCGCCTATTTGCCCTGATGGACATTTGCATATATGTCCTGAAGGTCCCTGTTCACAAAAGGCTGAAGGGTGACATGGATGATTATCACAGAAACCTGCAGGAACGCACTCAACTTCTGCTACAGGATTGGGTCGATAACCTGGTGGGCACATACATACGGAGCGATGATCTTCAGCAATACATATTGCATTTTCTCCACAAGAGTCTTCACCACATGCATCGTAACAAGTATGCGTCAATCTATTACATAACTGAATAGGTGGACAATCAGCGTTATACACGCAAGGTACACTTTCGCAACCTCTGATCATATCATTTGGATCTCCGGCATATGGACCAGGAGGGCATTGACAACGAGCCGCATGATTATTTGCGACACATATAGCTCTGGGACCACATTTTACATCTTGGCAAGCTGGCCTGCAGGCTAATATACCATCATCTCCTGCAGTGCATTGATCTATTTCAGAGCATTGGGCGCTAGTCGTACATTGATTTTGTGAAGTGGGTTGGCAACCTTTTCGATCATCCGGATTACCAGTAAATTGCGGAAGACATTGGCATTGTCCAACATGATTGGTAGCCACACACACTGCGTTAGCGGGACAAGTAAATTCGGCGCAGACATGCGAGCATTTTAAAACGCCCAAAGCATCCGATCGACAGGCAGAATCTTGAGGACAGTCAGAATTACTATGGCAATCTGGAATAGTTGGTTTTTCGCAAGCAGAGGATATCGGGTTCCATAGAAAACCTTCACTGCAATGACATATGGCACTTCCTCGATTATCTAACGCACATACTTCGTGCTGACCACAAGCTACAGAATCACATGGGTTTCCACAGAGTTTCCTTCCATCTGGCCCTGCTACACAGGTCAATCCTAAATCGCAATCATCATCAGATTGGCACCCACTTCTAATCGGTACACGAGCTTCTGGCTGACAACCGTTTGTTAAATCTGCGGGGTTTCCACCATAACCTTCAAAACATATACATGCGGGGCGATGTTCTCGTGCTACACACAACGCGTTTGGCCCACACTGCAATTTAGCACAAGCATCAACACATTTTCTCGGGCCCTTTGAGTATAAAAAGCAAATTTCTTTATCTGCACAATCCCCATCGTTATCACATTGACTAGCTGAACAACCCGATATTAAATCGTGAGCATCGCCGGAATATCCTGGTAGACATAAACAGCGGCCAGATTCACAAGTCGTTCTTGGACCGCAGCGAATATCTTCGCATAGATTTTTGCATTTTCCGAGAATACATTTGTAACCGGTTGGACATACGGAATCTTTAGTGCAAGCGCAGTTATGTGGATCAGTACATTCTCCTTGTTGTACAGGCATACAAATTTCGAAAGGATTTCCGGCAAGACCTTGTTTACACCTGTTGAATAATATTTATATGTACTAAAAATATTGCTATATTAAAATATAAAAAACAATATATTTGTAATTAATAAATCGCTTCTTACCTGCAATCGTAACTTCCGGCTGTGTTTATACAAACTGCACCTTGACCACAAGCTGGTCCTAAGCATTCGTCAATATCATGACATTGAACATGGGGATTTCCTATGTATCCTGAGGGGCAAATACAGCTTATACCTCTAGCGCTTTCACGACATTCTGCACCTACGCCACATGTCTGAGGATCGCATGTAGTTCGTTCTTGAGCACCGCAACCTTCATAAGGATTTCCACTTTGTCCAGGATCACAAACACAACGGTTTGTTAAGCCATACTCACAATGGGCATTTGGACCACATGTTGGATCACATACTGGTGCCGATATCGCTAAAATATTTCAATGTAAGTTAACAACTTCATAAATGTAAGTAAACTTACTACTTTCACAAGATGCTGTAAATAGTAACATTTATTAACTAGTTATAATATAAACATGCATTTTAAATTCAGCTCCAGGCTAATGTTGCTTCAGATAAATCATTTGATTTTATTCGAGTATTATTAGTAATATAATTTTATTCAAATACAAATACTTACGTGGCATACATAACAAATCTGGATTGCCAACAAAGAACGGTTCGCATATACATTTCCCGGTGTCCTTGTTGCAGTACGCGCCCACGCCGCAGACAACTCCGTCACAACGTTCTTTACATCGCCCGCCGATACATAAGGACGGCGCAGTACAGGGTTGGGTTGCTGAGCATTGATCCGCAGTACATTGGCCACCGGGGAATGGATTACCGATATGGCCGAAAGGACATTTACAGGTTGGTCCAGCACTGGTTACTATGCATTGTGCTCCTTGACCACACACGAAATCTTTACATTCTGGTAACAAAGAAGATACAGAGTTGGATTAGTAAAAAGGAGAATAACGCACTATACTCTTATACGTATTTTTCAAATTATACTTTTAAATAAATCATTTACAAATTTGTTGAATTGGACATAGTTAAGGGTTAAATTAAAACTTTTTTTTCTTTTTCTTGTGTTTATTGAAAAGCGAATATACTTTGATTTATAGAAAATATTGAGCAAATCAAAGTTATTAATTAGCTCGGATTTGATAACTTTAATAATACTGGTATTCAATTAAAATTATCAATTGAACATGTACTCACGACTAACGCATTGCCCATCTGGTCCTTCCGTAAAACCGACCTTGCATCTACACCAGGCTGCATGATTTTCTGGTTCACAATAAGCATTTTTGCCACAAAGTAATTTACCGCAAGGGCTCACACAAGTACGATCAACGCAGGCCAAACTAGATGCACAATCATTGTTGCTATTGCATTCAGATCTAGTCGAACTTATTGAAAGAATACCTGTGCAAATAAAATGTCACATAAATATAAATTCACGAAAAATTAACAAGATAGGTACTTTAATTATATTTATACCAAAAATGCCAGTGACTAACAAAGTTCTTAAGTGAATCATTATTTTATCTCTTTAAAAGCGCATCTTTTTTATTATAATCTTGTACTTGAAAATTACTTTCTTCACTATGAGCAATTATTATACGTTTGGTTATATGAATTATAAAAGCACAATACTCGATTCACAATTTAGTATCACACAGAACTAAATTTTAAATGCAACAAATTTTAAATCGTTATTACAAAATTCATTATAGAACTTTGCTAAGCGCAAAGAAGTATGTCGTTCGCCTTTTGATTTATTATTAAATCTAAACATATTATTTAATTATTGTGCGCATATTTGCAACCGCCTCTTCTTATTTTATGTGCCATATGTTAAGACATTGACATACATAGTTTCATTCATGCGTTGGTAGATATAAAAATATTTAACTTATATAACTATTTACTCCAGTAATTACATTTATATTAATTTGATAAATATTGTATACAAACATACGAAAGCAATAATATCAAAACAATTCTAGGGGATGATATATATATATATATATATATATATATATATATATTTAGAGAGTTTTTGGACTCCCCCTTGGTCAGACGTGATGGTACTTAAAATTACTCCCCCTCCCCATCCCAACATTACGTGTACTTGTAATACCTACAAACACGTTAACTTTTTATTTTTACATCTTTTGAAAAATTTTAGATTTTTTTTAATTTCAAGTAAATACCCGTTTTAAAACATAAGAATCGCCAAGGAATGAATAGGATAATAAAGTAAATATTGGACCGAATGGACTTCGCAACCTAATATGAGAAAATATTAAACTAATAAAAGAATTGAAGTATGGGTTTTAAACAATAGTCTGAAAATTTTATAGTAGTGTTTATTTTACAACTGACAATTAAACTAATATCAAAAATATTATAATAATTTTAGCAAAACTGAGTTTAAATAAGTAGTTTTCGTGCAAAAAACATTTTGGGATTATCGAAACCAAACCTGTGTTATTGATGTTGGCATAGTCAACTACAGTACTATAAAAATTGTTGTCGTCTGCTCTATACTTGGTGTCAGTCACTATTATAATTCATGTAATCTTAGTCTCTTCTCTTAATTTTGTGTTGCTTGACTAAATTTATAGACGATTATTTATATCAAAAATTATCACAATAATAATTTCAAAATACTTATTTCATATCATTTACATATGTTTTTAAGTGCACTTCAATTATAGTTTTAGACCTAGCTTTCGTAAACCATTTAATATTTATATAGATTACTATAATACTGTAATATTTCCAGTGTTGTTATCAAGTGTACAGTGAATAAATTGCAGTGAATTATATTAACATTATGACTAGTATCCATAGAATTTTAAAACTAATGGGGTGTATGGCATCGTGCCTTAAGGCAAATTGCTGGTACTTCCCGTACCGTAACGAAATGTTCGAGGAATACTGAATGTTTTCAAATAGATTATTATTAATATTGTAACATTGTCTAATATTTATAAGAATTATATAAACTGAATTGCAAAATTGAAATTATTTGTTTAAAGTATATTAGAGCTATAGTCAGAATTAAAAATAAAATCTGAAAAAAAAGTCGAAACAAAAATTTTTTTTCCAAAATCAATTATTTTGTTAAGACAAGCAGAAAGTTCTTTGAATCATTAAAATCGGACGCTTAGTTCTCTCAAAAACTGCCATTTTTTACATATTTAGCTCCGTATCTTCAAAATGGCTGGGCCTGCCTTTGCCAAAAACTAATCAGCTCTTCTCCCTATCAATAAGTATCGAATGTTTTTTGAACCATTCAAATCGGTTGATCCGTCCGCCCGAAAACGTGACTGGAAATCTGTATCCATACATACATACACACACACATCCATTTTTTGTGATGTATGCCAAAATGTTCAGAAACCTTCAAAACGTCGAGAAATGTAAAAATTTTCAATTTCGATTTTCGGCCCATTACAATAACTTACCCTACGGGAAGTTAATAATGACTAGTAATGATTGAATGAATGATTTTCAAATTTTATCACTCACATCCTCCCTTGTACGGGTCGCCGGTCATTCCGTTTGGACATTGGCACACGTATCCTCCTCGTTGATTGATGCAATGAGCACCGTAAGCGCAAGGAGCGGCGGCGCATTCGTCTTCATCGGAGCAACCCTGGTACGGATCGCCTGTATAGCCAAGCTCGCACAAACACTGTGGCGGATCGCTCGGCGTGCAGCGTGCGTTTACGCCACACGTGAAGCGCTCACAAGGACCTGCAATGATAATCATCAGTTAAAAACGCAAGCCAAGATGAAATCAATAAAATAAAAATGTGTTTATCGGTAAATTTTTTTATAAGTTATATATCATATCATTTGGATACGTTAATGATTTTTATCATTGTTAATATTTAACATGGCGCGACGCATACCTGATATTTTATCATTAATAGAGTACAGGAGAAATATATTGAGGTAGAGACAAAATAAATTAGTGGGGTGGCATCGTGCTTTAAGGAAAATTGCTGGAACTTCCCGTATCGTAATTAAAAATCTTGGTACGGAACCCAAAAAAATTTACACAAAATGTGTACACATTATTAAAATCTCTATAAAATATCTGATAATTTGATGTACATATGTCGAATAAACATTTTTGTCCGCCAAATGACATTTGTTTAACTTATTTTTCTTAAGAGCCCATAACCGCTGAACCTGCCTAATCAAAAGTTCTTCATCTTGTCAATAGAAGTAAAATGTTTTTTGAATTACAGTAGAACTTCGATTCTCCGGACCTCAGTTATACGGATTCGCGATTATCCGGACTACCAACCGCGACTAATATATATGCATGTACCTACAATTCGAATTTTTGCACGATTAATCCTGCAGTTTAGTATATGTATGTAATGTAATCTAAGAAAATATATATGTACATACATAACGAAGTTTCAATTTCTTAATAAACATTATTTTCGTTGATATCTATGTTCGTATTTGTTATTTTTAATAAATACACAACATTATTCTCCAAACTTTTGATTATCCAATTTTTCGATTAACCGGATGCCTATCGACAACAATTAGTCCGGTTAATCGAGGTTCTACTGAATTAAAATCGGAAGCTCCGTTCTCTTAAAAACTGAGTTCCATTTTGGGCACTTTTTGTCTCGTATCTTCAGACCGGCTAGACCTGTCTTCGCCAAAAACTAATCAGCATGTCTCCTTATCAATAGGAATCGAATGCTTTTTGAATTATTCAAATTGGTTGATTGGTGTTCCCGAAATCGTCGACGAAAATTTATATCCGCACACACACATACACACATACACACACATACATTCATTTTTTCTAAGATATGCCAAAATGTTCAAAAACGTTTGAAACGTAAAGATATATAAAAATTTTCACTCTCGATTTTTTGCGATTACTATAACTTATCCTACGGGTAGGGTAAGTAAGCAAAATTGTATCTCGTAGAGGTATAGAATATTCATTTTGAAGATATGAATTTTTCAATATGTAATTTTAAATGCACTCAATAGTTGTGCAATTTTAATAAACTATTTTATTTCAAATTCAATTCTTTTACATTCTTTCACAAACGCAGTTGGGTGATTTTTTTTAGTTATTTCATGACCTTCTCATAAACTGATGTAATTTTAAAAAATATTTACCAATATCTTTCAAATATTAATGACTCTGCCATTAGTCATCGTATATTATTATATGATTATTTTTTCATGTTTACAATAATGCTCTTCACTACCAAATACTCTTCACTTTAAAAAGTAAGTTGTTAAAAAAATACGACAGTATTTTAGTATTAATTTTGTGTTCTCGAAATATTGCTAATAATAAGTTAAATGTGACAGCTATTGTTTAATTGCAATAATGAAAATGAATTTCGTATGAAATCCGCAAAAGCTACGCATAATTATTGTTATCAATAAAATAATCGTATACTTCTAAAAATGAAGATAAACTATGCATAGTAGATAATATTTGATGCAAAAAATTACTGAATGTTTAAGCATCTCAAATTGATTCTTAATGTTTTTCGTTATTATTTATAATAAATAATAAATAATCGTTATTATTAATAAAACATACATTTCATTTGTTCAATGCCGTACTATTCGTATTTACAAACATTTAATTTCCATTAAATATTTCATTTCCTTTAAATATTTTAATTTTGCAACATAATTTATTACTTACTTTTACACTGATTTCCATCCTGTACGTCGGTATAGAATGGCGGCGGGCAAACACATTCCCCTGGCTGTACACATCTTTCATTCGGCGAACAGTCACCATCTGCTACACAACGTCTCTGCTCTGGAGTACAAAGACCGCGATATGGATCTCCACTATGCCCAGAAGGACATTGGCATTCAAAACCGCCGGGCAAGTTTGTACATTGAGCACCGTAGCCACATGTTTGACGACTCTCGGCGCATTCATCGACATCTATTCCAAACATTAAAAAATAAAACGTTAGCATTTATTTTACATTTTTTAAAATATTTTTCATTCCTGTATAATTAAGACTAAATATTACCAGCACAAGAACCATCCGCTTGAGTTCGGTAACCCTTCGGACATGCACAGTAACTGACCCCACCAGCAATTGATATACATTCTGCGCCATGAGGACATTTACCACCGGCTGAGCAATCGGCAAGAATACAGTTTCCGTCAACTAAATGATATGGCGGTTGGCATTGGCATTCAAGACTGTTACATTCTAAAAACAATAATATAATAAATTTATTTGTACAAGCAATCTACTTAATTTTAATAAATATGATTTACCATCGCAACTTGAATAAGGATTTCCATTAAATCCATTTGGACATTGACACTCATAACTTCCTGGTAAATTTTTACAAATAGCATTTAATCCACATGCAGGTTTGTCTCTAGGTTGCGTACATTCGTTAACATCTCGGCAAATTCCATTTTCTCGATCTCTTGCGTAACCTTGTCTGCATACACACATGCTATTACCGGTATATGTATCTATTAAGCATTGCTCTCCATCAGGACATGGCTGACCATCTCCACAACCAGAAGATGGAATAACTTTGGCGCAACCTCCACGATATGGATCTCCTTTGCTATTACTTGGACATTGACAAGAGAAACGCCCCGGTTCGTTGAGGCATATAGCACCAGCTGGGCATGGTCGGCCTGCGCATTCGTCGATATCTGTACATCCACTCGTGTCTGGTGCTCCAGTGTAACCAGGACTGCATAAACATACAGCTTGCCCAGAACTCAACATGCAGTGAGCGTTTGGTCCACAACTTTTACCTTCACATGGATCTGAAAGTAAGTAAATAAAACTTTAATAAACGCATATCATAATCAACTATCAATTTTTTATTTATTCGTCAACGAAATGTTGACAAAATAAATATGGAGTTAAAAATTTGTACATTTTTAGTACAAATTTATGAAAATGTTTCTACCTGTGCCATAGCAAAAATATTTATCTATTTATATGACAACACTTACGCCTGCAATCTTGACCAACATTTGGTTCTGGACATAAACATCTTTGTCTATCATCGCAAATAGCATTTCCTGGGCAGTCTGAATCTTTGTGACAAGCTTCAGCGCTAACACATCGAATAGTGGGGTCTGGGTCAGGTAAAGTTCCCGCAGGGCATTCACATCTATGGCTACCAGGCAGATTTACACAAATCGAATCCTGGCCACATGCTCCCGGTCTTGTGCATTCATCTATGTCCGTACATTGTCTGTGAGCATCACCTATAAAACAAATATTGACTCATCAAAATATGTTGTAAAAATTAATGAATGAAAGATGACAGGTAAATGAAACGCCATTTATACTTCTACTATAGATGTTCCATTTTTTTATTTTTTAAGCTCATATCTATATATTCCCCTATTTTAAATGAATGACAAAAATAATGTGCATGATCTCACCAGTAAATCCTTCTTTACAGCTGCAGCTATACCCTCCTGGTGTGTTAGTACAAATCGCGTCAGGGCCACAACGACCACTTGGTCCATGTACTGGATCGCATTCATCGATGTCCACGCAACCTGCGGCAATATCTCGAGGATCGAAAGTCCAACCGTCTTCGCAAACACAATACGCTTCTAGAGCATCGGCGCGACAATGCGCGTGTTCGCCGCACGAGACGCGTTCGCATGGTGCTCGGCATGGTACGGCCGGTGGGGATCCTACGTGTCCCGGCTCGCACTCGCAACGGTATGCTCCTAAAGCATAATATAACTTATATATAAAAATTGAGCTCTCTTTCAAATGTCTAAGTAAAACTCGAAAACGGCTAAACCGATTTGGCCAGTCTTAGTCTTGAAAAATTCGGGCCAATTCAGAGAAAGTCCAAAAGGTGAGAAATTATTTCAAATCCGCGTAGAAACTTTACATTTTGAAAATTTTTGTTGAAGCGTAATTTAAATAAAACAATGGACGGTGGCTAATACGTGAAATGTCAAACGTTTTTGACAGATCATGTTCAATTATGTTTAATAGGTTGTCTTATATAAATATTATTTAATAATGATTAAATTGTAGTAAGTAGTTTTGTTTGTAGTTTTATTTGTACACAAAAACGTTATTAAACGGGCCTCAAGTGTTACTATAAACTCAAAATATCTACTTTTTTGAAATGTTAATATGAGCATATTTTTAGCATATTTTTCTCAAACACGGTGCTATGACAGATCTCATTTGTATAATTATATACTCATTGGTATTTATAAAACATTTCCTAGATTATATTATTTTTTATTTATGTTACTTTAATTCAGAACCTAAAATTGGTATCGATCAAAGGGACATTTTGTCGAATAACATTTTCCCAGTTATAATTTTCCTGAATTTATCGAAGAATAGATAGTAATTTATAAAGGTCCGGGGTTAAAAAGGTTCACCACCGATGTGTCAAAAACCAGTAAAGCTAAGCATTGTTCAACAGCAATATTTGAAAGTTGAGGAAAAAAGATGTATAACCAGCTATAACCTTGATTTGAAACCGGTAATCTTTGAAATGGGGGAGATAAACGGTAATTTAAAATTATAATAAGGCTTTAAACCTTTACACTGCTTATAGGGTAAAAAGGTCTAGATAACAAATTTTTGAAAGACATCAAAAAAGCAGCACATGAACGTAGTCAGATAATCGTTCGTTTGATATGTGTTATTTGTTGTGATATAATTGTTATGGTTTTCACAATATAGTTTTTATTTGCTCAAAGTATTTTATTAAATTTACTTTAATTCATCGAATGTTACTTGAAATTTTTCAAAAAGCAGGTCAAAGAAGAAATACTTAATTCATTTTCTATCCCTCATCGCAGAAATTTGAAAATTTTGTATAAGCTCAGAAGTATTATTTACATTTATACACAAAATACAGAATCCAAAAATAATCTGAAAAACTTGAAACGTAATGAATAAGTCAAAAGAACAAAAAAGACTTAGATTGGAATATACCATGTTTTCCAAAGAAAGTGTATAAAACTTCCAGTTTGATTGTATTGAGAAGATATAGTAAAACTAATGGGGCTTATTGTTTTTATAACATCTCATTGTATATAGCATTCGAACAACACATCCCCTTATACACTTAAACTATTAATATTTTTGATTCTTTAGAAATAGTTTAGAATATACCTAACTTAGAAGAATATACGAAAACAACGTTTGCCGGGTCAGCTAGTAAAATATAAAACTGAACTAAAGGATTACACACGTCTTATTTTAATTTTATTCACTTGCGCCCTACGGTTTTTATATATTGTTACGTCAATTTCACTAGAAACTGGTATATTTGTCAGTTCCACGAAGAAAGTCATGTCGTAATAATTTTTATTAGCTAAACTATTGCCTTTACCTGGTAAATCAGTACACGTAGCGTGTTCCCCGCATGGGTTTCCTTTACATTCATCCAAATCTACGCAAGCCGCTCCTCGAGCCTCAAATCCTTCTTGACAAGCACAGCTGCCATCAATACACTCTGCATTATTAGTGCAGTCAAAGTTCGACGTGCAGCCAACAGAGACGTCAGTACGTTCGCAAGAGACGCGCGCATCAGGACTGGCAGCGTACCCTTGCGGACATTTACAGGTGAAGCCAGGTTGAGTATTGACGCATGTCGCGTGGGGACCGCAAGGCCTTTCGAGCAGAGCGCATTCGTCGATGTCAACACAGCCGGTGCGCGGGTCGCCAGTGTAATCTGGCAAGCAAGTGCAAATGTAGGATCCGGGTGCATCGGTACATAAAGCATTTGGACCGCATGGGTTGTGTTGGCATTCATTAATATCTAGAAAGAGAAAAAATAATTATTATTACAATTCCATTTTTATTGCTTTGAAATAAATGTAAATAATCGAGGTATTTTTTTATATCGGTGCATATTTATGTGTATATATGTACAAATGTATATACTAGCTTTTATACAAAAACCGATATTTCAGAAAACCGGTTTTCGAATTTTAATTTCACTAAAAACCGGTTTTAACCGGTTTTCGAATTTTATATAGAAAATAAATTTTTGCTCGAATATCCTGTAATTTATCCGCAAATTTAGTGTAATTTAGAGCAGTGTTTGACTGAATTTATTTATTGTTGATTTTTATAGACAGTAAACAAAATTATTTTAATTTTAATTAGTAGAACAAAAAAATAATAGTTTATCTTGATAAATAACTTTGAAAATAATTATTCGTTATTCGTGCATCATTTTCACATATAAGATAATATTTTTGTGATAGTGAAACGAAAGTTTTCGAATAAATAAAAATAATACATTTTTAAATAAAAAAAGTCATTAAATTAAAAAAAAATTAGACACTTGTTGATACATACTTGTTAAAATTAATTTTAGTTTTAAAAACAATTAAGCTAATCTGGGGTATTGTCTGTTCCGAGCAATTTTAATTGATTAATTTTAAACTTTCTAATTGTTTTTTTTGTTTAATAAAATATGATTTCAAAAAACTGAGAACGTCTATCGAATTGCTACTTAGACGTGTCCTTTGTTTATTCACAAAATTGACATAGAAAATGCTTTCATACTTTCGACAAAATTATGCTTAATTGTTTTTAAAGCCTGATATAATAATTCTAAGTTTTTTGTTCTTTAATTTGTGGCTTCTAGGGTATAAAACTCTTTTTTTTAAGTTTGTGTAGAGGAAGTTAGTTCTATAAGAAGAAGTCACACTGATTTAAATTAATATATACACTGGTATAAAAATCTAAATCAATATATACAAAACCTTTCTGGGAACCACAACCATTGCAGACTGATAAGATATCAAATGCTATTGAACCTATACGATTTCAGGAATCAAAACGCTTTCGTCTATCATTTATATTTGGCTATATTTGTCATTTTCCATTTATACAGTGAAAACCGACTTTTTTCACTAAAGAACCGGTTTTCAAATTCCATAATTTTCGCCAAATAAAACGGATTTTAAAAATGGTTTTTGAAAACCGACAAACCTTAGTATATACTAATAATAATTATAATAAAAATAATATAAGTAAGTAATATACAAGTAATAAGTACTTCAAGTATTAGATATTTGAATAAATTTCATCTTATATTTTTACCTGTGCATCCGGTCATAGGATCACCATTATACCCAGGGGGGCACACGCATTTAAAGCTTCCAGCCATATTATGACAAAGTGCATCACGGCCACAAGGCGATCGCGCGCATTCATCGGAATCGTAACAGCCTGCGCCGCGTGCATCACCTTCAAAGCCGGCTGGACAATCGCATTTGTAACTGCCTTCTAAATTCGAGCAAATAGCTCCTGGTCCACATCGTGCTAGTCCGGTTGCACATTCGTCAATATCCACGCACTGTGGGTGAAAAATAGAAACATTAGAGTATTAAACTATAAACATTATATTACATATCATTCAGAGGAGTTTATTTAATCACAACACTCCACAAACAGATACATTTATTCAAAGGAAACAAATATCTTAAAATTAGTCTAATGTCATTTCGAATACAAATTTCTTCAAATTTAACTTGTTTATGCTATGTATAGCGCTAAATATGATGGATGAACAACACCTTTTTTTACTTTATATAATATTGTATAGATGTGTCTTATAAATAGTCATTATTATAAGGACTAAAATCATCGTTCACAGTTTGACAAAATTTAATATTTTGATGCATATTTAGAGAATCATTAAAGTTATAAAAAGATTATTTAATGCAAAATTTTAATTTATAAAATATTGTATAAAAGCCTGCCATAAATTACGTGTATAAAAATATTAGTTCACAATATATAACACTAATAATTATAAATGCAAAAATCGTTGTTCGTCGTGTTTTAAATTTTTATTTTCTGCTAAATGGTTATAAAATCAATTAATATTTTATTTTTAATATTATAATTGCTAATGTGTGATAGAAATTCATTTTAAAAATAATCTGTTAAGTTTGTGATTTAAATTATAAAGAAAGTAGTATACAATTTTTATTAAGTTTTTAATCATGGATATAGCTGTGTATCTATAATTTAAACTATATATATATATATATATATATATATATATATATATGATTTAGTAGTTAATTTTGATGTTGAAATATATGAGTGAGTTCTTGAGGGCGATACATCAAACAAAGAAAAGGCAAAGATTTATAAAATAATCTTTAATTCCAAACGTTTCGACATTCAATTTAATGTCATCATCAGTGGATATTACGTTGGTAGGTTACATCTAGAGAAGTGTACACAACACTAGAGATTGGCACTAACATTTATACAACTAACTTGTCAACACCATGCATTTTTTATAATTTTTTGTATGATGTAAACAGAAAAATGATTGTTTTATTTGAAACAAAAATGTAAGTAGAATTATGTAATTTCTGCCACGACTTCTGTACTTTGCGCGTACCGAGGCATGTGTGTACCGAGCACCATACGTTTCGACACATAGTTTTGTGTCATCTTCAGTGGACTCTAGTTTGAAGGCACAGATAGAAATTATTAAATAAAACTAATATATAAGAAGTGATATGGTATGAACTTACATGTAATTGTAATAATCCTAATTATTTCATAATTTTTATGAATCCTAATTATTTATGAAATAATTAGGATTATTACAATTACATGTAAGTTCATACCATATCACTTCTTATATATTAGTTTTAATTAATAATTTCTATCTGTGCCTTCAAACTAGAGTCCACTGAAGATGACACAAAACTATGTGTCGAAACGTATGGAAAAAATAAAAATGTTTTAAAGTCATTGCCCTGAAGACTGAATCTCACATATCTCAACATCAAAATTATAAAAATTTATATATATTCATCTATAATACCCTAGTAGAAATGAATCGTGGCGCAATATGTACTTTTTATGGGGCTCTATATTGTTTACCAATATTGCTATAAATATTATTCTGTTAACATTTTCCCATATAAATCCAATATTAAAACCAATAAAGGCCCCATATAAAAACCAATATTGATAAACAATATTAAAATCCCATTCAAAACCAATATAAGCTCAATTTGAGAACCAATATAAGATTAATATAAATAAACAATATTTACCCTATATAAAAACCAATATAAACTCAATATAAATAAACAATATTTACCCCAAATTCATAATTATTATTTAACCCACATTTAAAAATATTATTTAATTTATATAGAAAACAGTATTTAACTCATTGATAATAAAAGTTTATTTATTCTAAATGAATACATACATTTTTAAATAGTTTATGTATTGAATCTTGATATCTTTATTAACAATTTACACATTATTTTATGATAACAAGATACAAAACAATCAAAATATTTTCAGTCATTATAATAATTTGAGAGTTTAATGTAATAAGATAATTATAATCATAAATTTTGTTAATCCTATCGCCGTAATTGTACAAAGACCAAGCCATTCATCAAACAATTTGCAGACTTAATTATTATTTCGATGTTTTTTTTTTTTCACACATGTTTTAACATTTTCTTGAATTCGATCATGATTACACCTGAAATAAGATAAAATTTATTAATATTTTATAGCAATATTTTCGAAATATATTGATTTTATAAACTCATAAATTCAATTACTTAGCTTTTAGCAAAAAAAAACATTTCAGGCTTTTTTGCAGTAAATATAATTGTATATTTATCTAAAACTCATATTTTCTAGAACTCTATCACAGTCAAATCTGAAATAATTAAAAATACATAAAAAAATTTTAACATTAATTTAAAACAGCTCAATTATAGTTTTAATATTAAAACAAAAAACTATTGTTGGAAATACGAATACCAAATATCAAAAGCGATAATAAGTTATTGAAAAGTCTTCATTTATAAGTTTGTTACCCTTCGTCGGGCGCAGCCGACTCGACAGACAGATACAGAGCCAATAATTTTCATGCTGCGCCTTGGTTGAATGTTATAGAAACCTCCACTCTTCAATGCCTCCTAATTTTATATGTTTTATATATGCGTCTTTATCATTTTGTGTTTGACCTTCGCATTTAGTGCAATCGGTATTTTGATCCTGAGATACACTGCGCCCGAACGTGCAACATTTTGATACGTACGAATATTGCAATTTTTTGTCAATGTAAGGTATTTTTTTTCTGTATTTTTTTACGTATTTTTGAATATATATCTCACACTTTTCATTTAATTGCAATTTTTTGAAATCTACGAGATTCACTGCGCCCGAATGTGTTACTAACTTGAGTCCATACACTTTATAGGCTAGTAAATATGGCGAGTGGTAAAAAAATATATTATTTAGAAAAACCAGCTCATGCAGAAGAGATTCTAAGAATGCTGAATGATGATGCTGAAGAAATAATCTTTTGACGATTTAGGCGATGAAGTAGAAGTGACGAAGACCATCTAGAAGAGAGTCGCAAAGTCGATTCTGAGACCAGAACAGGATGAAAGTGAGGAGAAATAAATTTGAACAATAATGCTAAATATTTTATGAGTAGAGATAAATCTACAAAATGGTGTAGCAAACCTCCCTCTAATAGGATTCGGACAAAATCCCAGAACTTATTAGGAACATTACCACAGTGTTATATAGAAACGCAAAAAATGCTGCAACGCCTATAGAATGCTGGAGTCATGGGAATGGTAAGGAAAGATCTCCGAAGAAGATAGTTTTTTGAGACAATTATCGCATGAACTTGTTCTTGGACAGCTAACAAAAGAAGTGAAATCACGAGTGGGATTCCGTTCACTTTGCAGGCAGGACTCAAAAGATTCACCCCAAATTCACAAAAATGGCTCACAAAAACAAGAAGAGCCACAAAAAAACGACGATGTGAACCATTTACATAGAAGCTAATATTAGACGGCTTTCAATATTTTATTGTGCTAATGTCGAAAATCATTGTGTTTGCAACAGCGATCTTTCTATGCAGTGCTTATTCAAATGCTTCAATAAAATGATAAATATTTAACTATACATATTGAACTATCATTATTATATTACTTATTTTTATAAAAGTTACAATAAAAAAAAGTTAGAGACTGCGTATTTCAATAAAGAAAAGTGAGTGTATATAATTTGTGCATGTATACACAGGTTTATATTTTTCTACATTTATAATAAAATATTATTGAATTTCTCTTTTTTTTTATTTATTCAAAAAGTATACATTCTGAATGTAATTAAACAAAAAAACATGTTTTATAAAATAAAGAGCCTCCTGAGTATACCTTAAAACCGTTGCTGTCGGATACACTGGCGCCCGAACGTGTGCGTAACGGGACTGCGCCCGACGGAGGGTTAATATTTTTATTACCTTTTACCAAATCCATTCTTGCTATGTGATAGTTTTTATATTACAGCTGATTTTATATCCATTTCAATTTAGTCAATCTAGAATATATAAAATACATCATTGTTTACTAATATGTATGTTGATTTTATTATAAGTAATAAATATACTTACGTGCTTTAAATATAAAACTCAAAATTATGTTATTTAACCGCTTATTTTAATTATAAACTGTTCACAAATAAGTTTTTAGCAAATTATTATATATTTGATATCATAGATCATTTTATTATTCACTAAATATTCACTCAAAATTCACGAACTAAGACTTACTATATTTTAGAATATTTTTTAATATTATAACAAATTCTAAATTCAACAAAAATTGCTAAACGCACTGCGTAACAAATTTCAGTCTACTGAAAATTACGAAACTCTGCTTGGCTTGCGCTTTTTTGATGGGTGTAGGTGTGCGCATGTTATCAAAGGGCGGTTTTTATGTTTTTGTATTTTATGTTACGAATAAGTATACCGCTCATTATTTGTCGTTATTAGTTTATTCAGTGTAGTAGTCATTAAAAAACTTTATATATAACAAAGTTTATATATACTCTCTTTTTCATCATTTCCAATATGAGAGATAGTTAGTAAATTACATATCTGTGAAACGTTAGTTAGAAAATGTTCAAAACGAAA